CCCCAGAAACGGACGAAACGCGAAACGTTTTGGGCCCTCAAAACCAAACTCGAAACGCGATAAATTGACGAGAAATTGAAATTGACGAGATCTCGCGATATGATAAAATATCGCGATATTTACGAGATATATTGACTTTTGTGCGATATATTGACCCTGTGCTGAACTGGCCGCTCGCCGAGCAAGAAAAACCGACGGAAAACAACAGAAATCCATGGGAGGATCGCATTTTAACACTCGGAAACGACCGGAAAACATATTCCGTTCATGAACTGTGCCTAAATTTCTGCATCCAACTGAGATTTCGATTCCCAGAATCGATTCGGCGGCGGAAATTCCGACACACCCAAATTGTGAACTTCGGGGATAAATCGATCGAGTCTTTCGGCGAACTCAAATGCCACAAGGGTCTAGGAAACAGGGGAAAACAGAGTTCATCAAGCACAGTTGTTTCACGATTCTATTTGAGAAGATAATCGCGGTAAAGCAATCATGCATCCAACTTGATGTTCAGGCTAATTCGTCCCCAAGTCTAGAAGTAGGCTTTGGCTTCTAAGTTCATGATAATTGAGTAAGTCCAGAGACATGTTTGATTTTTGTGAAAAACAAGTTGCCAAAGCCACATTTCAAAATAGTAATGAACTAGGTTAAAATTATATTTATTTATGAACATTGGCGATAAATACCAAAAACATTGACAACAAAGAACTTTTCATTATATATCTTACCTTATAAAAAGAAAATTATATAGTTTTTAACCAGTCATCGACAGCAAACTGAAAGCTGGTTGTGGCCAAAATGCTTCCTATGAATCTGCCCGCGGATTCATAACAGGTTAGAGTACTAGGCCGCATTTAGAAAGCGGTGGAGAAGGTTGGGTCATGACCCTATAAACATTAAAAATATATATCCAAAATCGAAAATTTACAAGTACTATACGAGCTTTGGATCCGGGGGGCGGGGAGGGCTGGGCCGTGGCCCAGGGGCGGCACCCTGGATCCGCCGCTGCTAATGAATAACTTGTCAGCCGCTAAATGGGAATCCTAATTTTTGTTTAACCATAACGAGTTGGTATCAATAACTCGAGTTATTGCGGATCATATACGCATTTATTAATACTTTCGGATAGATCCTCCATTGCCGTATTTTTAACCAGTAGCGGCCACGCGACAACCGATGGAAAGCTGCTTCCTCCACATACATAGCTATCTAATTTTGGATTTATGGATTCCGCCATCCACATTGTCAAAATCTGTGTGTATATATATATCTCTTTCTCGATTACTTGTAATCGATCAAATCGAGTAAGAAAGAATCATAATAGAAAAGAAGTAGAAAAGGAAGGGGGAAAAAACCCATGAATTCTACTGCTCTAATGAAAGCGGCGGCGATAATAGCGGCGGCGGCGCTTTTCGCGACCGTTTCCGGCCAGCCACGTGGCAGTTCGTTCTGCAGTTGCGGCCGGGCAGGGGATCAGCAGAACTTCCCACTTCACGTGCGCGCCGTTCTCGACATCGTGGTGAACCGCACTTCCGGCCAGGTCGAGAACCCGGACTCCGGCGACACCGTCTTCACGACGACGTCGAATCCGGGGGCGAACCTCGACGCCGGCGCCGCCGTGGCGACGGGGACTTGTTTCAAGGGCGCGCCGACGGAGTGCTCGGCGTGTCTCCGGGAGCTTCGGGCGCTCTTGAAGCCCTGCGAGGAATTTGGGTGCGGCGGGGTTGAGTTTACCGGCGATTGCCACCTTCAGTTCGGCCAGATCAAATGAACCGTTGGTTGTTGTTGCAGAGTTGCGGTTGGTATTGGCGGGAGAATGTAACTGTCTCGTTTCGCTCTGTAATGTGGGTTGGTGTGCGGCGTCGTTTTATTAAAGTTTCAATTTTTTTTTTTGGTGATAAAAGTTTCTTTCTTTACTAATTAAAAAGCGTTAATTATGTCGAAATTATCAACCATGTCGAAATTTGTTCAAATAATTTGTTCAAACTCCGCAATGAAATGAAAGATGTGGGAAAGTGTTATATTTTTCATCTAATCGCCATGATAGATTTGGGAACTCCTTATAGCAGCATCTTGAAATTTGCTATTTTCCCGACAAAACATTAGAGGTACTCCAATCGTGCAAAATCGTGTGCGGGTGCCGTGAGGGATGTTGAAATTTCGACAGTACTTTAGAAGCAATGCATTAAGAGAACATTTAGTATCCATTCCGGACGATGTTTTTCTCCGTTTCACAAGTGGTGGTATGTAAGCGGAGATGATAATGTAGCTTTCACATTGGTGGTACAAGTCTTACTACCAATGAGAATGACACCAGAAATAAATCGAAATAAACCAAATTTTTTTATCATCTAACTACCCATCTTCAAACCAAACAATTGTACCTTAGATTTAAATCCAAGGACCAAGAATTGACGACTCATGCACATGAAAAAAACCCTAGCTAGCAAACTGATATTAATGGGCTTTGTACGTGGTAGTACTAACTAGAGATATATAACTAAATTACAATATCAAAATTAAATAAAATTAAAGGACAGCGTAATCAATGGGTTTCCAAAGTAGTTATATATGTCCATTCCATTAATTAATAATGATTAGAGGGAGGGAGCAATTGAGTAGTTCTCCTCCAACACCATCATCATCTCCCAACTATCACCTACCAAGTGTTCCCTTAATTGATTGCTTCTTTCATTTAATTATTTAACTAACAATTAATAAATAAATAAAAACCCTATAGCTTTACCCAATAGAAGTTCAGTTTCAACTCTCTAAACATTCTTCTTTGTCTTAGACTTTTCTGTCCAACAATTAATTAATCAATTAATCTTAATTTATTTTTGGACAGTGATAACGTGCTAATTTGTAATGTATTTGTTGTTTATTGTTGACTTATAGTCACTCTTAGTTATTACTTCTTAAATCAGAGGTGTGCTTATCGGAATAATTTAGACTAGTAAACGGCTTAGTTAGTTAAGTCCATCCACTTAGAATTCAGTTCAATTTCATCAATCCCCATTTGGTTTACTAAACCCAAATATAGCAACATTGTCAAACTATTTTTAATCATTGGATCAAGCAGGTGGGTCAAGGTTCGGTCGGCCAAATTGGAGCCGCAACTTCATTGACTCGAAGATATTGTGCCGTAAAGCAAAGAGAGGAAGGGTTAGTTGACTTGATCGCTCGATCAAACCATTAAAATCGGCGAGTACTAAGTTAATTCACTTCCAAACTAATTCGGATTGGGCAGAACAAAGTAATAATAACAGGTCTGTGTCGAACACGATCCAACCAAAAGGTTCGATCCCGATATAACGATCATGACTGAACCTAAAAAGATCGATGATCCACTACAGGAAAGAGCTTTCCTTCTAAATCATTTCAAGATAATTATTCTTGAGCATGTTATAGGTCATGATTAACTTTGAACCTAATCATTTAAGTCACTAACTAGCTACCAATTTATAATTTACCACCCTCACCTAAGTAGGTAGCTGTGTTTGGGGTGAAATTACCTTATTGCCATCCCAACCACGGTCGTTGCATTTGAGAGGAGTGGTCAAACTCGAAATAGAAAAAGGGTGAAAAGGGAAAAAAGCAAATGAAAGAAAAGGAAATTGAAGGATAAAAGGCTGGCAGTTTGGTACTAGTACCCGACCCGATAAATATGAAACGGGTCCACTTCTACTTATTATTGTGTTCTTTCATTCATTGCTTTTTTTTTTGGGCCCGATGGCCCATGGCCATGACCCCAAAGGAAAGGCAAAAAACCTCATCTTTAGGGCACTTTAGGTGAAAGGTCATGGTGATGGAGGGTACCCTAGGGGAAGTGCTAAATGACCTAAGAGGGCATCTTTATGACATGTATTAACAATTTTTTTTTAGTTATATTGGTGCTAAATTGCTAATTAAGTTTGTGATGTGAATAAAGAAAGTTACCGGATAAGCCCCGTCGACTTGATAAGTACGTAGTATGTTGCGATGTGTGGTTTTGAACTGATCGGTGCCATACATTTATACGAAGCAATCAAGACCCTCAAAACTAGATCAACACTTGTAGGTTGCAGCTTATACAAAGAAGTCTGAAGCTCTCGAGTTTTCGAAATCGGTTTACAACGCTCATACCTGTTCGCTTAATGGCATACATTAACCATTCAGACTTCAGAGTGCTAGCTAGCTAGCCAAGAAATGATACACCTGATATTTTTTTTATTGAATTGATTTTGCAAAGATAGTAGGAATAGATCATCAAGAATCTCAAATTTTATAATTATAAGTAATGTCATAGAATAACTAAGAAATGGAGAGTTGTCCTTGGTAAAAAACCATAACAACTCTTTACTAGATATCTAGAAGATACAAACCTTCTCACTGTACATGTGATTGGCGCAAGCTACCAACTTAGTAACAAAAGGTTGGAAGGGAAATCCAGAGGTGTGTTTTCACTTTCAGTACAGATTTAATTCGGTTGCTAACCGAAACAAGAATGAACAAACAGAGCATTTTTCAGAACAGATGTCAAAAGAGAAAAAGAAATGGTTGTTTTTCCCCCCCATTTTGCACCGAGTTGGAGTCAGTCAGGCACCGAACGGAGAAGAGAAGAAGAGTCCTTTTCTTTCTTTGCTTCATTTCATTTTCCCTCTCTTCCTTCTTGCCTTCCTTCCTCTCTCTCTCTCTCTCCCTGGCGCTTGCTTTTTAGAAAAGGAGAGGAGAGCAGCCTAAACCAATTACGCCATTCCTTAGATTCTCTTTCTCTCCACAGTGATTTCACTCCATTCTTACTTACTTTTCCTTTTCTCTCTCCCTCTGCAAAAACCCAACACACTGAAATCATTCCTGTCCCCCCTTGCATGAAGAGCTGCTAGCTAGCAACTACTTTTTCCTCTTCTGGGTTTTTGGCCCTCTCTGCAATTTGTCCTTGCTTCTCCCTCTCCGCCTCTCTGTAAGTTCTTACATTTCTTCTCTTCCTTTTCATGTTTCCGGCTTGTTCTTCTTCTGGGCTGCATTCTTTTCCTGGAAATTTTTATGATCGAATTCGACAGAGTTGAAGTGGGTAGTGAGCAGGCAGGAGATGATGCTTCGTTTGTTTTTCTAGTTTTGCTAAATTGAGCTGAGACTCCCTGCCTGCAATTTAAAATGGACAGTGTCCTAAATGTGACTGGATTGATTTCCATTTCACCTGTATTCTACTAATGTGGCTTTGAGTTGGGTAAGTTTTCATTTGGGTTCATAAGAAGAATGTCCCTTCTAGTGTGCAAATGTAAAAGGACATTCGAAAGTTTGGATCTTTATTTGGATTACAGGAAATGAATTCTTAAAACTTTGGTTCAGGTCACCTAAACCCACCAACCAATTTGGATTACCCGTTTTTTTTTAATGTTTTCTTCATTTTGTCCTTTCAATTGGAGCTACCACTTGATAGTTCTTCTGTTTTTCCCCCTTCTCTTTGCATCAGCTTGGTTCTAGTTTATCCCTAATGCATGCTTCTTTTGATGCTGGGATTTCAGTGATGTGCTTGAATTTGTCTTCTTTAACATATTGGACAAACAATGGAATCTTGCATGTATTGTGATTCTGTACCTCAGGAACTGAGGAATGTGCAATGTTGCTTTTACATTATACTGATTTGTTTCTTTTCCTTTGCTCTTATGTTGTTCTGTGGACGAATTAGGGAAAAAGTTCAATCTTGGACCCGATCTATAATGACCAAGGTTAGTCCACTTGGAGAGCAGATGATAGGAATGGAGATCTTCCTTCCAGTTTCAGCTGATGTCAGCTTCCCTTTGGACCGGTTTCCCAAGTACAAGCTAGGACCTGAGAATCAGGTAGTAGAAGAGCCGAAAGAGGATGAAAAGGGACCATTATTGAAGGACATTGTTGAGCAGGAGACAGCACAGCTCTCAGATCAGCATAAACGCCTGTCGGTTCGTGACCTGGCCAGTAAATTCGACAAGAACTTGGCTTCTGCTGCTAAGTTGGCCGAGGAGGTTCTCTCTCAAAACTCTTGCCAATTCCGATTTTATCTCAGCCTGCTACATTTGTCACTTTTGGCTACTGTCATTTTGTACGAGAAAACTATCCTTTGGTAATTATGCTTCACCTATAGTTAAACTGTCTTGTATTTGATGTAATCAGGCGAAACTTAGAGAAGTGGCTTCGCTAGAGGGGCATGTGCTTTTGAAGAAGCTGAGAGATGCATTAGAATCTTTGAGAGGACGTATGGCAGGGCGAAACAAAGAGGATGTAGAGCAGGCTATCTCTATGGTTAGTTACTTAGTAGTTCTCTTGCCTGGTTTCCATTTTCCTTCATTCGGGTATAGTAGCTGGATATCTACATGATTGCGGAATTCCATTTGATGCATCTGGGTTCTGGGATTCCATTCTAAGGGGAGTATTTGCTGTTGGTAATTAACAGTTACTTCAAACTGCAGGTGGAAGCATTGGCTGTGAAGCTGACTCAAAAAGAAGGTGAACTAATTCAGGAGAAGTTCGAAGTGAAAAAGCTTGCAAACTTCCTTAGACAGGTTGACCAATGTTACTCGTTTTTGACAATATGCAGAGAATTATTATGTCAAAATGATCTCTTCTTGTTCACCAATTCTGTTTCATCATTTCATATTGATGTGTTCTGTGGTCTCTACAGGCTTCAGAAGATGCTAAGAAGTTGGTCAGCCAAGAAAGATCGTTTGCATGTGCTGAAATAGAAAGCGCAAGGGCAGTTGTTCAGAGGTTTGGGGAGGCCTTAGAGGAAGAAGAAAAAAATGCTCAAACTTCTAAAAACTTGTCTCCAGTAAGTTTAGCCATCTTTTTAGCGTCTCCGTCCACTCTATTTGATTGTCACTTACATAGACTTCATCTTCAGAAATTGTTAGACTGATTCCTGATGGTATTGCAGAATGTGGAGGTACTACTTGAGGAGGTTCAAGAGGCTAGAAGAATCAAATTGCTGCATCACCCGAGCAAGGTATGCCTGTACGATCTTGTAATTTAGTTGTTGCGTGGCTTGAAGTAACATCCCACTGTTTTTAGGATAAATAGTTGCTTGTTATACAAGTCTTATAGTTGGCACTTGTTAATTGGTGGAAAACTTGAGGCTTTTGAGTCTTGGAACTGTAGGAAGTGGGAAAGGCCTTCTTCCCATTGATCGTTCAATTTGCATTTGAATTGTTATATAGACATTAGATGTTGTAAATGTTATACTGTCATGACATGTGCATGATGGAATGCATGGAAGTCAACCTCGTGAATCATACTGCTGTTAGTTATTTCCAGCCATGTCTTGCAACCGCAATCATCACAAATCTAAGTCATGTTAACCTTTTACTTTTTCCTCTTCTCTTTCTTTCGCGTTACAAGAAAGTGTGTGATTTATGTAGGTGATGGACATGGAGCATGAACTTGGTGCACTCAGAGCTCAAATCCGCGAGAAAGCCATCTTCTCTGTGAAACTTCAGAAAGAGGTTTGTTTTTCCTCGTTACCCGCTCTTCCCCCCTGTGATGATTTCTTGCCTTATTCATTTCTCTCTGAAGTTGTTTATTGCCTGTTGTCTAAGGCGCTGACTTCCATTTTTCTGATGCAGCTGGCAGTCAGCAAACGAGTAGAGGAGAACAAATTAGCAATATACAGAATAGAAGGATCTGAAACTCTCGGTTCGTGTTTGCGTCTCCATCCTCGTATTAATGATGCTCCACTACTTTCAAAATGCTCAATTCAGTGGTACCGCGTCTCATCTGAAGGGAGTCACAACGAAGTCATTTTAGGTACGAATGATATGTCATTGGTTCATACTATACTTCAGATTTGACTATCTACACATTTTGATATGGTTTTAATCAGTTCTTTTCCTCTTCTGGTGACTCAAAAGGCGCTGAAAAGCCAATATATGCTCCTGAACCACTTGATGTTGGCCGGGTCCTTCAGGTCGAGGTGGTTTCAAACGGCCAGAAAGTTAGCAGCGTAACAACCGCTGGTCATATCGAGCCAGGTGCTTCCTATATTAGCAATGTTCCCTTGCACTTGCTTTCATTGTGTGCCATATGTACATCGTGGTAACTGAATAGCTCGTGAACTTTGGTTTCTTAAACAGCTCCAGGACTTTTGAGCCATGTAGAGACACTTCTGCGAAAATCTAGTGCTGAATTTAGTGTAAGCAAACTCTCCTATACTCCCGGAAGCTTGATACTTTACATATTAGCTTTCTTCTCACTTGGTTTTGGTTATGTGTTGTATATGCAGGTGACAATTTCGCAGATCAATGGACAAGACAATCCATCACATTCAGTCCATTCGTTTAATGTGGGGAAGATGAGGATAAAACTTTGCCGAGGATGGATCACAAAGGCGAGAGAAATTTACTCAGCATCCATGCAGGTAACTTCTACTCTGCTTCTCATGAACTGCGAAGATCACTATATGTCGAACGTACAGCTGAGTGACAAAAAGAAGTAAGATTGTAGATAACGAGTTGGATGTAAACCCGTTAATCCTAGTCATTAGAATCTTATAAGGTGTCTATAAGTTCAAAAGAAGACTCCAAGATGTAATCTTGTTGACATTTTTTGTGTTCTTGTTCTCTAGTTATGTGGAGCTCGAGCGATTAGTAGCAATACTGCCTCAAAGTCACTCTTCTGGCAACCCAGGAAGGGGCTATCCTTCGTGCTGAAGTTCGAGACAGAGCAAGCGAGGAATGCAGCCATTACGATTGCCAGAAAGTTCTCAAATGATTGCAATGTAAGTAACTAAAATTGCTCTCATCTTCGACCTCCTTCACAGCAAAGAAGTTCACTTTATCAGAGCCTTTGATGGACGAAAAAATCTCGGTTTCGTTACGTGACAGGTTATACTTGCTGGACCAGATGATCAAGTATAGAACGGGGAAAAAGGGTCTGCTAGTCTGCTACTAACCTTGGCATTCTACCTCCTTTTCCCCTAATTTGGGGAGCTTTTTCTTCCTTTTCACAGTAGGGAGTGGTGTGTGGAAGTGTTGAAAGAGAGAGTGTGTGGGGTTTTTGCCTTGGTGGTGAAGAAAAAGAGAATGCAGCTTTACCATTTCCAATTGTTTTTTTTTTTTTTTTCTTTTCAATTTCTGGGGTTATGAATTGGGTATGTGGCTTTAGGCATGTGTGTTTTATTAATCTGCCTAATCATCTGTTTGTAAACAAAAAAGCTATTTAGATCCTTTTTTCTCTATAATTTGATGACTCAGCTTGTCTGTGGCTTCCTTCCAAGAAAAAAAGGAACAATGGTTTCTCAATAGAATCACTGTGACGAGGATTTACCACCGCAGAGGAAGGAAGGAGGAGATGGGAACAGGGGAAAGGAGTTTGCAGAGAGAAGAAGGGGGAAACCCAATGGAAGAAAAGGGCCTGACCAGCTTTACGAGCCGGCCCATACGCTTTCATTACTAAGGGCCCAGTAAGATTGTTATTAAGAGGGTCACAAGAGCCCACTGAAGGTTTACTAAAATCCGATCCACGTGTGCATCCACCTGTCGAAACCACCCCTTTCTCCTCCCTCCCCCTCCACGTGTCCCCCCGAAACGCTCCACGTGTCCCCCGCACTCCCCGGCCCACCGTTATATCGTCTCTCCCCACAAAACAAAAAATTGAACGGTGATCAAACCAATTCCAGTATTCAACAATGGCCGACGAATTCAGGCTAGTGATGCCGGGAGTGAGCCACGAGGGAAACCTGCCGAGGAAGTACACCGGCGAGGGTCAGGGCGCCACCAAGAACCTTTCCCCGCCGTTGGAGTGGTACAACGTTCCCGAACCGACCAAGACCCTGGCCCTCGTGGTCCAGGACATCGACGCGCCCGATCCCAGCGGCCCGCTCGTGCCCTGGACCGTGTGGGTGGTGACCAACATACCGCCCGCGGTCAAGCGCCTCCCCGAGGGGTTCTCGGGGAAAGGGGAGGATCAGCTGGGCGCGGCGGGCGCGGATTACTCCGCGGTGAAGGAAGGGAACAACGACGAGAAGGTCCCCGGGTGGCGCCCGCCGTTGGTCCCGAGCCACGGGCACAGGATGGAGTTCAAGCTCTACGCTCTGGATACCGAGCTTCATCTTGGCAACAAGGTAAATTTTAAATTTTTTTTTTTTTTTTGAATTGACGAGTTGGTTTCCGAATCGAATCGGTTGCGAGATCGAGCTAATGGTGTGTTGCAGGTGACGAAGGAGAAGGTGGAGGAGGCGGTTGAAGGGCATGTGCTTGGCGAGGCGGTTCTCATTTGCATGTTTTGATTCTGCCATTTTTTTTTTTTTTTGGGTACTCTTGTGACTAGTGAAGTGAAATCAAATGAGATCTTGCAGCACTTTTTTTGTCATCGTGGCTTGATTGGTAGGGGTGGTGATGATGCCATCAACCAGCTAAACGTAATATTACTGAGAAGGGTATTTTTAACAAGTTCAAATTTAACCCCTGCTGTCGTAATAATTTAAAATAGTGTTGAGATGGTATTAGAACGGAAGGAATAAATGGACAAATTCGTGTGTATTAGCTAATTTGAGACATATAAATAGCAAAGGTTGCAAATTATAGGTTTTTCAATGATATTAATCTAAATCTTAGACAAAACAATATTATTTAATCCCGCTCATTTCCATCTTGCTTTGTTGATTTAATAATTAATAAGCTTTAAGAGCTTTCTATAATGTATTCTAATGGTTAATTTTTAGTTGACGTAATGATACAATTTATCTTATCAGACTCGTTTCATCCCTCACAAAAAAAAAAAAAAAAACCGCAGTTAGCCTAATGAGAATATTTCTCAGTGAAAAACTAATCCCCTTTGTTTTCTTTCGAAGGAAATTATCTGATTCATTCAAAAACCATTATCAAAATTATGCAATAAAAAAAAAAAACTTTAACTCATCAGCGGAAATATAAATAGGAAGGGAGCGCGGTGAGATTAGATTCTCTTTCCTTTCGACTCGCGAGAGATTTGGTGGGAAAGGAAGAAGAACCGATAGGAGGAGAGAGAGAGAGAGATAGGGGATAGAGAGAGAAAGCCCAACGGAAAAAAAAATCACCCGATTCCACGCCAACGACGGAATAAGGGTTTTCTGTGGTTTTTCTTTGCCCTTTCCTTTCCCTCTCCTCCATCTTCCAATCCTAATCTTCTCCTCCACCACCACCTCCTCTCTTCCGAATTTTGGGAAGCCGCTGCTTCAGCAATGGAGAAGAAGAATTCCGCAGCTTCTTAACGATTCCTCTCCTCCCTTCCCTTCTCTCTTCCCCTCTTCCTCCAGAAGAAGGCGAAACGCACCTGTCGAACCAGAAGAAGAGGGAAGGAATTGGGAGAAATCTCTCGCCCCCGCCGGTCAGACGAGCTATGGTTGCTACCTCTACCTCCGCTGCTGCCGCAGTCGCCGTCCAGGTTCAGGCTGCTGCTGGATGCGTTCAAATCGGCGACAACAAGGAGTCCCTGGTGGATTCCTTCCTCGTCGAGGCACTCCAGAATCCGCGCCACCGTCTCACCAGTTAGTTTCTCGTTTTCGTGTTCTTCTTCTTAGTCGATGTGTGAATTTTTTACTCGGTCGTCTGTATCGATCTCGTTTCTGTTGTTTGGTCGAATTGATGCGTGGATGTGTGGCGTTTACTTGCAATATGTGGGAGCTGTAGGGTTTATTTTGTTGTCCGATGTGTTGCTGGTGGATTGGTTGAGGATTAGGGTTTGGATTCGGCGGAGATTGACTTTTCCATTGGATTCTGGTGTAGATAGTGAGATCTGGTAATTGTGACGCTATTGATGCTTGTGAGATGTGCGATCAATTGCATTGGTGAATGGAGGCAACGGTGTCTAAATCTGGTTATGTGTTGACACTTTGAATCTAGTGGAATTGCACAACAAACCTTTGGAATTTCTTTCTAGTTTCTTTTAGCTACCTATACAAGGCGTTGATGTACTCGTCACTCGGAGATTATGGGCTTTCATGTGTTTAGTACGAAGTACGAACTTTGGGAGGCTGCTAGAATGTCAGAAACGTCAATTCCTTTGGCAATACTACCTGTTGATAAATTTTAGTAGTGGATATTTCCGATTTGAATGTTACGCTATGCACAATGTTATCCCTTATGATCTACATTATTGGTGTCTTATATTCTTGAAAGACATACTAACTTTCTGAGTTTATATTCAGTTCTAAGGATGGAGCTTGACATCCAGAGATTCCTACAGAACGCCGAACAACAGCAATTTGAATTCCAGCATTTCCCTACGTCATACCTCAGGCTTGCAGCACACAGGGTAGCCCAACACTATGGGTTGGTCACCATGGTACAGGACAATGGAGTAGACGGACAACTGAATAAGATTGTGGTTAGAAAAACAGGAGAAAGCAGCAGATGCCCTTCTGTCCGGTTATCAGGCATTCCTGCTAAACAGTCGGACGGTGACCAACCAGAAAAGGTCAAGATTGCTATTCGGCCTCGACCTAACAATGCTGCAAATGGCTCTAATGACTTCGGCCTCAAACGAAGCCCCGTGAGGAGTGTTGAAGAGAGGAAGGAGGAGTATGATAGAGCAAGGGCTCGTATTTTCAGTTGCCCCGGTAGCCCAAGCTCGGATGATGTGATGTCTCAAGGTCCTACGGACAAGAAAGTTATATCTTCAGTACAGGATGAGTCTGAGGGTTGGAGGAACCCTCCAGTTGATCCTATCAACATCAGGGATGGTTCTTCGTCTCGGGTTGCCATTTTCAGAGACAGGGAGAAGGATTGTTTTGACCCAGATTATGACCGTAGTTACATGAGGTAAAAAATTAATTCCACCTGCATCATGTTCTTTCATGTCTTTGAATATGCGATTTAATCACCAAGTTGCTTTTATGTTTGAGTGAATGCCAGGTATGGTAGGGGTGCCCTTAATAACCAGTGCTTCAACATGTTGCCATTCAACGTTCACAAGGTGCAGATGCCCTACATTCAGTACGAGACCGGTTTTCCCCAATTGGTTCCGATGGTGAGGAATCAAGGTTCGCTTGGGTACGGACATCCGGCTGCAAACCCAGTTTTGAACCCCTACTGTGCTGTTGGGGCAAACCAAATGGCACCGGACGCAGCAGCATATGCTCAGTGGCCAAGTGCATCTATGATGTATGCACATTCCTATGACCAGTTTAGGCACGCAGTTTTCCAGGTACGCCTGGAGTTCATCATTTTTTCCCCCCTGTGTTTGTTACTCGGCATATTCCCCCAATGTAGGCTAACTTAATCATCGGGGGTATCTCTTTCCTGCAGGCTCCATTCTGTCAGCAGCCACTGACGTTCGATTACAGTCAAAACCATTAAAATGACAGCAGATCCTAGGTTTGTAATTGTATTGCCAATTAGCTATATGTACTCGTCGAAAACTTCTCTGTTTAGTTAAAAGAACTGCAGCAGTCGGGTTGCTTGGTTGCGTACCTTCTGTTATCGTTGCTTTTTCTCTCTTCGTTCCTCTTCTGATGACTTGAAAATTGTAGTAAAAGGACTGTAACTGTTTCTGTCACATCTTGGGTTCTGCATTGCAGTACCTCTGTTTTCTTAGGAAAAAATCCCAGAATACACCAATTATTAAAAAAAATTACCAAAATACAGTACTTATAAAAGTAATTCCCAAAATACAGCAGTTTCAACATCACTGTCTTTGTCTAAGACAGTGATGTTGATCACCGTTTTGGTCTAAAACGATGATACATCACCGCTTTAGACAAAAGCAGTGATGTTATCACCGCTTTAAACCAAAGCAGTGATGCCATCATCGCTGTCAAGGACGACAGTGATGGCATCACCGTTGATGTGGCAGGCAGTGAAGCCTTCACCGTTGGATCCAACAGCGGTGAAGGGGCGCGGATCGCTGACGTGGACGCGCGCGGGCACTTCACCGCTGAAGACCAAAGCGGTGATAGCCCCGCTTTCCACGTCAGCGATCCGCGCCCCACCCCGCGCCTTCACCGCTGCCGTCGGATGCAGTTATGCGCGGATTGTGGTTTTTCTCCACAATCCGACGCATCAGGAGAGGCCACGTCAGCGATCCCTGCCCATCACCGCGTCCAACAAAAGCGGTGATGGCGCTGTGTTTGTTTGGGGCGGTGATAACTGGCCAGGTGTTTTCCCAGCCCCAAACCCTATATAATAATTAAGTATAGTATATAATTAGTACATCTTGGATACAAAAACAATATCATCCAAAGCGATAATAAAATGCAACTAATTTATCTATTATGAGAAAACTAAACAAATTCATCTAAATTCATAACTAGCTAACTAACATCTATCATATCATAATTAAACTAAATAATATCATAACATATTTTCCAATAACCGCAATTCACTAAATACAGACAGTATAATTACTAACACATCAACATGTAAAAAATACATACTTATAACATACTCAATCCCGATCTATCATGATAACTAAACAAATTAATCTAAATTCAGTACTAACTAACTAACATATATCATTAATCTAAATATATAATTCTAACATACCTAATTCTAGCACATAATCAAAATGTAAACAATACATAATTCTAACATACCGAATCCCGACGAGTTTCTTGAGCAGTAAACTACGGAGGAACCAGCTGCGAAAACGACTTAACAAAACGATAATTTTGGTACTAATTTTCTGTTTGGCAGGAGTGTTTGGCAGCAGGAGGGAAGAGGGGGCGTGGGTTTTTATAGGAAAAAATTGGGGGCAATCACCGCTTTGGACAAAGGCGGTGAACTATCATCGCCTTAGTCAACAGCGGTGATGGCTAGGTAGCTGTTACCTACCTGTCCACCTACCAGGGCTGTGTAAAACGTGGGGGCAATCACTGCTGTGGACAACAGCGGTGATGGCTTCACTGTTGATGTCCAAAGCGGGGATACGTTCCCCGCTTTTGTCAAAAGCAGGGATACAATCCCCGCCTTGGACAAAAGCGGGGAACGTATCACCGCTTTTGACCACAGCGATGATGCATTCCCCGCTTTTGTCCAAGGCGGTGATGCGTACCACGCTGCTTCACTGCTTTGGACAAAAGCGGTGATCAACATCACTGTCTTAGACAAAGACAGTGATGTTGAAACTGCTGTATTTTGGGAATTACTTTTATAAGTACTGTATTTAGAGAATTTTTTTTAATAACTCGCGTATTCTGGGATTTTTTCCGTTTTCTTACTACTAGTACGCAGGTTTATGTTTGTTCAAATGGTGTCACCGTTTTACCTACTGTTCTCGCCAGGTCTCGCTATGCATCGTAAATCGTTAGTATCGTCGGTTTAATCTCTTCTACTGATTTTTCGGGCTTATAAACAGCAAGTACTAATAATTAGTGCTTTCTTGATTTGTTAATGGCGACTTGATTGAATGATTGACTTTCTTAGATTGCTGTTTTTTGCCCTTTGGGGTTAGGGCGATGGTGCCAGTCTGGCAAAGGGCACATCCTGTTTCCTTCCTGTCTTTTCTCGGACTTGTTTATATTTAGGCGTCCAATTAAGCTGTTGGTGGACTGATCTTAATGGGTTCCTAAAATAGGAAGAAAATACCTTTTTTCCCACTAGATGATAAAGAAGAACACAGTACTTGGGCCTTTTGTATGGATCTAGTGAGCCATTCGTTTTAAGCTTTTGTTTCTTTCTGTTTTGTGGTGACATGTGAGTTGCCTACTAAATTTTTTTTTTCCGCGCCCATGTCGTTGGTTGTTGTATCTTCTGCCGTTTTTGTTGAAGTTAAGGGCCATACCGAATCATTTTGTGCTACATGTGGCCAGAGTATATCCAATTTTTGTAGTGCTCGCGCTTATTTCGTAAATACGTGCTCGTGCCAAATGCCAATGATATGCATATTACTTGATTTATAGTCGTCGTTGTGTATTAAAAAGAGTCGTCCATCATTCCTATGCGGATTACAATGCCCTTTCTGTTTCGTGGGGGGGAAATTCGGGGAAAGAGCTCTATTTGCTTACAATAACCCTCATCAACATGAGTATGTATGAGAATATCACAACATTTGCGCCGTGAACGGGGAAAAGCCCACCGTTCCTCGTATCATTTTGCATTTTCTTATGACCAATAGATAGCTACCGAGAATGGATCCTCTTAATCGTACGGCTAATATCTTATCACTTGATTAGTTTCTCGATCACAATTCACAGGGATATGCCTCTCTTTTTTTTTTTTCGGGCCACATTTTCGGCCATATGTATCACCCGATTTTACATTTTGTGCACTATTTATTTCCTCCACTGCCCCACCTAACCTTGGATGAAGATCAAATATAGGGCCTCTACGTGATAAAGCTTTTGGGACAAGAATTGAGGCCCTGGGGGCTATCTCTCAAGACATCCATTATTGCCTAGATGAAGTCAGAGTTAAAATGACTGCAATCCCTCTTTTCTTTCTCCTTTTTTGGGGACCAAAGTTTTGGAGTTATTTGAGGAGGGAATCTAACTTTTTTACCCGTATGACAAGCTAAGCTACTTCTTCCTCCACTTTCTTGATGTGCAATCTGTGATTTTCGTAGGCTATAATAAATAATATAAATAAGAATCCACAAACCAATCGAGAACCCCCCAAAACAAGAAATAGTGGGGAGGGAAAAAGAATTAAACAAGTCACTTCCTTTGTTGTAATATATATCTATGATTAATTAATTGAGATTAATTGAGTTGATTAATCCTTGGGTGATATCATTTTCTTTCTGATCCTCAATCTTGCTGATCTCCCCACCTCCTCCCATGTTTATGTCACTACTCGTTTTGGAGGTTGGACAGGAGGCGCGTGCACCCCCATGCACCACGCACCGGTGGTTTGAGTAGCTTTTACGTATGTCTAGTAATAATTTCGTTGTATATATAATGACGTCTGATCATAATTTCGAATGAAATTAAAAAAAAAGCAAATATGAAAAGAGGTTGAAAATTTGAATCACTGGATCGAGAGGGTCCGTTGAGGTATCATACGGACTGTCGTCTAGGTAACTGCATGTTCGTTTTTTAACCGTCTTGATTTGTCGTCTGAAAACTGGATATTTAATATATTATTAGTGTTTCATTTATCGTATGATCATTTATTAAGCTAACCAAAGGAAAAGGGGGGCTTGATTGTGCCAAGATTATGAATTCGGTTTGGTTGAAAAACTACCCTAAACTAGGGATCTGGAGTCACAATCAGTTTGGAAGTTGCGGAGTAAAGGAAGGTAGAAGTAACATGAAAGAGATTATGCTAACTGAGTCTTATGTCTTTCACAGGGCATGTCTGATCATAACATTCGCAAAGTTGCATCGTAAGCCAACCAGAAAATTTCTTTAAATGATTAATGGAGCAGACGATCATATCATGTATTCGATCTTAAGTTGATGTAATTGTAGTTTCTTAATTGTTACCAGGAGAAAAGAAAGAGAGGGAGGCAAATGTGGAATCCTACCAGCAGGTGGATGAAATTGACTGGAAATCAAACGGATTAATTATTAATTTAATGGATTAGAAAGCTTTGTGGAAGGGTCGATGCAACCAAATTGGATAAAGACATCCTTGTTTAAGAGCATCGTACAAGAAAAGAAGCCACACATGTGGATTTCAACATCTTGTTCCAATCCAAAGCTTCAATCTTTTTTTCTTTTTCTTATATAAAACTGAAACACAAGGAGCCCCATCAAGCTTCGAGTTTTCAGAAACAAGAAGTCAGAAATGGATTTACGATTTTGCCCCTTGCATGGCCATTGTTGGATTGGAGCATCTTAGATTTTTTTTTTGTCCCTAAAAAATGCCATTGTGTGTTGGCACCAACAATGGAACAAAGTGCAAGACTCCAAAAAGAGGAAAGCAAAGAGCACGAAAATGATAGGGTTGTCTGAATCTCTTGTTTCGTGGCGATTGTTGGGTTGGGAGTTGTCGGTCAAGGTAGTTTGCTACACCTTTTTTCTAGTTTGCAAAAGATTTTAAGAGAGAGCGTCGACTCTGTGTATTGGACGATTCGAGATGTTGTGGTGCAATTAGTTTGTTGCAAGTTATTGCAAGAGCATATCTTTTAGCTAATTTTTCAACACTCTTGAAATACGAATTTTCAACCTTAGTTTCGATAAGCAGATTTTCTATCACCCTTCTGAGGAGAGTAGAGATGAAGGGGAGGAGGTGAAGGTGGAGGTTATGCACAATAATATAATAATCATTGTGTACGAGGTGTCCTCTCACTCTAAGAAACCGAGAAGGGTAAGAAATGAAGATACGACACTCAAGTTTGATGTAAGTAAGGCTGCTTCATATATACTTGTGGAAAGAGAATGCCTCGACGCCATCATTCAGGATCACGATATTTACAATCAGTGGCGAAATTTTAATCAGAGCATGTCCCCCCAAAATTTGTCTCATTGTCCATTCTCATCAATAAGAACTGGGGGTATGTAAAATTGCAATAGGGACTTGCTTAGAATGACTAAACACATTAATCATGTTAAAATACTTGTCTCCGGTTCTTTTTCCCCATTCGACAATACTGAATACTTTGTTAGATATAAAAAGATTTACATTTCTAATTAAATATGTATATTTTGTGGCATAAAATGAGTCGTTTGCTTCACAACTTTGGATTGAGTGAATATACTTATCTTCTTTAGGGAACGGAAAAGGACGAGAAGGTCCATGAGAAAAGGGGGGGAAAAGGGACGAGAATTCTAATTCCCAACGGCGGCGGCGGAGAAGACCTAACAACGAGCGGCGCGTGGAGAACATGCGACGGTGGAAGGGCGTGGAAATATAAACCTGGTAGGAATCTAGCAACAAACACTCACAAAGAGGCACATTTTCATCAAATTAATTAATAAAATAATTATGAATACGATCTGATGATATGAAAGAGAGAATGAAATAATCGGGGCGATGATGCGACCCGACCCGACCCCACATTTACCCCCCATATCCCAGATATTAAATTCCACATTTATTAACAACAAATCAAACACCTAGGGAAAAAAAAAACTTGTGGAAAATTTTCAAATTTTATTGTGAGAAAATCTCTAGAATTGTCAAAGAAGAGTAGTACTTGGGATTGGCCGGATATCTCAATAATCATAAAATTGTTTTACAAGAAGCGAAAGTAAGATTGAGAAGTATTCACATAAAACACGGGTCAAAATTAGATGATTCCTTATGACACGAAATATATTTTTTGACATGATCAATCAACTCGAGATTATCCTAGACGCGGATGTCGCAATCAGTTGTAGTTGTAATATCTCATAAAGAAGCAAAAAAAAAAAAAAAATAGTCTCGAAACAAGGATTGAAACAGGGTGTCTACAATCCAGGGAGGCAACGAGATGAAATTAGATCCACACTTCGATGCTTGTGGGACGACTAGTACTCGTATGAAATGAATCGGAGCCGATCAATGCATAATATGCGGCAGGTCAGATAAAAATTGAGATAGATTTAAGTCCCCATGCTCGCTACTATAGAATTATTTGAGACACGGGCAAGAGTCGAGCACAGAAACGGAGCGTGAGGAAACAGATTCCGCTCTCGCGCTACCCCTCGATGCTCGCACTTGTAATCTTTCAATACTCGAGGAAACATATACGAATACAAGAACGAAGCAAAACAAATATGATTAAACATATCGAAATTGAAATCATGAGGAGCTATATATATTATTATTATTATCCTTCCCAAACATGTTGATAGGTTGGAAATCATTTAACAATGAAGCCAAAAATCGGGGCAAAAAGGAAATGGGGAAATGAGGGGGGAGAATTAATAAAAGCAGAGCATCAGCCAACAGTACTCTCTAAAAATAAAATAAAAAGCTGAACAGAAAGAAAGCCAAACAAACAAGATCCACCTCGATTCGAACATCTCTCCTCCTCCTCCTCCTCCTCCTCCTCTTCACTCCCTCCGCCGTCCCAATCCCAATTCTCCTCCGCCTTCCACCGCCGCTACACTCTGCAGTCACAGAGAGAGGGAGACGACTGAGAGAGAGAGAGAGGCCGAGGATTTCACCGAATAAAGAAGGAAGAGCTAAAACCAAACCAGCTATGAGGGAGGAGGATTCCAATTGGTTCGCTCGATGGGAAGAGGAGCTTCCCCCGCCGGACGAGCTCATGCCAATCACTCAAACCCTAATCACTCCCGATCTCGCCCTCGCCTTCGACATCCGGAATCCCACCAACTCCTCCGCGGCAGCGGCCAGCAATTCGCTCCACCAGAATCAGAATCAGCCGGTCCCGCCGCCGCCGCCGCCGCCGCCGCCTCTACCGACATCCAGCGGCTTGCCTTCTCCCAACGGGAACCCTTCCCTGGCGACTTCACAGCACAACTCGTCCGAATTCGCCGCCGACTCCTCGGCGGAGCTGGGGTCCGGCACCGGGGGCGACGAGCCGGCAAGGACGCTGAAGCGGCCGAGGCTGGTGTGGACGCCGCAGCTCCACAAGAGGTTCGTGGACGCCGTCGCGCACCTGGGGATCAAGAACGCGGTGCCCAAGACGATAATGCAGCTCATGAGTGTGGACGGGTTGACTAGGGAGAATGTCGCCAGTCATTTGCAGAAGTACCGGCTCTACCTCAAGAGGATGCAGGGGTTGTCTTCCGGCGGCGGGGGAGGCGGCGGCGGGAGTGGCGGGGGGTTGAGTGGTGGTTCGTCTACCGTTGGTGTGGATGCCGCTACCGACCATTTGTTCGCGAGTTCCCCTGTCCCGGCGCATTTCTTGCATCCCGGTAGGCCGCCTAATTCCGATCATTTCTTGCCGTTTGTTCCTGTTAGCGCCCTTCAGCATCATCATCACCAGCAGCAGATGGCGGCGGCTGCCGCAGCGGCCGTTGCTCATCCGCAGCTGCAGGGTCAGTACCATAGGCAGCTGGGGCATTTTGGGTCGCCACCCAATGGGCAATTCGATCATTCGTTTCTGTCTAGGCCGGCGGCGCAGCATCAGGCTGTGCATAGAATGGGGCCGCCGGTGCACAATGCGGCGGTTCCAGGGTATGTGGAGGATTTGGAGTCTGCAAATGGAAATGGTGGAAGGAAAGTTCTCACTCTGTTCCCCACTGGAGATGATTGAAATTGAGCTCTACTGATGGGGGTTCTAACTTCCCCTGTTCATCAGTCTTCTGTTAATTGGTAATTAATGGTAACCGCTTCTTACATTCTAATTTTAGGTTCGTTCATGGTGGTTTGTTCTGTTCCCCATTGTGGAAAATTCTTCAATCATTACCAAGGGGATAGTACTTCAGTAGCTCATCAGTTGGGGATTTGATGGTTAATGATGATCATTAGCCTCTTCTAGTGACAATCCTTTGAACCGAGCTACCTGTGGATATCTGCTGGTTCCATCTAAAGTTTTGGACGGCAGTCTATAAGTCCACCCTCATGTCACATTGCGAAAACATTTCGGCCACAGCAACAATCTAAGCTTTGCTATGGCAACAACCATGGTCATCAGTCTTGTCGTAAAGAGGTCCATATGGGATTCGATAGAGCGCGGTATAGTACATTCGAAGGCTTGCTTGGTCTTCTTATTACTCCATAAGATTTGTTCTCAAATTTTCGTGGTGGAATGGGCAGAAGAAAGCAATTTTCTGTACCTGGGGCTTGAAGACGAGTTTCGCGATATTTCTTCCATAAGTGCAATATATGTCATGTAGAGAGAGGTCTAAATGTGAAGTTTTCAGCTTTGCTGTTAGCTGCTGCCTCTTTGATTGTTAGTTCAGTGTAATGTAGAGGTGACTTGTACTTATTGTACATTGTGGAACTTCATATAAGACCCCACTTGAGATTGGGTTTTTCTTTCCTCACAATTCTGATATATTAGAATGTTAAATGTAATCTTTATGCTCCTTGCATGTTGAAGCAGCTCAACTCTATTGCATTGCATTGTTGAATAGTAGATAGGTTCTTAATGTACGAGCAAGATATTCATTCACACTCGGAATGTGAACACCATATCTATAGCTTTCAGATAGTTCTGGGCGTATGCCCTTCAGCATCTCTCTTTCCTGGCTATGGTACTCCCTCGTGAGACAAACTCCGAGACCCTGCTCGTGTGTGTTTGTTGGTGGTAATGCTCAAATCGAGCTAGTCTCTTTGCATCTGGTAAGTGCAGTCTGAGTTCAGAAGCAAACGTTTATCTGTCAAACTATATGGGAGCACTTATTAGGTACTTCTTTTACTTCTGCACCAATTCCTTTCTTCAGTACAGGTACTTCATATATTTGTACCCCAAACTTCTGCACCCGAAGCAGGTGTAATGGGATCTTGAACAGTAGCTTACGATTTGAAATATCTGTACCTCTGCAGATTCAATCTATTTTCAAGCTGGTGTCCTGTGTTTGAAATCGCTTCAGTTTCTCTCTCCTGGCTGATTTATTGCTTGTGACCTGTCTAGATTCCTAAGGGAAACTTTGCCACCCTGTTTGCTTTCTAAATAAACTTTGCAGCCTCCTAAATCATAACATATGTTGATGGATTCCATATCTGATCTGATTGTATCTCCATAATGAATGTCAACTCTCATGCTGTCTTGATTGCAAGTCTCGCGATCTGGACAATTACACAACAAATAATGCTGTAGTACTAGTACTTGTTGTGTATCTAAGGAGAGGGAAGAAGAAGCTGCACAACAGCATCAATGTTGGCAATTGGACAGATCAACATGTTCCTTATTAACTTGCTTCCAGTTGTACATACTATGATGCATCATATCTCTCCTCCACTTTTGTAGGATATCATGTGAAATCCTCTCCTTATCTATCTATCTAATCTCAATCTAAATCTTTTATGCACTTGTTTCCCTAATAGAATAGAATATTCTAATGGTGGGTGAGTTGCAAAATGGGATGCAGATGGGTGCTGGAATCTTGTTTTCTGTCAGGGGAACACACTGGACAGAAAGAAATCCTTTTATTATTGATGATCATGATCATGATGATGGAGAAGAGGGAAAAAGCAACCAGGCAGGCAATAAGGGAAAAAAGAATGGATTTTGTTTAGTGAATCCATCCATCCATCCATCCATCCATCCATCCATCCATCTCTCTCTTCCTCTCTCTCTGCCATTCTGGTAAGTAAAGAAAGTACATATCTTTATATATTCATTGATAGATCAGATGAAGAAGCTGAGTTGTTTTTGTTTGGTTTCTTTATAAAGTAGGAAGCAAAGCATGCATATGCTTGTGGTGTGGCCATAAACATTGTTATTTTAAGGGTGGTGGAACAGAAAAGGTTTGTTTTAGGAGCAGCTGCTGCAAGTGGAATAATGAGGTTAGAAGGGTTTGCTTGTACTGTACTGTACAACTGGTTTATGAATCACAGCTTGGGAGCAAATTCCCAAGCTGCTGCCATGGCTACTAGGGGAAGAATTAGACAGAGGGTTGTTGGCATGGCATGCGCCAAGTTCATTCATACTTGTTCTCTTTCATCTGTATTTGTGTTCCAGCTTTATGGTATGGGGCTGTCTCTCTTTTAACTAACCTTTACTTTCTTTTCTTGGATAGTTGAAACAAGGCTGGAAAAAAATTGAAAAGTTTATGTTGTTTTCATAGTTTAATCATAACAATAATCTTCTTGTTATTGTTTGTTTCTTATGGTTTAGTATAATGATGACATTGATAAAATAATCAGCCACTCAGTCGGTCACTCCACTTTGTTACTTTTGTTAGGCTAGATTCGAGTCTATGTCATTTTCGAGTTTTTTAGGTTTTCTCTCTCCCTATCTCTTGTCTCATAGTTTCTCTTTAATACTTGTGAAATCGTAACGTATTGTATCAATTTTAGTTATACATACAACATAATGAAGACAACACTAATACTTCGTTATATTCATTTCATTATAAGCTACCTTGTATTATGATTTTTTTTTTAGCCGTTGTGAAATCTTTGCAGGACTTAATCGTGTAAGTTGATTTTATTTATCACTTAGTCATGAGATTGTACTTCAAATAGAAAAGTTTACTTGGTGGATTAATCAACCATGGGATTCGAGTTCTTGTGGATTTCTTATTCTGATTTGACATTTCTCATTTGGTTGTTGTTGTAGGTTCCACAAAATTTCTGTTCCAATTTTGGAAGTTAGTGTGGTGGATCTCCAGCTTTGAGGAAAAAAATATATAGTACTGTTACATTGACATTTGTGACCCAGTGGGGAGGGAACATGGGCTGGTGGGCTTTGTCTCCTGCCGTAATGAGGCCCTACCTGCCTGACCCAGGCCTACTCACTAGATTGACTGACCCGGCTCCTTTTTCAATTGGGCTTTTTCTGAAAAGTGGGCTACATTTATTCTCGTCTTTTACCAAGAGTAGGTAAGGGTAGAAAAGAGTGTCAGTTTCTTGAACCCAACACATGGTCATGGTTGTTAAGTGCCGTCAGATCAAAGCAATCTTCTTGTAACACCCTGACCTGATAGGGTGCTACTTTTACCAAAATACCCTTGAAAATAACGAATATTAAAATGCTTTGAACAACAGCGGAAACCTCGTACATTTAACAATACTTAAAACATGAACAACCTTGAGATATTTGTCTTAATAAATCTTCATCGTAAAATCACATCAAGTCTCTCGTCCCACTAAAGTAATGAAATTAACCTCTTCCTTCTGGAGTGCACTTGAGCCAATGATGCTGAATCCATATGCGTGCTTATGTGCTTATACCATTCCTGAATGCGGGCGTTGGGGTCAGTCCTAATCCTATATTCCATTCTTGACATCATATATATAAAATGAACCAACATACATAATGAGTGCAAATGCTCATGCATAAAATATTTACCGGACTTGTAAATGATTTTCTTGAAATAGACATTCTTTACGAAAAGGGGGCCCCGAGCTCAACTTAACTAGCACGCCACCACGATCACCGACATACTTGAACATGATCTTATTACCCAGGAGTAGGGTTCGTGACCTCCTTATTACCCAGGAGTGGGGTTCGTAACCTCCTTTTTACCCAGGAGTAAGGTTCGTGACCTCCTTAATCATAACATGAGGTGACCGCGTGCGGCTAGCTAAGTGAGGGTTAAAACATGATCTTGCTTACTTACTGAACCTACTTGCTTGACATGATGATCATCCTCCGCTCAATGGGAGATCCAATCTTATGACTTGCTTAACTTATAAAACCGTACTTCTTTTAAAAGTAACTTGACTTGCTTAAAACATATGTATCCATGAAACATGATCATGCTATGCATACTTAAAACATAACTTGTATCGTCTTGTCTTAAAACATAACTTTGCGATGCAATGCCATGCCATGCTATGCTTAAGAAATGAACATAATTCATAAACTTGGAAATGGATCTCATGAACACATAGCTCAAGCATAAATAGCATTTAAAGACATATCAATTAATTCAAGCAACATGCAGTGTAAATAACTCAGAATGAAATACTAACTAATGCCCCCTCAAACCACGCACCTTATTTGGCCGAGCAGTTAAACTTGATCTAGCCACCAACTCAAAGGATCGGTGCCCGAGAGAAGATGATTTGCCTTCCCAACCTATGGCGAACGATCGAGGTTAGATCGGTTGGATACTTTGGTTCTTAGCGACGGTTCTTAATTTGGGACTACTTTGCAATATGTGCAAAGTATAAGGGCTTGCTAAACTCTTATTAAATGTAGCTACGATAATTAAATCCCTTAATTCAACTTAATTTCATCATACTCAGTCTATCAATTAACCTAGATTAACAATCAACAGATTAACTACTTATAGTATTCTTGATGGGTCAAAACTGATAACTTACTCATCAATTACTCATATTAACATAACTCCCTTATACAATTCATTATCATAATAAACTTCTAATTTAACTCGTCATAACATCTAACCTATCAAAACTTATATTTTGCTAACTGATAACTTAAATCATCTTAACCTATTAATTTCCTAAGAGAATCATTTAACAACATCGTTAATCATATTATTGGATCAAACTTATAATTAAATCAAACTAACTCGTTTTATTAGTTACTAAAATACTTTAACATCCTAATACATCCATTAGTACGATACCTAGTAAATCATTTACAATTAAATCCAATTGAATTAAAATGTAAACACTACAGCTCATTTAGCTACCGTCGCCGAAACAGTCACTAAAAACTATGAATCTCGTCCCTAAAGGGATGTCACTGACACTGGTTAGCCAGACTATAGCCACAGCGGCTGTTTCGTTGCTAAAAGCCTGTAATTCCGTCGCTAATTTCCCAGAAAACTATAAACTCGTACAGGCTCAAACGTATTCAGTTTCTAATGCGAGATCGGATTTTACTTACCTCAAATATGTGCCTACACTTAGATATGGATGGGTAGGACCTTCGTTCCTCACTTGGATCATCATTAGATCACCATGTCTTTTGCCGACAAAGCTACGTCACGGGAACAACCTTGCTTCGTTAACCATGAAGTTTGAAACTTGAAAACAGTTGGGGATCCATTGATCTTACCTACTGATCTCAAGAGAGAGTGACGGGGTAGCTACTAGCGGTGTGGTTCTTCCGTAACAACAACGACAATGGCGATGATGAGGAGCTTAGGCAGACGAAACCTAATATTGACGGGAGGGAGGAAGAAGTTGATGATAATGGAGGCAAGCTTCTGGTGTTGTTGTGAATCAGTAGTGAAGAGAAGTAATGGGAGAGTGGATGCCGGATGGAGGGATCCATAGTAAAACGAGAGTGAGCTAAAGGTATAATTTAAGCCATCCATGCACCGACACCTTGCTCCTCTTCCTGTTAACTCTAGCTAGCTGTCTCTTATTAATTAAGTTCACAAGTCTGATGTGATAAGGGAATGGGAGTGTACAGGGCTTGTTGGCGGTTGAGTTGGCAAGCTGAAAATTGGCTCTAAATGGTTCTTTAATTGGCACAATATGCGTGGAGGAAAGGGTAATTACGGAAACTCCAAATTGATGCGGTTTGGGATGTTACATTTCCTCCCCACTTATAAAAATTTCGTCCTCGAAATTTGCTCCTTATGTTGATCTCAGGTCTCGATTGTCATAATCCTTTTACTAAAAGAATTTGTATTCCCTTAACTTGTATGGCCTGATCGATTGAATCCTTTACTCGAACTTAAATATCCTTTGCTAGACCTTAACATACGTCCTTAACTTCCTTTACCCAGGTCGAGGATCGACATTCCTTGTAACTTCATATCGACCGTGCTGAAACTTCTTAACGGGTACGTAACCTCCTATTTTTTCTTAAGACGTTAGTATCCCTTATCTGTATCTTGATCAGCCTTAACCACCTTGCAGAAACCATCTTGCTTTTACACTCCAGAACTATTAGTGGACGAGACTTGATGTTTTCAAAACTAATCTTGAATTCAATTGGCTAGTTGAAATTGCCAAAACCTTTTAAAACTTTCCTTGAAAACATAGAGATCGATTTCCCAGTATCTCACTTAGATAGTGAAGACAGAGGGAAACCGGCTCTGATACCACTTGTAACACCCTGACCCGATAGGGTGCTACTTTTACCAAAATACCCTTGAAAATAACGAATATTAAAATGCTTTGAACAACAGCGGAAACCTCGTACATTTAACAATACTTAAAACATGAACAACCTTGAGATATTTGTCTTAATAAATCTTCATCGTAAAATCACATCAAGTCTCTCGTCCCACTAAAGTAATGAAATTAACCTCTTCCTTCTGGAGTGCACTTGAGCCAATGATGCTGAATCCATATGCGTGCTTATGTGCTTATACCATTCCTGAATGCGGGCGTTGGGGTCAGTCCTAATCCTATATTCCATTCTTGACATCATATATATAAAATGAACCAACATACATAATGAGTGCAAATGCTCATGCATAAAATATTTACCGGACTTGTAAATGATTTTCTTGAAATAGACATTCTTTACGAAAAGGGGGCCCCGAGCTCAACTTAACTAGCACGCCACCACGATCACCGACATACTTGAACATGATCTTATTACCCAGGAGTAGGGTTCGTGACCTCCTTATTACCCAGGAGTGGGGTTCGTAACCTCCTTTTTACCCAGGAGTAAGGTTCGTGACCTCCTTAATCATAACATGAGGTGACCGCGTGCGGCTAGCTAAGTGAGGGTTAAAACATGATCTTGCTTACTTACTGAACCTACTTGCTTGACATGATGATCATCCTCCGCTCAATGGGAGATCCAATCTTATGACTTGCTTAACTTATAAAACCGTACTTCTTTTAAAAGTAACTTGACTTGCTTAAAACATATGTATCCATGAAACATGATCATGCTATGCATACTTAAAACATAACTTGTATCGTCTTGTCTTAAAACATAACTTTGCGATGCAATGCCATGCCATGCTATGCTTAAGAAATGAACATAATTCATAAACTTGGAAATGGATCTCATGAACACATAGCTCAAGCATAAATAGCATTTAAAGACATATCAATTAATTCAAGCAACATGCAGTGTAAATAACTCAGAATGAAATACTAACTAATGCCCCCTCAAACCACGCACCTTATTTGGCCGAGCAGTTAAACTTGATCTAGCCACCAACTCAAAGGATCGGTGCCCGAGAGAAGATGATTTGCCTTCCCAACCTATGGCGAACGATCGAGGTTAGATCGGTTGGATACTTTGGTTCTTAGCGACGGTTCTTAATTTGGGACTACTTTGCAATATATGCAAAGTATAAGGGCTTGCTAAACTCTTATTAAATGTAGCTACGATAATTAAATCCCTTAATTCAACTTAATTTCATCATACTCAGTCTATCAATTAACCTAGATTAACAATCAACAGATTAACTACTTATAGTATTCTTGATGGGTCAAAACTGATAACTTACTCATCAATTACTCATATTAACATAACTCCCTTATACAATTCATTATCATAATAAACTTCTAATTTAACTCGTCATAACATCTAACCTATCAAAACTTATATTTTGCTAACTGATAACTTAAATCATCTTAACCTATTAATTTCCTAAGAGAATCATTTAACAACATCGTTAATCATATTATTGGATCAAACTTATAATTAAATCAAACTAACTCGTTTTATTAGTTACTAAAATACTTTAACATCCTAATACATCCATTAGTACGATACCTAGTAAATCATTTACAATTAAATCCAATTGAATTAAAATGTAAACACTACAGCTCATTTAGCTACCGTCGCCGAAACAGTCACTAAAAACTATGAATCTCGTCCCTAAAGGGATGTCACTGACACTGGTTAGCCAGACTATAGCCACAGCGGCTGTTTCGTTGCTAAAAGCCTGTAATTCCGTCGCTAATTTCCCAGAAAACTATAAACTCGTACAGGCTCAAACGTATTCAGTTTCTAATGCGAGATCGGATTTTACTTACCTCAAATATGTGCCTACACTTAGATATGGATGGGTAGGACCTTCGTTCCTCACTTGGATCATCATTAGATCACCATGTCTTTTGCCGACAAAGCTACGTCACGGGAACAACCTTGCTTCGTTAACCATGAAGTTTGAAACTTGAAAACAGTTGGGGATCCATTGATCTTACCTACTGATCTCAAGAGAGAGTGACGGGGTAGCTACTAGCGGTGTGGTTCTTCCGTAACAACAACGACAATGGCGATGATGAGGAGCTTAGGCAGACGAAACCTAATATTGACGGGAGGGAGGAAGAAGTTGATGATAATGGAGGCAAGCTTCTGGTGTTGTTGTGAATCAGTAGTGAAGAGAAGTAATGGGAGAGTGGATGCCGGATGGAGGGATCCATAGTAAAACGAGAGTGAGCTAAAGGTATAATTTAAGCCATCCATGCACCGACACCTTGCTCCTCTTCCTGTTAACTCTAGCTAGCTGTCTCTTATTAATTAAGTTCACAAGTCTGATGTGATAAGGGAATGGGAGTGTACAGGGCTTGTTGGCGGTTGAGTTGGCAAGCTGAAAATTGGCTCTAAATGGTTCTTTAATTGGCACAATATGCGTGGAGGAAAGGGTAATTACGGAAACTCCAAATTGATGCGGTTTGGGATGTTACACTTCTGGTCCCTTTTTTTTTTTTGTTTTTGTTTATATTTGAGTTATTACTATAGTTATATGTATGATTGTAACACACCATGGGCCGCCCACGAGGTAGTACGGTACGATACGAGTATAGATTTGAAATATGTGGGGTGAGCCAAACATGAGCACGAACATTTCATGGGCTGTAAGGTTTAAACTTCATAAATATGAACACAGACACGGTATGATATGTAATTGAGTTTGTGTAGGGCATATGTAATTGAATTATGAGTTAAAAAGTACGAAATATAGTCACATAAATCATGGTATTAATAAGGGATTGCATCATAAATAAAATGCTTGAGAGAAGTGAAAGCATGTGGAAACCCAATCACTTATGTATTTCCAATTTTCTTCTTCCTCTTACTTGTTACCTTTCTCAAATCACACCACTTATCACTTTCATTATCTTCCCAATTTGCTCCACTTTCACTCCCAGTTTTATTTTCTTCCTTTCATTAAGTATGAATATGAACAGGACACAAGAACAAGTAGGTATGGCATGATTCAAACTGTGCTCATACCCAGATCGAATTGATGAAATTTTGTATACTGGGTGGACACAAAAACGAAAACTTATACGACACTGCCAAACACAACATGAAAAAACCCCGGTCTAAGGCGAGCTCATGTTGTGCCGGCCCAAGCACTACCCAATGCTCGAGTACATGTATGATGGCGTCGGGTGCATTTTTCAAATGTGATCAATAGTGTCTGGGGGTTGGCCAAACATCGATATATTAATTGGATGAAAATGATCCAGTTATGAGATTTTTTCAATAATTAGTAGCTTATATTTCCCCCCAAATTGTTAAGGTGTTGGGTTTAGAGGTCTCTTGGGGTACTCGCTGGTTGTTCCACATGTCAGAAAAGTAAAGTGATTCTAGTGCTAACATATCTATGAAACTAAATATCAAAAGAAATCGCATCCTGATGTGAATGCTAGTTTCAACTTAACTTTCTTGATCCTTACATTTCACGACCTAGTAGCATAGGTATTAGCCCCATCTTGCTTTGTCTCGAATCATCTTTGACTTGATCTAATTCAATCCTCTCAGAATTTCACACATTTATGCTTATTAGCTTCACATCTAAACATTTATTATGCTTTGCTTATGAAACTTAGTTAAGCCTATATACTCAACAAACACTAGCTATAAAGAGAAAGGACAAGAGAGCAAAAACATGGTTCTTATTTGTTAGAATTCTGCTGGCTGCAAAACATTTTTTTTTTTGCTCTATTTGTGGTTGGGTTTGAATGGTGGATATATAGTCAACTAGATATGTTGGGTGGTGGGTTTTTCACATAATTTTGGCTTTGAGCCTTTGACTCGTCAGTTGCATGAAAAATTGGTGGCCTGAAAATAGAGTTCAGACGACCGGCCAGAAAGGAAAAACCGTTTACTATTAATTACATTCTGATCACCATATTGTAGGTTATTATAAGATCGGGTTCATATACTTTCTATGATTCACGACTGAAGTCCCTACTTCTTCTTTTCTCCCGAATTGGTTGATTTGTCATGTAGAATGGAACGAAATGAATATGTCCTTTCAAAACATTATAGTTTATTTTGGTACATTGTGAATGTGACTAGTGAAATGGAACTTGCACTTAGGTTATATTTTTTTTTTTATGTGTCAACGTTTTGTAGTCTTTTGTAATCTACATTGATTTGTCTCTAAACTTGTGCAATTGTTTCCTACGCATAAAGGATGAGAAATGAATTTCCATGTGCAAAATGAAGATAACAAACGATGTCGATGGAAGGTGATTTAAGTATCGTATATGAGAAAATTAATAATCCACATAAACTAGACAGACAAATTTTGTAAATTGAAAAAGAATAAACGCTGAAGTTGTATATGAGTTGGTCTGGTGAGTAAAATCAAATGTTGAATTGGATGGACCGATGGTGATGACGTGAATTTGTGGTATAGTCTGATGTCAAATCCAAAAAGAAAGTAGTAAATATGTTTGACAAGTTCGAGGATGACAAGAGCGTAACACATCATTCTCTATATATCAAAGAAGAAACGAGGAATACCTCGCGAATTGGTGTCATGAACAAAATAAAACAGTGATCCCAAATAACGCAATACTAAACTTACTTAACTTACTTTCCATTTTCATTTATCATGTCCATAAATAAGGTCTAAACTATAACTCGATATTAGAACGAGTAACATCCCTTATAAACACTCGCTGAAGCGAGTAAAAGCGTTTTTCACTCTACATTAACTACAACTACATTGAAGTATTTACCATGAGAGTTGACAATATCCCCACAATCACAAGCAATAAAAAACTAGATTAGTAAAATGTAGTGACCAAAATGTGGAATCTCCTTACCCCATTTCATACGTTACTTTCTTTTCCCCCCCTATTTTGGGATTTTCTTTCCTTGAGTTTGCGTGAAGCTAACGGCTTGCCTTCCCGTGCCACTACAAGCCTTTTACAAACGTGTTTGCTCCTTTCTGCTTTCTTCATTTTCTGTTTTCACATTTTGATCAATTACTTAAATGGTCGATAAACCTTTGAGTCACTCACAAGTTACCCATTAACTCGATGAGAATCAAATTCGTTAGTTATTAGATATGTATCTTGTTAGTTTGGACGATTTCACCGTTACGCATCGACAAATTTCATTACCTATCTCACAGTCAGTTGTTACGTAACTATGAAACATAATCAGTAAGTCAATGTAGCTCACTCTTACGGGAAAAGTCCTCGTGCAGCCCATTCCGCGTAGCTACCTAATTATGGCAATGATCCTAGTCTTAGATACTCGATGAACTACGAAGCGTTTGGGATCTCAAAAATCTCATGTTGTTATGTACTATATAGATTATGATTCCCTTTCGTATCTTGTTTCTCACGAACGATTGTTGCAAAATGAAAAATTCAATGACCGAACTGTTAGTCTCTCGAAAGTCAATGATGATCTATGTTATTTTCCCGTATACTAAATTATCCTATATAGATTATAATTTCTCCACCTCAATCCTATCGACCTTAATAAATCCACAATAAACAGTATCAAAACACTCCAAATACGCAATTTCACACTTAATTGCTTCCTTAATTTGTTAATTCCCCACTAAAACCCCAATCAGAAGAAGAAGAAGTCTCTGGAGAGTCGTCTCCTCCGCCTATTTCCTCTCCGCTTCCTTCCTTACTTCCCGTCCTGCCTAATTTCTCCGATCGCGGAAAGCTTCTTCCAAATTCAATCCAGTCTTCTAACAATGGCGGATTCCGTCCTCGAACCTCACCTTCCTCCTCCGCCAATCTCCGATGCCGATTCTCTCCTCGCTCCTCCCCTCGACCCGCTCTTCTTCTCCTCCTCCTCCACAAACCCCGACCAACACGGCTTCATCCCTTCCGATCTCCCCTCCTTCAATTTCGACGACGATTTCGATCTCGACTTCGATTTCGACGGCTTCACCGATCCTCTCTACTTCCCGCCCGTGACCGAGTCCTTCCCTCTACCCGAATCCGGCGGCACCATCGCGCCGGAGGCTGACGGATCGCCGGAATCGGGTAATTCGGTGGTTTCTGGGGGCGAGGGTGGTGGTTGCTCTGACGTGGGGAAGTATTTCAACCGCTCGCCTTCTCGTGCCGGGAGTTGCGATTCCGATGAAGGGAGTACGGCTTCAGGCGCTGCTGCAGCTGTAGGGATCGCGAATTGTACGGCTGCGTCTCCTGCCTCGTCGCATGGTTCTGGAAGTGGAGGAAAGTCTGATGTTTCCGAGACGATGGATGCGTCTTCTCCTGATCCGGGGACTTTCCCAGTGAAAGATGAAGAAGCGAATGCGAAGAAGAAGAGGAAGAGCGGCGGGAGCGGCGCGTTGCCGAAGAGGAAGAAGGATGCGAGTCATGATGCGTCGGCCAGAAGGCAGAAATGTAGGGTTTCTGAGATTCCCAAGTCGAATTCTTCGTCTCAAGGGAGCGATACAAAGACTGAGGAGTGCGGCAGCTTTGGGCCTTTCGGTGAAGAAGATGAGAAGAAGAAGGCGAGGTTGATGCGAAACCGGGAGAGTGCGCAGCTGTCGAGGCAGAGGAAGAAGCATTACGTGGAGGAGCTGGAGGACAAGGTGAGAGCCATGCATTCGGCAATTGCTGACTTGAACGGTAGAGTTTCTTACTTTATGGCTGAGAATGCTAGCTTGAGGCAGCAATTGGGTGGTGGAAATGGCTTGTGTCCACCGCCTATGTACCCACCTCCGATGGCTCCCATGCCTTATCCATGGATGCCCTGTCCTCCTTATATGGTTAAGCCTCAGGGTTCGCAGGTTCCCCTGGTTCCTATCCCTAGATTGAAACCACAGCAGCCTGCGGCTTCTGCTAAATCCAAGAAGGGTGAGACAACGACGAAAAAGTCTGAGACCAAGACTAAGAAAGTTGCTAGTGTTAGCTTTCTGGGTCTGCTCTTTTTCATTTTGATGTTTGGTGGGCTGTTGCCCGTTATCAATGTTAAGTATGGAGGGCCTGGGGAGAATGTAGCTGGCCGGTCTGGTGATAGTTTTTCGGATCAGCATTTTCGTGGTAGAGTGTTGGTAGTCGATGGGCATTCGAATAGATCTAGTGACAACAGCCTCAATAGAGTTCACTGTGAGAAAAGTAAGAGTGGAGGTGCAGAGCATATACCCAAACCGAGTGGTTTTGCATATCCGGATAACTCGAGCGAGCAGCTTCATGCGTCCTTGTATGTCCCACGGAATGATAAGCTTGTGAAGATTGATGGGAATTTGATAATTCACTCTATTCTGGCTAGTGAGAGAACAACAACAGGATCTCAGGAGAAGAAAACAACTGAATCAAAACCCAAGGAGACGGGTTTAGCAATACCTAAGGATTTCTCAGGGGCTCTGGCTATCCCTGATGGAAACAACAGGGGTAGGTTCTATAGGACTTCTGCTGAACAACAGAAGGCCATTGGTTCTAGATCAGCTGATAATTTGAAGGAGCAGTTCAAGTCTTCTGCTGCTGATGGTAAACTGCAGCAGTGGTTCCATCAAGGTCTTGCAGGTAAACACATAAATCATTGATTAGTAACCAATGATTGTAACATGTTCGTTTATATATAGTTAATATAGTAGAGTGATTCCACTGTCTAACTCTCGGCTTGTAAAACTTGCTCAAGTATGTTTCCTCACCCCTGAACCCAACTGATTTGAGTTAATGGATCCTCAGGCAACAGTAGACATGTTTCTGACCTAACTGTAAGAGAATAAACTTTATCTTCTCATTTATCAAAATTCAGTGACTTGGAATGGCTGGAGGGCCTGAATTACTGAATGCATGCTACTATATGTACCACGTGCATAAGTACAAATCAGATGTATTTAGGGTTAAGCACTTCTAACTTATCACTGTTGTTAATGATGGGTGTTGGATCCTTGAGATGCAAATAAAATCGGGTTTTCTAATTATATACTTAGGAATTGACATATTGTTTCCTTTTTCCTGTTGCAGGGCCAATGTTGAGTTCAGGAATCTGCAGTGAAGTGTTTCAGTTTGACGTTTCACCATCTCCTGGCGCCATAGTGTCTTCTCCACCACTCACTAATCTCACCAGAGAACCTCACCAGAATGCTACTCCTCCCTCCGACAAGAAAAAACATAGAAGAATCCTCCATGGCCTTCCAGTGGTACCCTTCCCGGGTTCTGATCTCAATGTCACTGGAGAACACAAAGGGAGAAAGAACGAGACGTTCAACATTCAAGGTAATAATAGTAAAGCACCAGCCTCTTCAATGGTTGTCTCCGTGCTTCTTGATCCCAGAGAAATTGCGGATACTGAAGTCGATGGTGTGTACGTCCCAAAGTCGCTCTCCCGAGTGTTTGTTGTCGTGCTAGTGGACAGTGTCAAGTACGTCACTTATTCGTGCATGCTTCCCCGCTCTAGTCCTCACTTGGTAAGAGCTTGAAGAAATGGCCTGAGGAGTCTTGGAACTGAGAACGTGTACTGCGGGCCTACAGTTTTGTATATAGAGAGGAAAAAAGTAGAAAATCTAGTATCGACGATCTATAAGAACCCTAACCCTGTTTTCTGCACCCTGAATGTCTGCCTCTGTACCTCGAATGTTGTGAGAGTCGTTGAGCGCGAAGTGGTTGATTAATGTAGGTGTTGGTTTCTGGGATGGTTAGTTTGTGATAGGATGAGAGAACACTTTATTTGTTGGCTGAAGTATTGTATCCCTGACGCTTTATGGAAGCATAATGTATGCCTTTCTAATACAAAGAACTCGAATAAGCGTTTTTTGTGACTCCTTGTGATCTTGTTCGAAGAGCTTGAATCCGTAGATCGATTGCTGTCGAATTGGTAGCTGCCCCATTGAGAAAATAAGCTGATGAAAGGATCATAAATCGGATAGGAGAGTTGTGGAGTTTTCTGCTCCATTTTGGTCTCACAAAATAGCTTGAGCCATCTGCATAAGTGCATCTTTTTGGCTGTCAAATGGAGCTCTGAGAAGCTATGAGCGAAAGATAGAAACAGAGCAGCAGCAGCAGCAGCAGCAGAAAATATGATACAGCATTTGGTGAAGTCAAAGGAATTACAAGTTGTAAATAGTACAGCATATATCCCAGCTGCTGATGCGTCCTTAAACAGCATCTAGTCTGGGCCTCCTGTAAATCCTATTTTTCTGCTACACTAAGCTCTACCAATTACATCTCTAGCGAATGCCCCGAGTTCTCTGTGCAAGAGAGATCCCTTCTGCATGAAACGTTTCGAGCAAACTCTTTTCTCTGTTGAAGAAACATAACATAAATGAGTTTTTAGATGTCTTCTTCAAACTGCAATTCACCACTCAATTCTGTTTGCATCCCCTCACGTCTGAAAAGGCTCAGTTTTGGTCTCGTTAGGGAGTGCTCCGTTGCTGGTGAGCACATTGTCGCTACTCCTCACCCTTCGGTAGAACAGTACATATGCAGCAGCTGATTTCACGTCGTCCTCGTTTATGAGCGAGATATGGCTGTCATCGAAGTTGTACCATTTGTTTTCTTCCAGGAGCTGCAGGTAAATACCAGACAAGAATAGATAGGCATCACAACACTGATTACACACTCAGGTTGGAAAAGTGGACTGAAGTTCGATTTTATTCTGACCTTGATGTGCGCGGTGTAGTGCCCACTCCCCATGCCGCCATAATGGTTGGTCAGAGCATACAGTTCATACAGCTGACGTCTGGTGCTGTTCTTGTTGGCTACATAGTTTGTCAGATCAAAGTCCCGTATCGGAAAGTTGACGAAGGTTTCTAGTTTGTGTTTCATCGACCTGCTGTAAGAGAATCTCTTCAAATGGATTACCAGCACTTCTGGAAGTCTCCACAAATCAAGCTTCTTGCTTGCTTGACGCCGTTCTTTGCACTGCGGACAGTACCTTCAAAATGTGCATTGCTATTACTAAAACTTCGATTTTGTTCAAGGGACATATATACCAATGGTCACCGGTCACTCACAACTCAGTTACTGAACTTTGATCTTTCACTGACTTGCCAATCAAGTTTATAATAACTAAAATAGCAGTCATCTTCATCAAGTTTTATGTCCAGATTATCCAGATTATAGACTCGATGGTGTACGATCCAAAACAGACTCATTTCCAATCTACATTATCCAGACTACTTCCATAATTCCTTCCGCTACCCAACAACTAATCAGAGAGGCTTCATCTAACCTCTTTTTAGTTTTTATACTAACTTGGTGAGTTGATGCAATAACGTAGAAAATTTGGAGAAAAAACTTGAAACAGAATGATTGTTTATTAGCTATTCCGAACTTCAGTGTAAAGTAAGTTAAGAATTAAAGTTTAGCAAGCCAATTTGTTCGTAATCCCAAAGTCTTGTGACCATTAATTGACTCTTTGGTTAGATGAAACAAAAGTACAAGAATGAAAATGCAGAGGAAGCCATCTTCAGGGGGAGGTATTAGCTATAGCAGAGGAAAGGAGAATATACTAACCACATGTCTTCAGGGACCAAGGGCTCTTCACGCAGGAAACCTTCAAGACAAGTGTACAAAGAAAGGGGCTCCGTACGAGCTTTCTTACTCACATGTCCATACTTAAACACTTCCGGCAAGTTCTCAAAGTAGTTAGTATTGCATTTCTCAATGAGATCTCGAGACCAATCAACATAGACCACTGCTGGAGCTGATGATGTGGCAACTCTAACAGATTTCCCTTCTTTGGACGAGAGATCGATCAACTCGTTACTCCCATTGGCCATTTGTAGAGAAAATTTCAATGACATTGTCTTTGAAGGACAACCATTGCTTTTTACTAAGTCTGTCACATGATCGCCACAAATGTCACCATCCGTGTCTTGTGTCAAGTTTTCCCCTCCAAACCATGGTAGAAGAATCTTTTGCACTTCTCTCTGTATATCTCCTCTGGTAATTGAATCTTCGTATGGAACGGATGTAATGAGAGGAACTCCAAAAGCATTCCACTGAGACGATAAACTATTATTTCCGGTTCCCCTGAAGTACATAATACCACAATGTTGACTAGTGAGGACTACAATGGCTCTGTTTGTTTCAACTTATTAAAGAAAATAGTGGAATGACTCTTTTTCTTTTTTAAGCAAAAGCTTAAACACACACTATATATAAAGCTAATGGGATTATTGAAAACAAGGGTAACAGAACATACTGGGGTCTGCAGCGGTGAATCAACCGAAGGAGAAGCGAATTCTTTGAAAACTTTGGAATCTTATAGGCAGCTATACGATCATCGTCTTTGATTGAGGATAAAGGCATACAAGGATCGTCTAAAAATCTATGAAACTGATGATTACGCACCTGCAAGAATTTTCTTTCGCAAATAAGCATTGAATATAATAGGTAAGATTTGAAGGTATGATCTTAAAGTCAATGAGTCTTACATACCTCAGCAAGTTTAAGGTCCTCGTGAGTCTTCAAGGAACAAGCGGTGCTAACTGCTTGGATCAAGTCGCGGCACCATCCATGCTTTGGCACGGACACGGTGCAGGGAAATGGCGAGGTAGTCGAGTCCAAAGTGAAGATTGTGAGCGTCATAGAACGGGTGGTGGCGGATTGGAGAGGCAAGGAAAGGTACATGAAGGGATCAAAAGTAACGGATATTTTGTTGCATACTGGACAAACCAGAGTTGACTTGTATTGACCCTGTTCCAATAAGGAAATGTTCAAAGGAGCTTGCTTTAGAAAAAAAAGCTCAGCAGTTGGAAATCACACAGTATAAGACCACTTGTGAGCAATGTTGTTGCGAATCAGAAGACCGAAACAACATAGCATGATCTTATTGGCAAAATCTTCAGAATTTATAAGTTCAGTTGTTAAATCTTACCTGGCAAACATCAACAATTATAGAATCATTTCGAGCAATATGATTTGCCCAGTACTCATCGGCAACTTCCTCATCTGGACGCCCATCTGCATCTCTAGACTTTATATATGGCTTCTGTTTAACGCGATTCAGATCTTCATGGAGACCATCTAAGAGAAAGGCTAAAAGTTCCTGAGAGAATAATATATAAATGGTGAAGAAACCAGGAAAAACTTTCCAAACACATAAATATGTGAGCTGTGTAGATTTACAAACCTGAGAATCGTGCTGATTATAACCACTAAATTGAGGAGCAAAGCGAGCAAGCTTTGCTTTGAATGGGCGAGGAGCTATTGGTGTTCGCCCGGGTGCCCAGAGCTTCCGCAATAAATCACCAAATGCTAAAGCCAGCTCACCCTAACAAAAGAAACAATCAAGCTCCGTGAATTAATATGCATTGCACATAGTTCACTGCAAGTTTTGTCAAGTACACAGAATTTTATCACAACAAAAGGTATATGCAACATATATCGACTTCATGATAGATATTTCTAACAGAACTCTATGGACAAAAAAAAAAGACATGGGACGTCTGGGACTTTTCAAGATAGACAGCAACATTGCTGTAACTTAGACGAAGCATCCCAATATGAGCACGTTCCAATGCCTTTCGTTGTAGGTTAATCAACGGCAATTCTTGCCAAATAAGTCGAACAATCAACAGAATACTTGAGTTTCTAATATGCTATTGGAAAAACTAATACACATTGAGTTGACCAATTTCAGCCATAGCTACTAGAATCCTGAATATTTACAATGACCACGAGCAACAGCTCATCTTCTGGGTTCCAATATCCTAAGCATAGCACTAAAGGGAGAACACATCAATGTATGAGTGACTCGATGAGTGAATTAAATTGACAGAGATAACTACTTCAAAAAGGGTTTTGGACCTAAATCAGTATTTATCAGAGTAAGAGCATACCAGATTCATACTGAAATATTTGCAACGTGTCATCAGTAAGACAATTATTAAAGTATTTTGAACTCACCACCATGCCGAAGGGATTTTGCCAATTTATCTCTTGATGATAATCTTCTCGAAAATATTTAGCGAATTCAGGGGTATGAACAAGGCACTGTATTGCACTATTCATAAAACATGTGTTGCCAAGGTTCTGCAACCCAGTAAGGCCAACATAAGAACCCCTTGTACTAACACCGGTTATCCCGTATGTGTTATCCAACTCCCTAACCGTCAGCGTCATGTTCTGAGCTTGGGAAATCTCTGAGCTGCAGCTTCGAGAAGCACCTTTGCTTGCAGGGAAACCTCCTGCAATTGATAAGGCCAACTTAGATGACTCTAAAAGAATCGAAGTAGCTTCCTTCTTGGCAGATCCATTGTTGTGAACAGAACTCATATAACCACTCAATGCAGTACCATTGACATTGCTAAGAACCTCCACGAGAATCTGTGCAAATGTTTGCAGAAAAAAGGGGAAAACAAAAGAGGAAGATTACTGAGATTCAATTTTGGAAAGCAATTATTAAAAAATTATGCTAGCAAAAGGGACATATTATTGGACACATGAGAAGCCTGTTCTAACATTTTAAACATTTAGTTGTGTTTCGGTCTTGCAGCATTATACTGAATACGAGCTTCCTTGAAGTTTCAGTGACAGGGATCCATGGTTGGTTTAATAAAACAGTCACTTCAGGGTAATTGAAACCGAAGTATAGCTAGAACCACAGCAATGGTTAAAATCACTGTATCAATCAATTCAGAAAGTGAACATGAGACAAGAGCGGGGAAGGGGGCAAGAAGAAGTGTAAGTCTGAACCTAAACAAATAAAAGCTTAGTATAATACTTCAGCTCTCTTGCAACTTGAGAAAGTCGGTATTTACTTTCAGATATTATCTTAGACTGTACTTTTACAGGCTGTCATTCCATTCCTAACTTTGTAGTATTCGGGCAGCAGTACTAGGACTTAATGGTCAGGATTAGGAGTCTTAGTCACCTCAGAACTGGTTCCAACTTCCATGCAGTAAATACTCACTAATGGAGTAATGCTAACTTTACCATAATGACATACCATTTCGCAATGAGGTTAACAGTTCTCTCTTGAGTTAGGAACGATCTCCTTAAACCTCAAAACCCGATATCCTTACAACTCAAACCCTTAGCAGAAGAATTTCCTGAACCAAATTTGAAAAGAATTACTGAATCTGTTATATACTTCACCCTTCCAGTTCATAACCAAGGTTCCCAACTAACTCAAATCCATCTCTCATCTAAAAGCAGACCCAATTGCAAAACAAAATCGTAATCATTCTTATTAGATTAAAGAACAAAATATCTGCTAGCATAACATGTGGTTTTAAGAACACAGAACCAGTACCCAAACAGCTGAAGTGACTTTAGTGAGAGACTAGATTAATAAACTACATAAATACGACTGAATTCGAAAGAAATCATCACATGCTGAAATGGAACTGAACCACCAAATGTGTTTTGAAACAATACATAAGTAACAAGAGAGAAGACTCACATCTTGATCCATTTGTATGTTAGCATCATCAAGTGTTTTACCCATGTCGTTCATCAAAGCATGCTTCCGGTGGCCATAGTAATCCCATATGCACACCTGTATCATCAAAATACAAGAGAAGCAAAGTTCACAACACATATAGCACATCTTATTCAGTAGAAGCTCCCAAAAGCATGGGAAGGGAACTATAGTCTTTACTTGTTCTGCATTAAGATAAAAAATCTCACAAGCTCTTCTATGCAGCTCCCCTATAGTTTCCTGCAAATGCCAGTCAGCTGTCAAGAATCGTGAACAACACATATACTGAAGGACCACTAAGTAAGATGTGATAGGCCAGTAACAAGTTTGGAGGGAATACTCTTAGGATGCCTTTAGTCAGATCTGACAAAATTACACTCTCATTGTTTATTTTTAGGTGAATTGATCCACATATATCGGTAAGGGTGATATAGAAAGGATAGAGGCCCTGGTGATGATATGCCCAAGGTTGAAAGATGATATGCTTAGAATTTTGATAAGGACATGGCCAATTTGGATATGTTCTTCCCCAATTATGTTCCAAATAAGCTTTATATGTTAAGTGCACGTAGAAGAATGTCTGATCAACAATCTTAATCATGAACCAAAGGTGAAGATAGATATTTCAAGACTTAAAGTCAGTAATGAGAACGTCTAGCTCTACCTTCTTGCTTATTCTTATAGTTGACCGATCACCTTTGGGCATAACCAACAGCTGAAGACGGAGAGGATACACCTCTACCGATAATTCTGTCTGAGAGAGGCCTGAACTGATTACTTTGCGTGCCAATGGTGGACCACCTCCGTACCTATATATTTAATAAGCACTAGCAGTGACACAGTAGTCCTTCAGATGTATCATCATATATCTCGGCAGAAAAAAAATGGTGCAACATCTTATCAAGCAAAACAAAACTCCTAGTTTTTTCAACTTACAATGGACAGACTTACTACAAACTATAAATTCTAGGGAAGAGAACAAAGAGTGCAAGTAAACTGAATGAATAACCACCACTGTTGCAAGCTAGGTTGTGATGGGGTTGATAAAAAAACAAACACACAATTGACATGTGACTGAATCTTACACAAATGAGTTACCAGCGACTCACCAGGAATATAGCTGATTCCAGACATCCTGTGGAAGCAGTACATAATCACGCCCTTCCAATAAACTATCATGGATCTCAACGCTGCCATTGCCATCATGAGATGTTGAATCATATATCAGATCAGAATTGTCAATACCAGCAGGCCGCTTTGAAGAACTCACGGCGTCGGGATGAATATTCAACATCGAGGATCCTTCATTTGTACCATTTTGCTGCTCTTGATTGACATATTCTATCCAATGCTGCCACCATCTTCTAGTAAAAAAGAATCCGCAAACCATTATCAAGTTACAAAAATAAAGGTCAAGCTTCCCCAATGTCTAAAACAATGCTCATTTACTGATGAAAACAGCCATAAGAACTCGATCACACCAGTACACATACCAGTGCCTTGTAATTAGCATAGTCTACTAGATGCACACACCGTTGTTTCTTACCAATCTCACTTTTGTCACCTAGCTCGCTAGTTGCAGCAGTAGCAATCAAACAGAGAAAGAAGCAATCCACATTTTCCAAAAACCGTCACAGAAGGATAGCTTGAACTAAACTGAAAAGGGATTCATGTCTTCCTAACTTGTTATCTATCTCCTTATCAAAACTCTCTCCTCTGAAAGCATTCGGCAATCCCTAATACCCAAAAACACCTTTCACCGACATTCCACTAAATTCAATCTACCACAGAGATAAGCATGCCATCTTCCAGTCAAAGAGGAAAAGAGGGCAAGTTCGGAGCTTTTCGAAATGGATAAAAGAAAGACTCGGTTGAACCTTGAGAACACACCTCTGGGTAATTAAAAAGAAATCGTCCCCTTCTTTGCTGTTGGCTTCGGCGGCGAGCGCAATATCGCGAATCAGAACCCTCTCTTCCTCCGGCGATAGCTCTGCGCCGCCGTTGCTGCTGCACATCGACACATCGGCCATCGGTCCGGTGGCGGTTGATCTGAGACCAAAGGCGACTTGCAGCAGCTTTTCTCTGCTCTGGGTTCTCGGAAAGGCGACAAATTTGTCGTTGGCTTGTTTGGAGCAACAGTGGGAAGGAGACTCAGTGAGCGGAGCTCGGAGGGTGAAAGATCCGGTACATCCGCGTATAGAAGAGGTTGCATCCACGCCCTTAGATAATCTGCTCCTACCTAAATGAATTTTTATTTATTTATTGAGTGTTTTAGCTCAGTGCGATTTTAAATGAATGTTATTTGTTATTGATCGATCCTATATTAATGTTATTTGGGTTAGATACATAAATGTATTAATATTGTCAAATTTACAAATGTGCAATTTACCAAAATAAAAAGATTACAAATATACACACTAATTCATGCCATTTCTCGATTGTATCCATACTTGCATTAAAATTTGTCAATAACACTATTCGCACTCTACCTAACACCGTTAAAAGATATTATGATATGCTATACCTTATAAAGAAAGGACATTTCTTCATGTCTTCTAGTACCTCGGAGCTCTATCATATCTTCCTTGTATCTTCATTTCGAGTCTCGAAATAACTTCTTCTCCAACAGTCTCAAGCTTTACTAAATTGACCCCAGCTTTATCCAATAGTCTCGACTCTCTGACAGAATGCTCTAGATATTGGCTTTGAGTCTAAAATAGTTTATTCCTGATTGACTTAAACCTAATGTTCGAGTCTCTGCATCTTATGATTTGAATTTTGATGATTTATAGGTTTGTTAAACTATATATCTCACCCTATATGATGTTTAAGATGTTAAGTATGTGAGCAAATGTGTCTTTCAATTATGAAAAGAAAATATGTATCATAGATTGATTCGATACTATAAAATAACAAGATTTGGACGAGTTAATACTTATTAACTAAATAGTTTGATACTAAGAGAGCAGAACATGAGATTAGTTAATGTTGAACATTTTACTACTAATTTTTTCAACATGACATCTATCACATGTATCATACATAACATACAAAATGAATGTATCAAACATGAATCAAGATTTTTTGTAATTACAAGTCTAGTTCGAGCTCGACTCGAATCGGCTTATTAATAAATGAGCTCGAGTTCGAATTTGACTCGATTATTAACGAGTCAAACTCAAACTGGGCTGAGGCCTGAGGGTGGGGGCAAATCCTATCCTTGCCTAATGTACTGCCAATCCATAATGACCTGAAATTAACGGGCCGAACGTGAAAAGCCCAAATCACTAAAACCGGAAGACCCCATCGAGGCCCAGCACGACACGAGAAAATAAAACATCAGTCTTCTCTTCTCCGATCAGATTCCTGGACGAAGCAGAAAACTGGAGAGTTTGAATAAAATAATCCAATTTGGTCCGATGAGCAGAGAAGCCACGAAACAACCGCAAATGGAACGAGGAAATGCAGGCAGCTAGGCACACACACACACAGAGGTGACAACAACAAACAAAAGACGAAGAAATGGGAATCACCACCACCAGCAGCATCTCCACGAAAACACTTATTGAATAAAATACTCGTCTCCTTCTTGTTCGCTTACGAATGTCTTATTGTCATTATAGCATTCCGCCGATTAATACAAAGCAACAACCGAGCGCAGCTGGTTTCTATTCTTTCTTTCCGCCCGCAAAGACGGCAGCTTTGATGAATTAGGGAGCCTTTCTCCCTATGCGCGCTGTCTATCAATACCTTCTTCCTGTAAGTGCCTCTCTCTCAATTCGATTTTCAATTTCCGTTGATGGGTCCTTATGTTTTCCTGAAAATTTTCGAGGGTTTTCTTTTTTGGCTGGGTTGATCGCCGATTCCTCATGATGTAGATGTTCGTTTTACTGTATTGGGTTTTGCTCTCTCAGCTAAACCCGGAATTGGGTTTGATTTTTTAAGGGTTCTTATGATCCATTGAGGAGTTTTGTGATTGATTACTGGTTCTGAGGGTTATGTTTCCCGGAAATGTTTACATTTTACTGGGGGGAGAGTTTTGAAGCCAGCTGAATACGTGCATGGAATCTACTGGAAATTTGGTTTCTGTTTTGTGCGTTTTCATTGCTAGATGATGAAGAATCATAGGAATTGCCGTTGATTTGGTTTCACATTTGCAGGATTGTCCATGGATCCAAAACCCAAGAGGAGAGCTGTGGTGGAGAATGGGGATACAGGGGAAGACCTAGTCCTTGCCACATTAATCGGCAATGGCGAAGATTTGGGTCCAATTGTTAGACATGCGTTTGAGATGGGACGCCCTGAAGCCCTCCTCCAGCAGCTGAAAACCGTAGTGAAGAAAAAAGAAGTGGAAATTGAGGACCTTTGCAAGAGCCATTATGAAGAGTTCATCCTAGCAGTTGACGAGCTTCGTGGCGTCCTTGTTGATGCTGAAGAACTCAAAGGCGAGCTGGCGAGTGATAACTTAAAGCTCCAGGATGTCGGGAACTCTCTCCTGATCAAGCTCGAGGAGCTTCTCGAGTCCTATTCCATCAAGAAGAATGTCACTGAAGGCATCAAAATGTCAAAATCATGTGTTCAAGTCCTTGAGCTCTGTGTCAAATGCAATAATCACATGACGGATGGTAACTTCTACCCGGCATTGAAGACTGTGGACTTGGTCGAGAAGAATTACCTGAAGAACATCCCTGTGAGATCGCTTAAACTGGCAGTGGAGAAGACAATCCCAGTCATCAAAACACACGTTGAGAAGAAGGTCACCAGTCAGGTCAATGAGTGGCTTGTTCATGTAAGGAGTTCAGCAAAGACCATTGGCCAAACAGCAATAAGCCATTCAGCATCAGCTCGCCAGAGAGATGAAGAAATGCTGGAACGACAAAGGAGAGCCGAGGAGCAGAATGTTTCTGGTTTAGGAGACTTTGCATTCACTCTAGATGTTGAGGAAATCGATGAAGATTCAGTACTACAATTTGATCTCGCTCCTCTTTATCGAGCTCATCACGTCCACGCTTGCCTTGGCATCCGTGATCAGTTCCGTGACTACTACTACAGAAACCGGGTCCTGCAGCTGAACTCAGACTTGCAAATCTCATATGGTCAACCGTTTATTGAATCGTACCAGACCTACTTGGCTCAAATTGCTGGCTACTTCATTGTTGAGGATCGCGTTTTAAGGACTGCTAGCGGTGTTCTTTCCTCGGACCAAGTTGAGACAATGTGGGAAACAGCAGTCAATAAAGTGACATATTTGTTAGATGATCAGTTCAACCACACAGATTCTGCTACTCATCTTTTACTGGTGAAAGATTATGTCACACTTCTTGCTGAAACACTTAGGCAATATGGTTATGACACAAGCCAAATCTTGGAGGCTCTGGACAAAGGCCGAGAGAAGTACCACGACCTTCTGTTGGGGGAATGTAGAGAGCAAATTGTTGGTGCCCTTGGAAATGACACGTACGAGCAAATGGTGATGAAGAAGGAGTCAGATTATGAGAATAATGTCCTCGTGTTTCAGCTCCAGACGTCGGAGATCATGCCTGCCTTCCCGTATGTAGCACCGTTCTCGTCCATGGTGCCCGACACTTGTCGCATTGTGAGGTCATTCATCAAGGGTTCAGTAGATTACTTGTCATATGGTCTCCATACAAACATCTACAGTCTTGTGATGAAGTATTTGGACAGGCTACTAATCGATGTTCTGAATGAGGTTGTGCTTAGTGCGATTCACAGTAGCACCATTGGAGTATCTCAAGCCATGCAGATTGCAGCAAATACATCGGTTCTCGAACGTGCATGTGATTTCTTCCTTCGCCATGCTGCTCAGCTATGTGGAATCCCTGCTCGCTCAGTTGAGAGGCCTCAATCTAGTTTGACAGCCAAAGTGATCCTGAAAACTTCGAGGGATGCTGCTTACTTGGAGCTTTTGACTTTGGTCAACACCAAGCTGGAGGAGTTCATGGCTCTTACTGATAATATTCAGTGGACTACTGAGGAGACGCCTCAGAACGGGAATGAGTACATAAACGAGGTGGTGATTTACCTCGACACCCTTTTATCGACTGCTCAACAGATTTTACCTCTGGATGCTTTGTATAAAGTTGGCTGTGGTGCTTTGGAGCATATTTCGAACTCCATTGTTGGAGCTTTCTTGAGTGATATTGTCAAGAGGTTCAACGCCAATGCTGTACTCTCTTTAAACTATGATTTGAAGATGTTGGAGAATTTTGCTGATGAGAGGTTTCACAGTACTGGGTTGAGTGAGATTTACAAGGGAGGGAGCTTTAGGGAGTGTTTGGTGGAAGCAAGGCAGCTGATTAATCTTCTCTCGAGCAGCCAGCCAGAGAACTTCATGAACCCTGTGATCCGGGAGAGGAACTACAACACGTTGGATTATAAGAAGGTGGCTACCATTTGTGAGAAGTTCAAGGATTCGGCTGATTCGATCTTCGGGAGTCTGTCTAACAGGAACGCGAAGCAGAGTGCCAAGAAGAGATCGATGGAGGTGCTGAAGAAGAGATTGAAGGACTTCAATTGATATGAGGTCTTCATAAACTTCTATTTTGACTTTCTATTGTTTTCTTGTTGGGTTCTTGTTTGTTCATCTTTTTGCTTCACTCTCGGAGATTGATGGTTAGAAATGAAGAGGAGTTTTTGCCATTTCGGTTTTGGTTCTTTGTCCATTAATTCATGTGCTTAATGGTCTGTTAATACAGCTTTCTTACTATTGAGTGTTGACGATTGAAGGCGATTCTGCAGATGCCTTGAATCTGCATATATTATGAGATACCTTGTAGTACAGAGTCCAGTTGGCCTAGTGAACTAAAATTTGCAGGATTTTTTTTATCTTCTCGTATGGAACAGTTCTATTGCGTGGCAGCTACTTGTGTGCTGTATACAGGGTAGTTGTTCTTTCTGCATAATTTGGTTATCTTTCTGGGGGAAAAAGATGTTTTCTTTTCTTGTGACTGAGATTTCAGTATTCTTCCTTCCAATGTCGCATTCACCAATGCTTTCTTTTCTTGGTGACTTAGACTTTCATTTCAAACAAATGTAGCTCGAAAGTCTGAGATCTCCATTTCAACTCTTGCAATGAGAGTGAAAATAGGAAGGACATTTTTGTCTTTACAATTAATTATTTATCTCACATAAAAAATATCAACATTAGGATTTGAAGCCGAGTCTATTCAAATAAAGACAACAATCACAACCATTTACACTAAATAAATTTGTTGTGCCTTTTTGAATACAAAATATACACGAAGTTCAACTCTCTAAAAATCGCAAGACTTTCCATCATGATTATCAAGCCCACTAAGTATATCGTATGTATTTTATGGTAAAGGTAAATTGCTGAGTTTCATGTACTTTCTCAATTTTAAAATTCTTTCTCTCTCCTTAATTTTTGGTAAAGGTAAATTGGTAATTTGCTAACATGGGAAAAAACTAATTTTGTCACTACGTGTTGTGTCCTTGCATTTTTCAATTTAAATTTTGTGGTTTTTATCTTTGTTCTTATCTCTTTCTAATTTCCTCGAAAATTCTCTCCGTCGTACAATAGTTTGCGTCCCTTTCACTTCCTAATACAAGGTCGCCTTTGAAAATCAATCATCCGGTATCTCTTGGTACGTCGGTTTTATTGTTGGGGATTTATGTTGGGCAAGTAAAAGAGTTTAATAAATAATGGAGTTGCAGAATGAGGATTAGAAATTGAATTTTTGGTTGAAACATATGTCTCTTGAGATAAAAATTTGGTTGTGCAATGAGGAGTGGTGGCTATTGGATCTTTATATTTATGGTTTTTATATCTAGCACAACCTATTTCCATCTTAAAACGAGGAATAATTGATTGATTTATTGAAGTAAGTCGATTCTTTATTCAATTTACTGAAACTGATAGACAAGGAGTGTCTAATTTTGTGCCTTATTACTTTGATTGAGTCTATTAGTATGTTGGAGATAACCCTAATTTTGTCATTTGCTCTCAAGTTTTGATGGTCCCCTCTTAGCTGAGTTGTTAGTATATAGTCGACTTGAATCAAAAACTATTCATTTCTTTTTTATTAGTGGCATATTGTTCATAAAAGGAGCGCATTAAATCCTTATGTAGGATTGCGAGGTTTAATATTTAGTTTCAAACTATCTATGGGTCGTGTGGAATTTCACTGAGCTTTTATACCCTCTTTCTTGACAATCAACTAACCAATAACATTTGACTGATGGCTTAATTATCATCATGAAAATTGAATTAATGATACATTTTATATTCTATATTCTTAAATGATGATGGTATTTCTCCGAATGTTAGACCTATATATTCTTTCTTTCTGTATCATCTCGATCGAAGGATTGTCAATAAAATTAAACCGGTTGATTAGCTTAAACGTAACATAAAACTATAAATAATCAAATATGAAAATTTCGGCCAATTGGTCGGGTTATAAGCTAGTATCTTATTTCCGTCAAATTTTACACCCAAGTAATAAAACTCCCCAAAATTAGCGGGTTAATTGCAAGTTTGGTCAATGATATTACTAAAAACGTTCATGTTTGGTCAATATAAATATTTGTGGTCATTAAAATTAGTTAAATGTTTCAAGTTTGGTAACTCTCCGTCCATTTCCGTTAACTTTTGCTTGCGTGGAAGTCAACCCTCACAGTTTACCGTTAAATGAGTGACGTGCCAGTTAAAAAATTAATTAAAAAAAATAAAATTTAGGATTTTGAAATTCCCACCTCATTATTGCTATAGGTTTTTTTTCCTTTATGGAACAACTTGAAATTGTAACATTTAACGTATGGTACACAACTTAAAATTGTACCCATACATTTTTGTAATTGTACAAATTCTTTTATACTACAACTTGAACCTGTACTTTTTATTTGATGCAGTACAGCACTTCAAATCGTAAAGTTATACCATAACATAACATAACGATACAAATTCAATTCTTTCTGTATAGCCAACCTATTCGTGATTGACCAGTACGTAATTTGAGCTTGATCCATTGGGTCTTTGTATGATCATCAGTAGAACGTTTGGCAAGTGGAAAGCTCAGCTGCACGCCACGACACGACACGTGGCAGCCGTGCGGCGACGGCGACACGTGGACTATGAAATTGATGAGTGATCTCGGCGGATGAATGACACGTCAAAAACCTTATCACAATCAAAATACTTTGTCCTATAATCCAAATTCATGCGCTTTCACACACACATATATATATATATATATAGGTGGTAATGGTAGCAAGAAGCTGGCTTCCAATCCAAGAGTTGGTAAAGCAAAGGAAGTAAGAAACCATGTCAGGAGTGCAAGGAGCTCATCCGCCGGAGTCGAAGACGCCGACGACGTACGAGTCGGTCGCCGGAGGGGAGAACAGGACGAGGACCGACATTCGCTCGAGGGAGGACGAGGGGATGATACAGGTGGATAAACTCCAGGACAAGGTTGGAGACGACCCTTTCGAAGTCGCCGGCGTCAACCCTGTGTTTGGTCCCGGCGGCGAGGACGAGGATGACGGTGAGGAAAAGCGCGACTTGGGGGTCACCGGCACCGCCTGACGACTGTGTTGTCGCCGATGAGACACGTACCGCTACTCGCGCCCTCTCGACGAATTAAAGAGATAACTAGCTGGCTGTATAGTAATTAGTAAATAGTAATCCCTGTGTTTTTTAATCTGGAAATGTTTTTTTTTTTTTTACGCAAGTAGTTGCAACTCGTAAAAATAAAAACTAGATTCGGAAGTAATAAACTGAAATATGAATGGTGCGCTTTTTTCTTCGTTATTACTCGAGATAATTCCTCGATTCCTTTCAAGCCATATCATGATAATAACAAGTTATTGAAAAATAGTGTCATGAATGGAATTAATTTATTGTTAATGAATGAACAAATAATGAGGTTTGTAGTGGCAAAAGTTATCCTTTGTGTTATTCATTGATGCTTAGTTTAAATATCAATTCAAACATGTGAGTTTTTTTTCCCTCCAAAAAAATATCCCTATTACAGGAAAAGAAAATATCCCTATTACAGGAAAAGAATAGAATGCTCTGGCTTTGCCTATCGTTATAGTCTCTCATGTAACGTAGCTCGTTTTCACGTGAATTATGTATCCATCATTTAGTATCGAATGACATAAAAGAACTTGATCATGAAATATGATTTCGTTTTCAACTCGATTTTGGAATAAGTATCCATCATTCTAGTATCGAATGATATAAAAGAACTTGATCATGCAATATAATTTTATTTTTAACTCGGAATTGGAACCGTCGATGTATTTTGGTAAGTAGTTGTGAATATAACTCCACTCAAGTACCTTTTCAATTAATGGTTTGGTATTAATTTCATCAAAATACCAAGTTAATACGCTCTCATCTAGAAAAGCAATGCAAGGAATATTATTCTATCAGAAATTTGAAATCAATCCAAAACTAATATTTATGTTAAGAAAATTGAAAACCAACCCACTTGGTGAATTTTTGTTCTGTTCCGAGCTACTATATATTTTTTTCATTAAAAAAAGCTACAATATAAGCCTTGTTGTTTGGGCCATTCAGTATTTTATTTTGGGGTCTGAGCCCACTAATAAGGCCGAGTCAGGAAAAAATATCTTCCGCCTGCACCAAAAAATATCTTCTGCCGGCTCAATTATACAAAGCTCACAAAAAATAATTGGTACCTCAACTTAAATCCCAAGCAAACGCAACCCTCGAGTATGAGATTATTGACATATCAGTCACCGTATCATATCTTATCTCCATCAATTTTGCTCGTCCAAATTACACACGTTAGTAATAGAACACCTTCAAATAATAAAAATCATTCAAATTAACAATTAATTCACACCAATGTAATTGGCCAATATGAGTATCAAATTTTAACTCTTATCGTCTCAAAATCAAATCAATTTCTCTACCCAATTTCAACTTATTTTACTTGTAACAAAGTGCTCATTCGTATTTCGGCTTGAAGATTTTGGAGATCGAAGATCATCTGTATGGCATCGTCATCGATCGCCCGTTCAACACGTTGTTCTCTTTCGATGCTCTGTTTGTTGGGGAGATGTTGTTGTTTGGTCCGGCGAGGTCGGCCAGAGGTGGCTGCGGGCGTCTCTGCCTCCCTCGGTCCGGATTTGGGTTTTCGAGCTCCTCATTTTCCATCATGGTTGGCGTCTGGTGGAGGTGATGTTGTTTGGTGATCCGACGGCGATGGGTTCCATGGGGGGGAGCATCATCAGCTAGGTTTTGGAGATTGGATTGCTTGGTTGGGCTCCCGGGTCTGGGCCCTATTGGGTATCCGACTAGTTGTATGGGAGTTTGGCTTTGATTCAGATTTTTCCTTTCTTTTGTTGTAATGTCTCTTTTGATCTTTTTCTTCTAGGCTTGGCCCATTTACTACTTAATGAATCAACTTGTAAGAAAATGATCATCTTGTCTTAATTATTATTTATCTATTTGAATTGAAACACTAAGCCGGCCAATCTGGAGAAACAAACAACCTAATAAGAGATACACAGAGTGACTTACTAGGTTAGATAATCCAAACTTGAGTGGTAAATTTGTAAGGAATCAAACCTTAGGGATCGGCTTATTAGCTGAGTCCTAAGTCAGTGACTTCAATAATAATTCACCAACCCCCAACTGCCTATATAAACTTCGCGTTCCACACTGAAAGCGGCATCCCATCCACTCCATCACTTCCTCTCTCTCTCTCAGCTATCTCCTAGGGTTTCCCCCAATTCCCCTTCCCTTTTTCCCCACCTTGAAACAATGGCTTCCGCCGATACCGAGTACAGGTGCTTCGTCGGTGGCCTCGCCTGGGCTACCACCGACGAGGCCCTCCTTGAGGCCTTCAGCACCTACGGCAACGTCGTCGACTCGAAGGTCCGTTAGCGATCGGATCTGACTCGGCTCCACTCGGCTTTGTCGATCCAGGATCTGCAGTTCTCTAAATCCGATCTCGTTTTCTCTGTGTTACTCTGTTACTGTTACTGTTACTGCGTTACTCTGTTTTGCTGTTACTGTTCTCTCTATACTACTCACCGCTAATCGGTACGTTCATCTTCATCCCTTGGGGAGAGATAGATCGTTTATTTTTTTTTTGTTTTTCACCTTTGTTTAGTATTACAGATCTGAATCTTTCGTTTCTTCGTATAGTCGTTAGATCTGTCGTTCTGGATTCGGTTTTTTTTCTGTCGAGATCTAACAGATCTAGTGTTTTGTGTTGCTTGGTAACAGATCATCAACGATCGTGAGACTGGAAGGTCCCGCGGATTCGGATTCGTGACCTTCGGCGACGAGCAGTCGATGAAGGACGCCATCGCCGGGATGAACGGCCAGAACCTTGACGGACGCAACATCACCGTCAACGAGGCTCAGTCCCGCGGAAGCGGCGGCGGCGGTGGTGGTGGATACCGCGGTGGAGGCGGTGGTGGCGGGTACGGAGGAGGTCGCCGTGAGGGAGGATACGGTGGTGGCGGTGGGTACGGCGGTGGAGGCCGTCGTGAAGGTGGCGGCGGCGGCTACGGTGGCGACGGTGGATCTCGCTACAGCAGGGGTGGTGGCGATGACGGTGGCAACTGGAGGAGTTAAGCAACTCAAATAGTTTAGGTGGATGGTTGGGGGTCGTGATGACGTGGGTTGGGATTATCGAGTCTTGTTTTAAGAGTTAAATTAGGGTTTCGGCGGTGCTGTGTGCGTTTTTTTTTTGTTCTGGTTGCTGTTCGGTTCTGGTTCATGGTTCTTGTACTGGTTTATCGCTATGAAGAGAAAAAAAATGAAATCTTTCTTCTTTCAGGAAAATTTTTCTCCCTTGTTCTTCACTCTAATTGCGATTATCACGCCGAAGTCGATTTAATCCAGTTGACTAGAGTTTAGATAAACAAACTCGTGTGGGCCACTGTATTTGTTGGTGGGCCTATCCATTTTCGGCCCACTCGGTTGATTATATCCTCGGTGCGGATCGTTCCCGCAAAATATCTTATTGCCTTGCAGTGGTGAATTCACATAACTAAACCAGAGTGAAAAGTGGTTTAATTAAGCAGCAAATGGTTTAAGGCATATTATTTTTACCTTCACCCTATCTTTTATAAGTTTCAAAACACAATCCAACAACCTCAACCTAACCCACAAAGATGGAAATCTCAACACAATTGCGAACATGAATTTGACAATCATTATTCACCATCAAGCTTCAAGCTCTTTGAATTTTCGTGCGATCTGACAGTGTAGAATTCATGTTCATTTCGTATAAAATCTTGTCGATAATACGACTTTTGACAAAAGTAGTCAAATATGGGGAACGACGGGTTGGGATTTTATACCGTATTTTCAAATTCGTTGAGAAGATAGTCATGGTTGTGCTAAATTTAGTAACCAAATAAATGTAATTCATTGTGTTGAAATTGATGCAATACTTGATATGAAAGTCGAACACAGTTAGTGACGTAATTGTATTGCTCTGTCGACCAAGATTCTTAATACATTTTTTGTTAAAAGTTGTGCCATAATAATGTGATAAAGAGGACAGACTTTTAAGTTAAATTCTCACGTGTCACTTGTGACAGCGGGTCCCACTAAATTTGGAGCGAGTTTGCATTAGATACGACGCCAACGACACCTTCAAGAACACCAACAGACGTCGCTTGAATTCGAACCTGAAATATGTACCTCCCAAATTTTCACTGTCACGACAGCTTACCATTAGACTAACTTACTTTAGTAGTTTAATCATATTAACTTATACAAACAATACTTATATGTCTCATATTTGTGCAACACTTCAAAGAATCATTTTGCCCACCTTTCTCCTCCCTCACAACATCTCACTACACTACCCCTTCTCCCTTCTCCACTCCCTCACCGCCGATTTCCAGCTCCGGCCACCACCGCCGCCGCGAATTGACATTAACCAGCACAAACCCAACCATCTCCCCTGCAGCTCCACCACCACCATATCCAAACCTCCACAGCTCCACTTCCTCGCCCTTCTCAAGCTCCAGCTCCTCCATCTGCGTAACAGCTTTCCAACCTCTCCCCGTCAGAACGCACACTCTGCTGCCCATCTCCCACTCCCCGACGCGGACCTCGCCGCCGACCTCCACCGCCACGTCAGGGTACTTCACCGCCACGAACGCCCCGACCTCGAGCCTCTCGTCGCTCGCCAGCCTCGCCTTCTCCGCCGCCGTCAGGAACTCCGACGTCCTCTGGCCGCTCGGGATCGACAGCCGCGCCAGGCCCGGGCTGAGATCCGACTTGAACAGCGGCTTGGCGATCGCGAGCCGGAACCCCGCCGCGTCGGCCACTCTGCCCTTGGTCGCCGCCGCGATCCTCTGGCGCAGGTCGGATGTCAGAGCCCCGAGCTGTTGGGCAGCTGTGCGCGGCGGCGGTTGTGGGTTAGTACTGAGGGGATTGGAATTTCGCCCCGATCCTCGAGGTTCGATAGTACGAACGTGGGGACTTGAACGCTTGACCTCGACGCTGCTGCGAATAAATCCAAAATGTTTGGATCTTTTTCTTATAATAGAAGGACAGGGGATTGAACATTTTGTGCCCTTCTCTAGTTCTTCATTTCTGCTATTGTGCTCTTTTTGGATCCTCGAAGTAGAGGAAGAGCAGAGATTCGAATTCGCGACCATTTCTAGTCCACGGAATTCTTCTTCTCTAGCCATGGAAGGTTGGAGCTCTTCCCTACCGAATTGAATGGTAAGCCTCCTTGGCTTGACGACGGCATCTTTTTCGTGTTGTTGTTGGTTATCAAGAAGAAGGGGGAATTTCCGCTTCTTGCTGATAACCTGCTGATTATAACAGGAGCTCGGGTCTTCGTGGCGGCAGCCATTCTCCTTGCATAAGCTGACGAATTGAGCTACATCGGCCAACAAGTTCAGACCCGGCGCCGCTCCTTTATCGTCGGTTCCGCCGCCGTCGGAACTCTTGGTCGACATCGACACGGCGATGATCATCGTGACATTTTATGAATTCAAGAAAGAGAACAAATTTCTGGTTGTGAGTGTTGGGTTTTCAGTTTTCCCTTTCTTAAATAATGATTTAGGGTAATTTCAGTGGCAATCACGGATTGGGATTTTTAGCATAGAATCGGATTAGGAAGAGGTGCCAGGGGCAGTGGTTTTTTTTTTTTTTTTGCCTCTTCTTGCATATGGGAAATCCTTGTTCCACAAGGACTAGGAGATCGAACAGCCTGTTATTGAATTTTCCGCTGGGCCTGTTCTCATGTTCACTTATTCAAAATACTGGTCTGGCCCATTTTAAAAAAAGCCCAAACCTACTTGGCAACATTCCTTCCTTCCTTCCACCACCATGGGACTTTGACTTAATCAGGTAGCAGGTAGAGCTCATATGACTTGCAGAAAGAAGCAACAGCAGAGTGACATCCCAATTCCTCCTTCCGCCAGCTCCCTAGAGTTGTTCACCAACGAATCCGTTTAGAATAGGCCAGAGTTGGTGAACCGTAACTTTGCTCTGCTGCCTTTCCATGTGGTCTCTGTTAATTGCTCCAAAAGTCTTCCCCTGCCTGCGACCAATCCCTTTGTATAAAAACCCAGTCTTGCTCCACCGAAATTCCCACTCAGACAAAATCCTCATCATCAGCTCAGCTTCAGGAAGAACCAATCAGCCAAACCCATCATCAATGGCGGGGGAAAAGATGGGTGTGGAAGCTCTGGTGTGCTTGGCTGCTCTAGTAGCAGGGGCGACTCTGTTTTTGTCACAGGGAGCCACGGCGCAGTCCAGCAGCAGCTGCACCAACACGCTCGTGAGCCTCTCGCCTTGCCTCGATTACATCACGGGGAACTCCACGACGCCGACGAGATCCTGCTGCACACAGCTCGGCAACGTCGCCGGCTCCCAGCCGGAGTGCCTCTGCCAGGTCATCGGCGGCGGCGGTGGAGGAAATTCCCTCGGGATCAACATCAACCAGACTCAAGCGCTCGCTCTTCCCGCCGCGTGTAAAGTCCAGACCCCTCCCGCCAGCAGCTGCAATAACGGTAAACGATCCCTTCTTTCTCCTCTTTGTATTCAGATTTTGATCAATGGGGTTTTGAGTTTTGAACTGACTGTGAGCTTGTTTGAATGTGAAATGAAACCAGCTGGGTCGCCGTCCGGAGCGCCGGATACGCCGCCGGGGACACGCGGAGGAGGGTCGGGGACGACACCGTCGTCATCGGATGGGAACACTGCAACGATGACTTCGACTCTGCTTTTCGTGGGACTCCTCCTTGCTTGCTACTCTGCCATCTTCCCCACCACCGTTGCTGTGTAAAAACTGCTATATAAGGACACAATGATTTATAGAGATTCTTTCTGCATGAATAAACTACCATTTGATTTGTTGTAAATTGAGCAATAGACCCGCCACAGTTTAACAAACCCTGCTTTCTTGATCATGAACTACAACATAAGATGTTCAGTACCAATCTTCAATAGATAGTTACCGTACGACATTACATTTTCCCGACTATTCGAGTGTACGAAGACATGCTTAAATACCGAAACCCAGAAAAGAGCGAAACCCGTCGCACAATCTCAAGACTTTTGGTCACGTAAACCCACACAGCTCTGCTTCCAAGAAGCAGTTCTTTCCCTGTAAGTAAACAGCCTCCTCCATCAGGATTAACAGAAAAGGAGACACATAGGTTATTCTTCCATTCTGTACTTACATTAGTTTCGTACCGTCAATCAGCCTGGCCAAGACCATCGCTCCCATCCCCCGCCTTGGATATCGCAGTGTACTGAGACCCAGGGGGTTTCTTGGACAGAGTTGCAGCCTCGGCATTCTTCCTTAGCACGGCTCCTGGTGATGGGTAAGGGCGTTGCTGGAAAAGAGGGCCCTGAACCAGCACATAAAACACAAACAAATAAAGAAAATGGTGTTATGATACAGCGAATAATCAACCTAAGATTCAAAGCATTATGCTTAACCCCGACAGTTAGTTACGAAGTGTATTTTGCATACCGTGGCAGTTGTATCAGCTGCTCGTGGCTGCACCCCTTTTAAGCCCACAACCCTATCGTGTCAAACATAACATCATAAGCTGACATAAACCATCTTGTTAAAATAAGATCAACAGACAGTTATATTGTTATGATATTCCATACCAGCCACCACGAGGAGCATCAGAGTAAGAACTTGGATCCATGGGGTCCAGCTCATCATCCTCAGTGTAGGAACGTTTTCTGCTCTCCTTTTTGTTGTTTCCTTTCCCAAATGGAGGTCTCCCATTTGGCCTGAAAACTCAAACGTCAGCAGTTCTCACCAGCAATATTTACTAGCCAGTAGTTATCTACATCTATGCATACAATACAGGGTAGAGGATTTGGTAATCAGAAACTATTTAATAAAGTACCTCTTTTCTGCCCCTTTATTGCTATGATTGCTGTTGGAATTCCCAAAACTGCTAGCCTGCCGCTGGTAGTTTGGAGTTATGTATTCACTTTGAGGAAGATTTAGTTCTCTGCACAGTTTGAGAAGAAAAAGGTAAAGCAATTGCTACCCAAGAAGTGCAGCTCAATATACTTTGTTGATGAACTTACCGTGTGCAATGATTGCAGTAACCCCATGATTGTACAAGGCCTACACCCCAACCACCGCATTCCGTGCATCTTGTATGATAAGATGATTGCTCATTCATAACTACCGGGTCAGTTTTTACTGTATTCATAGCGGAAACTCGCTGTGCAGCAAGCACAGATGATGAATGAGGATGCTCCCATTGTGATACCTGGGTTTTTGTATTGAAGTAATATTTATGGCCTGCAAATTAAAAGTAGAGAAGAGTTTTAACAAAATGCTTGCAATCTGGTTCATATATCCAGTTCATAATGGCACTTCCATATATTATTCACAAACTATTGCAGATCCAAGTTAATGTTTATCAGGCATATTAATGTAACAAAAATCTTTAGCGCGAAAGTACCAAAAAACATAAATCATTTTATACAGATACAAGCTCAAAAAGAAGGTACCAATGAGAACAAAAAAGAGCAGAATCTGGCCACCTCAACCACTTGGTCCACACGATCATCAACATTCAATGACCTTATTACAAGTAACCTCATAAATCAACTAACTTTGGAGTTCAAAGAGCATACCAAGCAGTAACAAGCAATCTCCCCCACATTCACAACACCAATATTCTCCAATTTTAATGCATACCTGTGGTTTCATCAACTGTCTCCACCCAATTTCCAGGAAGAGCCAAAGGTAAAGGGCCCTGCTTGGTCGGAGGAGTTTCAAGAGGCCTCTCCCATTGAGTCACCCCAGTGCGTTCATTATAGTAATAAGGAACACCTGTCGTGGGATCTTTTGCTTCTGCCTAGACAGAAATAATAGGATTCAGCAGCATGCAAAACTCAATTTCAAGCAAAGAATTACCATCCATCAACTGATACACATCTTACCATTTGAAATTGTTCATTTTCAATAACAGATTACACTCCAGCATAAACATATTTTTAAAGGAGGGGGTGAAAAATATGACAGTAGTCATAAGTAATCTTTGCTCTAAAGATATATTATTAGTTAAGCAACGGAATACATTTTTCTTCCCTAGATCAACTCACCCAACCAAATCCGATTTCGCTGCTTCTATCATTTTATGAAATAATACAACTGATCACCAATGTTCTAGAACAAAAACAAAAGTAGTAATAGTTACTCACCCATCCAGGAAGCAGCTTATTCAACTCAACGTGCTGTGATGAAATCGTCCTCAATTCCTGAAATGGCAAACTGCTACGTAAGAAGCTATGAAAATGGAAATTATGGATTGATAGTGCAATTCAAGAAACATCAGCAAACGAAACCAAAACAACTGTCATACTGGGATACATTTTACGATATGCAAAGTTCAAAAATAGCTAAACAACGTTTTCAGCATATACTTATCCGCACAACCCATCAATGTGATCCATTCTTTAGGCCACAAACAAAGAGCAAATAAAAGAAACGAGGAAAACAAAGCTACATACACTTGAAGCATTTGTTCCCAATTGATGCCCTCTCTCTTTGTTATCTTTCAGAATACCCCTTGCCATCAACTTCTGCTTGAGATACTCGGGGAGCTCCTTAGTAGCGGATTCCTGTTTCGGTTCAAGTGATGGTCTCGAAGAACCATAATATGCCCCTCCACCAGGCACACCATACCCGTTTCCGATTTCCATGCGACCTGCCAACGAATAAAAAATAAGAAACACTTTCCAGCATAACAGTTCAGCCATTGTTCTAGTTAGCACATAGAAGTAAGAAAGCAAACTATGAATAAGAAAAGATGGATAATTTAGTAATCCACCTTGTTCAGGAACTGCAGGCTTCCCGTGCTTTGATGCCATTTCAGAGCGATGGTCAGTGGTCATCTTCATCAAGTGCTCCTGTAACATGTTTCACACTAATAAATGCCAGAGACAAACATCGAAAAAGTAGACTTCCTCCAGAATTATTGTGCAGTCTGCACCAGAACATCACAGCAAAAGTCCAAGAACTGGGAGAGCAAATCACATACTTTGATGGCGTTAGGATCAAGTCGTTGAGCAAAGATATCAGCACCATCCTTGGAAGCTTCTTGACTTGCAGCTCCTGTATCTCTGCATCAAATAGCACAAGGTCATTTTGTTGTTACCTCGTAGAATCCCCAAAACAACCAAAAACCCATCATCAATCTTCTTTCACCGACCTTTGATGAGCTTGAATGACTCTTTGTGCCTCAATTTCCTGTCAATAACCAGACAAATCTCGAAAACTCAGTAACTGCAGCATTATACCGCTGACTAAATGGGGAAAACCGAAACATTTCAGCAGCGTACTTGTTCACGGAGCACCGCTAGCTGAGCTGCGGATTCAATCGCAGTTTCTCCGGCATTGAAAGAGATTTGAGGGACTCGATTGTACTTCCCCTCAGCCAACTCTTCGCCCATCGTTCTTTTGCCGACGTTGTGAATTAGGGCTTCGAAAGGAACAGTTCGGAAGCAGAAATTCCCGTGCTCGAGTGAGAGAATTCAGTTCAGCGTCTCTGGAAACAATGAAGATATTCTCGGTTTAGTGTCTCCGGCAAGGATTCCGGCGACTGATAAACTTTCGAGATGCCTGAGATAAAATGGAAGAAAAGTTCTGTTTGCCGGGCGCTGAACTCTGCAGCGGAGCGGAGTTGAGAGAGACAGGAAGATAACAAGCGAGTCGGTAAAAATATGCTTACGAATTGATGCTATTACTTTTCAACCTCTACAATCAAGTCCTTTACCAACATATCTTTCATTTATGATTATCTTATGTTGCAGAAAATAATTATCCAATGTGTATATAGAATATGTGTACGTGTTGGGTAACTAAATGTGGATATAGTTGCGAACCCATATTTGTAGTCAAATTATCCACTATTCGTGTGGGCGACTTCAAAGTCTCATATTCGATTTTTGAATAGTGAAGTTACCGTTCGTGGGGTTCCTGGTGATCGGGTTGGCTTTCGGGTCATCGTGGGGTCTCTCTAATCACGTTTTGGGTAAGAAGAGGTGTGTCTTAGGTATGGTTGATTGGTGGTCATGATTCTCGTGCCTAGTACATTCACGCCCTCCCTTGGTTCCAAATTGATTGACCGGACAATCGTCATTTTAAAATCACGAATGATTTTCTATCTGAATATGCTTTTTAACATGCTTTTTTTTTGGACATTTTCACATTTGAATAAGTCATTTACAATGAATCATGATGTAATGGAAATTAACTTCAATTGTTCTCCTATCCTATCAAACTAATGAATCAAATCAATCAATCAAATTTGGACATAATTGGACGAATCAATAAGTTTGAGGTATATCCTTCAAGACACATGTTTTTTAAGGACCGATACGTCATTCTCAGAAAAAAGAAAAAAAGAAGGACCCAACAAAAGCGCTCTAAAGAAAAACCAGAGGGAAGGGAGAGGAGAAAAAGAGATTCCCAACGGAAAAATTGCCGGGAAAATGGCAAACCCTAGAAGGAGCTCCTACTCCATCAACGTCGGCGCCTCCGATGACAACCGTGGCGGCGGCGCCTCCCAGCCTTCACCCTTTTCTTCTTCTTCATCATCGTCCTCCGCTGCAGCCATATTTCTATATCTCAAGCACTTGCTCAAGAAGCCACACGCCTTCCCTATCCTGCTCTCCGTCTTCCTCCTCCTTACATGGCTTTCCCTCGTTCTCCAGCAGCGCTCATCCTCTCATTCCTCCGACGCTTCCGCCTCTTCTTCCCGGCTAGGAGGCGCCGCCGTCCATTGGCGGAAGCAGGACGACGAGAAGGCCAATTTGATCCGATTCAAATCCATGTCTTCTCCTATTGCCAAGGACAACCGCGGATGGCTTCTCGACCCCGTCGCTCTCGCCCTCGAGCATGGCGTTAAAGGTTTCCTACTCTCCCTAATAAGAAATGTGGCCCCTTGAGACTTCTCTGGTTCTGGGCAATGGTTAATTCGTCTGTATTTTCCATGTTTCAGGTGGAGCAGTTTCTTGTGCTACGGTTCATCTGGGAGAAATCCGACCCGGCACCCGGAGGGGAAACCACAGGCATAATGCCTGTAACGAAACGTTTGTAATTTGGGGCGCCAAGACTTTGTTCAGGGTAATGATTTCTTTTCATTTCCTTTCTCCGCCATTGATAAGATGATTGAGAGAGCTTCTCGATGCAGTAATTTTTAGGGGGGGAATATACAATGTTAAGAACCTTGAACCTTACAGTAGGAATGTTACCTTGTCATGGTCAGATTTCGGTTTAGATCAACATTGTTCTGAAGTTGCTGCCTTTTTTTATGGTTCAATGTTTGGGCATAGTAAAGCTATGATCTTTGGTTGATAGTGCAATATGGATTGGATCCAAGATGCTGTATTCATAATCATGTAATGGGATGGGAATTTTTTTATGGAAAACGAGAAAAATAGTTTGGTCTTGTGATTTGCGGGTCCTGATTAAGGCCTCTTTTACTCTTGTTGCAGTTGGAGAATCATCAGATCGTCGATAAGGGTTATGCACAAGTGGTAATAGAAGCAGACGAAGTGGCTGTTGCAGCTAGCCCAAGTGGGACTGCTCATGCTCTTGTAAATATGGATTCGATGCGCAGCACGTTCTTCGTTGGCTGCCAAGACTGTACAATGAATCCTGGCAACTCCTCCGACTATGGAGTTTGGCATGACCTCTGAGGCTTTCCCCATCCTGTAATCAGCAACCGCACCCCACTCCTTTCGTACATTTGTGAAGATGTTTTCTCATTCTAGGTTTAGCAGAGGTTCTTTTCCCTGTTTCGGCTTTGATATGGTGAGCTTGCTGGGTACAGATGGTTACAGGGAAGAGAGAAATGAGTTGTATTGTTTTGTATATAGAGAAGTAGACATAGAGAGAGCTTGTTGTATAACCTTCTGTTGTTTTTCAATTTGAAGTTTAAGCCTTTTTGAAAGCAGCAGTCTCTGGTAAAGAACACAAATCATACCAGTTAAGATCCCCGGATTGGACCAATCCAAATCAACAATTGAATCGAACATGCTTTGAAATTGATCTGGTCTTGATTTCTTTCTGTGATTTCGATCCGGTTCTATTCCAATTCTGCCGAAGCTTAGAATCACCACAACCATGGTCATTGAAGAATGTCATTGTCATTATTGAATATCCATATTACTTGACCAAAATTTGATGCTGGAAATAAGAAAAGCAAAATGAACATACATTGTTTCAGCCGTTTCCAATGCTTGAAAGCCAATCAAAACACAACACCTACCTTAAAAGTTTCTTTCAAGCAACTTCCTAACATTGTTAAACCATATCAAGTAAACCATCAACCACCATTCCACATCTATAAATTGGAATTCCATCCCCACCCAAGCCACAGCAACCAAAAACCACAAACAGAAGAAGCCTTTGTTTTCATTGCTTTTCGGTTCACTCTGTGTTTGCCGTACATTTGTGGAGGAAATGGAGAAGACAGGCAAGAGAATGGCAGTGATGGTAGGCTGCAACTACCCCAACACCAAGAACGAGCTCCATGGCTGCATCAACGATGTCCTTGCTATGAGAGAAGTGCTGGTGCACCGCTTCGGGTTTGAAAAGACCAACATAACCATCCTGACTGATCAGGACCTGTCTTCATCAGCCAACCCCGATCTAATGCCCACTGGTGCAAACATAAAGCGCGTGCTTCATGAGATGGTGGAGGCAGCTGAACCAGGGGATGTTCTGTTCTTCCATTACAGTGGACATGGGACCAGGATCCCTTCCTTGAAGCCTGGCCATGTGTTCAGCCAGGACGAGGCCATCGTCCCTTGTGATTTCAACCTCATTACAGGTAACCTAGTGGAAGCTAAATCTATCACAAACTTTTATATTTTTACTTGAAGCTAAGAACCTTTCCGGCATTTGCAGATGTGGACTTCCGGCAGCTGGTGAACAAGCTACCTAAGGGCACAAGCTTCACAATCCTCTCTGATTCATGCCACAGTGGCGGCTTGATCGACAAGGAAAAAGAACAAATAGGACCAACATCCACACTTCTTTCTGCAAAATCACTGCAACAAAACTTCTCCATCTCCCCCAAGACCATTCCTTTCCAAGCAGTCCTCCAACACCTCACCTCCCTGACGAACATCCACACATCCGACATCGGTACCCACCTCCTCGAGCTCTTTGGTTCCGACGCGAGCATCAGGTTTGTCGATCCCCTTCTAGTAGGATCATCTGATGACGATGGGATTCTGTTGAGCGGGTGCCAAGCAAATGAGACCTCTGCAGACATCAATCCTACAACCGCTGCGGGTGAAGGTGGTAGGAAAGCCTATGGGGCATTCAGCAATGCTGTTGAGAAGGTGCTGAAGGAGAATCCAGGTGCCTTGAGCAACAAGCAAGTTGTGGGGCTGGCTAGGGCTGTGTTGAAAGGGCAAGGGTTTGGGAATCAGCATCCTTGCTTGTATTGCAGTGACAAGAATGCTGATGCTGCTTTCCTGTGCCAATGAACATAAGTGCGAATTAATTGATTCTATTGATGCTTGGATTACTAATTTGTGGGGTTTCTGTTATTGTATGATATAATACTATACTGATCAATAAAAAATATCATTTGCGTCAATAAGAAATTATAGGAAAATCAAATGGCATTTAAAAGGACAAATGATCTGCAAACTGGGGTAAGGCTGTAAGGAAAGTGAAACTTACCTCATTTTCTCGCATTCACTTTGTAGGGATAAAAAGGGCCACTGTTATTTGCTCTCGTCCAAGCTTTAACCCATAAGGAGTGCTGCAGTATCTGGAAGGGGCTGACTTCTTAGGTCACTTACTCATTTCTAAGAAACACCCATTTCAACTCTTTAATTCCATATGCAGGCATTCATCGGCATAACCTGAACCAAATCGGAATGAAGTGTCTTCACTCATTACCTGGCAATCAGCAGCCTTGAAAATCATGCTGGTTCATCATAGGTGAAGCTGGTTGCCATGTGGGTTGAAGTACTCCGTCAATCTCACGAATCAAGAAAGGAGAAGCATCTACAATCCGCATGCTCTCTTGGATTATATAATCACAGGACTCGTGTTTAGGAGCAGGCCTGAGTAAAGGCAGCTCCACACGAGGATCCTTAATATTTTTCTCACCGCACAATTCTTTAGCTGGCAAAACATGGTTCAACCAAAAATCCGAAAGTGCCAACCTCATAACACTCCAGTACTCTCTGTCTCTATGTACTCTGAATAGACTACTCCCTCTTGGAGTCCACATGTATAAGTCCATCCAATCCCTGTCCATAATCTCCAACAAGCCCTGAGCTTGTGGGATATAATAAAGAGGGATCCGTTTCCATGGCTTTGCATCCTTCATATCAGCATAAAATGGACACTTTATCTCTAGCACACCTCGAGAAGGCAGTCCATAACACGGTTTCTCCACCAACCCATCAGGCGAAGCGGCTATCCAATCATGTTCCGGATACCTCTCCCCATAGAGTTGAAACGCCGGGAAGGAAATGTCATTCCCTGTAATCAACGTGTACCTTTCAAGTGCTTCCTTTTCTTTTACATTGCCCCACCATGTTGCCCAGTTTCCCCTAAATGGCTCCTCTGCACCAATCTTTTCCAACCACAGCTGAACCCTACGCCCACGCCACAATCCGATCGCCCCACCAAACGTGCTTGCAGTCAATTTGGTTTTCCTTCTGTCCTGCCAGTTCTTGTACCAGTGCTGAAGGCTCCTCGCCTCATGTAATGGGTCGGGTTTCCAGCTAAAATTTCTCACAGAAGGATGAACATTTCTACAAGGTTGCATTGTGTAATTCCTTTCATTCCTAGTACCAAAACAAAGTTGACCTCCGGTACACCTAGAATTACAATCAACGTTACAAAGCCACTAGATGCTAGAAAAAGGAGACATCTTTACATCTACCCAACTTAACAAGCAAGAAATTATAAGCGCTAATATTGACGGAAATAACTCAAATAAGGATTTTTTTCCATGGCCAATAGATGAGATAACGTAATAGCTTTCATACCAGTTTGAACATAGTATCTCAGGCCCAGAACAAGCTCGCCGGGAAAGCTTCTGAGAAGTCGAGCGCATAGATACGCCTTTTCCTTAATAAGTTATGCCTTCCCCCTGGACGGCGCTTAGATATATAAACACAAGTTCAAATCCAACAAGGGGGAAAACAAAAGCGAAGCTTCATAGAGCTCACCCTTTAATTTTACCGGACTAAATAATCGTCTCCGGCTGGCAATTGAGCGTCGGCGTTGGAGACTGGGAGGCGGCGTGGCGTGGCTGGCGGCAGTTTTGGGCGGTTGAGAATTTTTGCAGAATGAAGAGAACGGAGTTAGCACAAGGCCCAATAGATAAATGGAAACGACTTTTAGGGACTGGGCCTGCATGTAAAAGGACGCTCTAATAGGCCGTCCGAAATGGGCCTGAAATCTGACAGCCCATCTGTAATGTGTTTTTGAGTCTTTGATTAGAAGAGGACCTCTCTAATCTCTATGGCCAAACCTAGGAAGTGATCAACAAAGTCAAAAGATACTTTTTGCAAACAAATATATTCAGTGATGTAAAGGACACTAGGATCTAGGATCACCATAGATAAGGATGTATAACATGCAAAGGTCAATGTAAAAAGCAGTTTACTACGACTCCACGAGCGATAAACGATCACTGAACATATCTATAACAATCAGGTCACAAAATCGTGTTCCATTTGAATTAGACATCAACCTAACATTTAAAACGTTAATCCTATTTTACCACACGTAGATAGCATAAGTGTTATTCTATCTCACAACGCGTATTTTGAATTCTTGATGACTGGATTGACTCAATGTAGCCAAACGAGAAGCTTGTTGATGTACTTATACACTAACATGGAACACAATTTTACTCTAATTTGAATTTCACCTTGGTCATGGAGAATCATGATGAGTCAACCTAAGATGATTATTCCTTTCATTTTCCTCCCAATTAAAACAAAAATTAAAAATCCCACATTCATCCATAAATTTAGATGAAAAAGAAGCCAAACGAACAAGGTTCCATTTCCACTTTTTCCTTCACAAACAAACAAACACATAGATTTTCTGCCAAAGCCAAATCTCCAAAAAATGAAGCCGGAAGCGGCGGCGTTCCTCTCGTCCCTTTCCTCCTCCGGCGCCTCCCCTTCCTCCTCTTCTCGCCGCGAGGCCGCCGCAACTGCCGCCGACTCTTCCGATTCCCCCGGCTGCATGGCCGGCATTCTCCGCATCGTCTCCCGGTACCACAACGGCCGCCGCCGCCGCCGATTCCTCACCTTCCGACGTCCCTCCGCCGCCGCGATATTCGCCGGCGATCACAAACAGTCCAATGCCGCCGACACCGGCAAAAGTAAACCTACGCTCGCCCGCGAGGTGCCGAGGAGCCCGACGATCCCGCCGGAGATCCGCCGGTCACCGGACCTCCCGCCGAAAGCTCCCGGCGGCGGGAGCAACAGTCACAATCGTAATACCAACACTACTCGACAAGCCCTGGTGGCGAGGCTGATGGGGCTGGACGACGGCGGCGGCGGCGCGGTGGCGGCGGAGCAGCGGCGGAAGCTGCTGGGAGCGCTGGAGAAATGCGACGAGGATCTGAAGGCGCTGAAGGAGATGATCGACGAGGTGAAGAAAAGCGTCGGCGGCGATGGGTCCGCAGCGGATTACGGCTCGTTTCGGGCGCCGGCGGGGAATGATGACAAAGAAGCCGAGCTGGAGGAGGAAAATCGGAGCGATCGGCTGACGCCGCTCAGTGAGTGGACTCGCCCGTATCATAATAATAATCATTATAACAAAAGTCACGCTCCTTCTACCGGTAAGTGGTTACTTACTCACCGTCTTCTTTAAGTTTCCTCTGTTTTCGCTTTTGCTGCTGCTCTGCTTTTTCCAAAGCTTTTGTCGGCATTTCTCCCGTCGACGATAATAATGGCGATTTTTTTCTTTCTGTCTTCCATGCATACATATTACACCAATACGATTTCGTTAAGTGTCCATTTGCGTACGTTGATATGAGTGGGAGAGATGACTTGGTCTTGGACTTGGTACATAAATTAGAGGTTTATATTTTCAAATTTCGATAATATAGTATTTGGGAGAGAGAAGCATATAATATTTTTTTTATTAGATATATTTACCATTTTTTTGGCAAATTCCACATAAACAAAGAATGTCCTGACCTACAAAGCGCACACTAAAATCAGGCTGGGTGCGAAAAAAATAACATATCTCTTCCAGAATAGCACCTAACCGGGCATCCCTTGTGTCGGCTTGATTAATTTTATCAATAATCACCTTCGCATCGCCCTCAAACCGGACCTCCGACAATAGGATAGCTTATTCGGTAGCTAGGAAAGCCCTCTCTCTGTATCCGACTACATGTCGCTTCTTTGATTTCCGGGCCTGACTGGTTTCCAGGATGTAACTATCTATTTTCTTTGATCAATATATAATATCTTTTGACCCAAAAAAAAAAAGAAAGAGAAGTTGATAGTAACGGAGAAGACATGTTTTGACATGAAATGCAAGAGTTCTTGTAGGAACTCTGAAGTTAAACGTGGTCACTTTGTAGTAATGCACAGATATGAGTGACCTCTCAGAAAATCATCACCTTAATATGCACCTCAACACAAAAACCATGCAAGTTTAGGGATCCAAAGCGCATAATATATTCCACCTACTAATTCTTGGAAATATATGTGATTTTGGACTCGTGTATAGTGAACTCCAAGATTTTAAGAATTGATAACAATTTTGGAAGATCAAACATTGTATTTTGTGTCGGTCTTTTCTTCAACCTCACGTACTAAAACACAAGGTTTTCTTGAAATTCATGTTTGCTAAATATCAAGATTTGAATTTAATGCTAGTGGTTAGCATTGATATTCTACTTGCACAAAGAAGGGTGTATGTATAGCATTATTAACGTGAACAAACATATATCATTGTTTGTTGTTGGTGTGAAAAGATACATTCATCATCACAGGTTATGGAAAGAAGAAGAAAAAACATCCATCATTGGTAATTATCATTTTGGCTTTGGTCGATAAATATGCTTTGACCCAAGTGAAAAGGGTAATTAAGTAGAGTAAGTAACCACAAGATGAAAAGATAACCCTCCATGCTAGTGCTCTATAACATGAAATGGATCAACACAAAGTTGTGCTTCAATCGTTTCATATCGATAAGATTCAATACAGATTTGAAATTTTGATAAATAAATTATTATTTTTTATCTGATACAATAATACGATGTTATCAAACATCGAAAGAAATAGTAGATAGAAGGGGTTGGTTTCTTTATGTGTAAAAAGTGTGGGGATGGTAACAATTATTAAAGTTGCATGTGGATGTTTGGATTGGAAATATGGAATCCAATCAATCAAATTATAACCGTTGCCTCGTAGTAGTGGCCTAGTGGGCGACACCATCACACAAACAAAAAGCCTCCCTCACCCTTTTTTCCAAGTGGCCTCCATTTTGGGGTAGGAGATGAACCTTTCCCGTCGATTGGGTTGCTAAATAAATTAACTTCACATTCCTAGATTCATGTACGAGATTGAGAGCGAGAAATGAATCGTAGAAAATGGTTAGGTATGTTAGATGTAAATCTAGCTTACACGATAGAAATGAGTCTTGGAAAGTTGAGAAAGGAAAATGTGACTCATGTGAACCTCAAAGCAGGAGGAGGAGGGATCCCGAGGCAGCAAAAGAAGAAGCCAGGAGACCACGAAGAAGGGATCTTCTTCTTCGACATCTCCGCCAAGAGACCACCACCAGCCGCCGCCGCCGCCACCATGATCGGCCATCGTCATCCGAGCCCGTCGACGACGATGGAGAGCTTACTGTTCCCCTGCCGCGGCAGGGAACAACGGAGCAACAAGAGCAATAGTAGTACGAGCGAGAAGAAGGCGATGGCGGAGAGCGTGGAGCGAGCTTGCAGCGACATAGCGTGGGGGCAGAAGCGGGAGGTCGGGAGGATCGGGCTGGCGCTGCAGGATCACATCTGCAGGGACTTGGTCGAGGAGTTCGTCAGAGAGGTGTTCGGCCACTACTTGATGAACAAATATTACAAGTTCTACTACGATAGTAGAGTTTCTCGTGAGTCATGTGACATGATCAGTACGCTGCCGTTCGATGCTTGTAAGAGAAGTCTGCGTTTCTGATCCTTGTTTCCACAGGATTAGCTTAGGAGTGCTCTGTTTTATCTGCTTTGTATTGCTTGTTTGTTGCTCTTTTTGGAGTTGTGTTGGTTTTGAGCTTTTGGCAGTGTTGTTGAGTGAGTGATCAAAGTTGTGCAAGTGATGTGAAGGCTACTAGGTGATTGGGTTGAAATTCACCAAGGCGTGTTGATTTAGTTTGATAATTTCATTTGAGTTGTGTTAGAATCAGCTGATACGATGCAATTTGTAATCTTAAAGCTCATCGACTTAGGCCGAAATGAGAAATGAACATAAACAGAAGTACAGAACATTTTCAATTCAATCATTAAAGATAAAACGATGAATCCTTTTCCTCAAATGCACACAAAAGATACTAATAAATTCACCATACCCATGAAACAGGGGAAACTGAAACAATGTAGAAAAGAGAACATTTCAATAGGCAAAGACATAATAGACAGACAAGATGCTCGAGAGAAAGAAGTTTGTAAGAGACAGAATTGTCACACCACCACCTTCACCCACTAACACAAATTCCTACTACTCCCCTTTTCTTAGAATTTGCCAAAAAAAACAGCGAAACTTCTTTTTGTAATTTTTCTTAAAAACCAATAATTTCCTTCTCGAGCGTGGTAACTGGGGGGAGGGGGAGATCATTTACTTGGCCATCATGACCTTGACGAACTCCTCGTAATTGATCTGACCATCGCCGTCGACATCAGCCTCCCTGATCATCTCGTCGACCTCCTCGTCGGTCAGCTTCTCGCCCAGGTTGGTCATCACGTGGCGGAGCTCAGCGGCTGAGATGAAGCCGTTCTGGTCCTTGTCGAAGACTCTGAAGGCCTCCTTCAGCTCCTCCTCGGAGTCGGTGTCCTTCATCTTCCTCGCCATCAGGTTCAGGAACTCCGGGAAGTCGATGGTCCCGTTCCCATCAGCATCCACCTCGTTGATCATGTCCTGTAGCTCAGCCTCTGTAGGGTTCTGGCCCAGCGACCTCATCACGGTTCCCAGCTCCTTGGTGGTGATACAGCCTGGAAAATGGAGAAACATCATTAGTTGAAAGATGCTGTAATAACACCAGAGTGGACATGACATGGGCAGAGAGCTGCTCTGGTTACTACTGCATTACATTACTCGTTAATGCGAGAAACTTAACTACTCAAACCAAACTTGGAAATCTCCATCGGGACACACATCAAACACTTGCAAGCCTTATACGAAATGCGTATGAAGCGATAAGAAGACCAAACAGACACGACTTCCGTGCATGGTATACCACGAAGCACAAGGTTTCATTATCAATTCATAAGATCACTCAGCAAACAAATCCATATCATTGAAGAAGATGTATTCATAATCATGTCCTTATGATAGCTTTCTAGGAAAGCTAATTGATATTGAAGAAGATAAGATGTCACTTTCTACCTCATTCAAACTTGCTCAATCTATTGCTTTCATGTTTAACTTTCCATTAACACTAGATTTTTTTTCCTACAAAAGACCAAGACAAAGGTAGTCCCTCTTCATTGAACACTTGTCCACAGTCAAAGTGTATACAGCTAGCAGCCATGGAAAAGTATAAGTAAAACAAGAAAGCTTCACTAGATCTGAATTCTCAACTCCCACAAACTGAATAGTCTCGTGAGAATCATCAACACGAGATCCCGCCATTAATTCCACACTTCAAATCGTTCATCCAGAAAAAAGGACGAAGCATTTCATCCACACGAGAACGAAGAAAAGGATAAATCGAATGACATGAACGGAAAACAATAAACAAACGAGCAAACTGTTCATCAATCAATCGCACAATCTACTACTTTGCCTAATGATTATGGCGATTCTGCTCTCGCCCTATGGAACAGGTGTATTGCCTTTCAGAAACACCGTAAGATATCAAATAATCTCCATGAAGACGAGCAGGAAACGCAAAAACACAGGCAGGAAGAAGCGCTCCGTCGGCAGCGTTCGAGACTGGCCGGCGAAAACGGATCTCAGACGCGGAAACGGAATTGGAAAAAAAAAAACTAAATTAAATCACAAAACAGCAGGTGGACAAGATGAGAAATCAATCTCTGAAAACGACAACGCCATCAAAGATACAGAGTAGACATCAGATCTACAACTACGGAGAACCAGAGCGAAGGAATACGAAGGGAAGATGGAGCGAGCGAGGGAGGGAGAAAATAGGGGGAAAAAAGACTCGCGTACCATCGCCATCCTTGTCGAACAAGCTGAAGGCCTCCTTGAACTCGGAGATCTGATCGTCGGTGAGCTGATCCGCCATTTTCCCTCTTCGCTTTCCTTCCTCCGAGAGAGAGAGAGAGCTTTTGGAATTTCTTTCTTTCTTTCGGGGCTGTGGTGTTCTTTTTTTGGCAGAGGGAAAATAATAAGGCACCGTCTAACCCGGCGAGATGAGTTCCAAAATGATTTAAAAAGGGTTCGAAAATAAGGAGGGAGGAGAGAGAGAGAGTGACCGCGTTTTCTTCTGCCTTAACTTTTCCTCCGGACAACAAGTTCCGCTTTCGGGGATAATTTTCAACGGAATTCCTAATTTCTTCTCCTTCCCCCGCAAAATTTACTCTTTTTTTTTCTTTTTTCTTTTCTCGGTTTTACAGTTTTACTTTTACCCTGAGAAGTGGCGAAGGACATCTGCACAAAATCATATAATTAAGTAAAAGATGAAAACAGGGGAAACAAAGGTGGTAAAAATATTATTCAGTGATAATATGGAAACTAAAATAAAAAGGAAACGCGGTCTGAACGCGGTTGGAGGACGTCAGTCGTCAGGATTCCCAGCATCCGTCGACTTGTGATTTGACAGATATGACCCTCATTTCCTTTTCAGTGACCATCCTTATCCTCGTCCGCCTCATTTGACTCGTCCGGTCCTCCGCCCAAAAAGCAAGTCTACTCAATGGGCTGAGTTTCAGTTACTGGGCTCAAGCTTGTTGGATACAAAACCTATTCCACGGTTCAGAAACATAAGACGGGCCGGCCTCATTGGATAGATCAGCCCATGGGAGATTTATAATATCTCGGCCCACAATCTATAGCAGACAATGCTTGTATTCAACGAAGACAATTTTTGGTATACAAAAAAATAAAGACAAATTTACATTTACAACTTCGAAATCAACTTTGGTGACTTCTTTGCCGCACTCATTTTTTTGTCTGTATTTTATAAACTCAACTATAAAGTAGTCTTATAATATCGAATTTTAGTTTTTAATTGATATAACACTACCTTAAACCTCAGTTATAAACGCTCACCCTAACCTCCTAAACTATAAAACCTTCAAATCTAAGTAACCATATTCGTTCCAAAAAAAAGAAGTATGGTCCAAAGAGGAAAGATGAGGAGCTACGTACAATCACTGCTAAGATCTCAACTAGGTTGCTCTACTATGGATGAGAAAGAATCTCTCGTTCTCCACTTTTCCTCTACTATGCATATTCATATGTGCGATATATGCAACGAATCCATTTGTCTTGCTTTCTTAACCTACACTGCCAAAAATGCACCCCACTGCCGCCCAATATTTACTCACATCACATTCTTCGTATCAAACCGAATCACCTGCAACAACGGCACACCCAATCAGGGTTTGATTCAATCGGAGATTATTTATTCACGACGTAGTTTAATCTCGATGTTAGACCCGATCGAGGCGTACCACTGTTTTTAATGCAATCTCTTTTATTCTCCGACCGGGTATGATACATACCAGTTCAGCTACGATTTCGATTCATACCAAACCAAATTATCCAGATTCTCGTGTACCACAAAACCGCCCCCCACCCAATACGAGTGGGGTGACCAACACAGTACAATGGCGTTCACAACGCGACACCGAATCAAACTATGATTCAATCCGATTAACATATTCACAACGTAGTTTAATCGCGATATCGAACCCCTGTCGACGCGAGTTGCTGTTCGAAATACTTTCTCTGTCAATTTTTCCGGCCAGAAACGATAGCAGTTCATCTACGATTCGATTCATACCAAACCAAATTATCCGGATACTACGATTACTCATACCCCTAAAACCTCCCCCCATGTCTCACTAACTATATATATAACAGTACACATGAGTGATAAAAGTGATTTAACCAACCGTTACAAATGGCGTATCAGCTTCTAAAGCTACTACTGCTACTTGCCGCGGCAATCCACCGCGAAACGCGAGCACAGATCTGCCCTACACCGCCGGACGAGGGCGGCGGCGACTTCACCGTCCTCTGCAACCCGTACGAGTTCGACGAGAGGTACTACCCGCACCACGCGCAGGAGTGGGCCCTGGACTTGGCAATCGGCGGCGCCGACGTCGACCGGCTGAGCATGTGCCTCAAATCCCCCTTCGGCGGGGACGCCGCGGCCGGAACCCAGCTGTGGCTCGTCCACTACTCGTCCTGCGAGATCGGCACCGTCGACGACTGCGAGGCCTGTTTGGAGGAAACGCGCCGGATCATAAGGCAGCAGTGCCCCAACCGGGCCGGAGCTCAGGCCGCGTCGGTCCGCTGCTGCGCTCGCTACGAAGTGTACCGGTTTTGCAAGGTTGTAAATGAATAAGAAATTAAACCTCTTTTGCTTTCTCTTGCGAGAGAATTAGGGATGACAATTTCGACCTGACCCGTTTTATCCGATCTGTTTGACCTGTTTTGACTTTTGAGGTGGGTTCGACCCGCTCCGTAGGCGGGGCGGGGCAAGCATGGGTAGTCTCATCGACCCTACCTGCCCTGACCCGCCCCAGACCCGTTTTTGTTTAAATTACATGTAATCTTAGTCAAATTATTTTGAATTTTCCTTTTATTGCATCATATTTAGCGACAATAAAGTTGTAAATTAGTGAAAACCTCAATTTCTCCAATAGTTTAACTACAATTGTCATAATATTGTTTGTTTTCTTAGTCTTATAATAAAAATAACGAATATTTCTAATGTTTTTCATATAAATCGCATACCCATTGGGTCGACCTACCCCAACCCGCGACCCGTGATCAATTACCCGATCTGGACCCGTCCTGCCACGGGGCGAGTCTGGGTGCCAAGAAACCCGCCCTGGACCTGCCCATTGCCATTACTAGAGAGAATCATGTTTCCAAAAACCCAATTTGCAGTAGTGTCTTTTGTATGGAAAATCCCATGCAGCAGGGAGCAATTTAGTTTTTTTGATTAAACGGGACAAGGTTTTTTTTTTTTTTTGGTTTTGTTACATCACAGTCTTATCCACTAATGCACAACAAACATTTTTCTGCAGTTTGAGTTCAGAAAATGAAGAAGAAAAAAAGAACCCTGCAGTAGCATGAACTGTGCATCCATCTTGTTATAGTCTCTTCAAGCTCTTCTTCCTGGCATCCATCTTCTTCTTCTCCGCCAGAGGCTTCGCAACAACTCCCTCCTTTCGGTTCACGCCTCCAACCGTTGATTTCTGCTTCGTGGAGCTCGTAACTGGTGGTGCACTGGCGCCTGTCTCGGATATTACCTGATCTGCGTTGTTCGGGTGCACTTCCTTGGAGGATGTGGTCGAAAAAGGTGGCAATGGCACGGCAGAAGGGGCTGTCGTATTCTTGAGATCGACAACGCCGCCGCTGGTGGCGACTGAGGTGTTGCTGCTCTGGTCGACATTCAGTGCTGTTGTTGACTCCGAAATGGGCCCAGACTTGTGCTTGGGTTTTGGCTTCGCGTAAATTCCAGTGATCAGTCTGCAATTTGTGTTTGTTAAGTCAAGCTCAGACCAATAGGAAGAGAAAACCTCATTTAGCACAGTTCTATTTCGCAAGTAAGAATGACAACAAAGGATCAAGCCAAAGAAGGGTTTGCCGACCTGGCATGTTTGGAATAATCCTCATAGTTTTCAAGCAGCATCTTGGCAGCCTGCTCATTTAGGGCAGATTCAGGGAATGGTTCAATCAATAAGCACCTCACGACCTGTTACAGAAAAGGCCCTACGAAAATTAGCACTTGTCTACTGTGGGTTATGGAATTGGACACTGCAAAAGATCTACAGGAGTAAGAGATGATAATTGAAGCTGATAAATTCATAGTTAGTAAAATACGGTACGGGAAAGTTACGGATATAATACGTACGGGTATTTTACTTCATCTCTAAGCTAATGTTACGTTTAATAGTACGTTAATAGTCATAAATATATAAAATAAATTATTTTTTAAAATAAATAAATATATAAATAATAGTAAAGTTAACAATTTAATTCATTAAATACGGATATAAAACGTGTTATACGGATTTTATACGTGTTTAGTACGGGAGCCACCAAATGAACGGACAAAAATGAAACGGCTTGACAAAAATACGGATACGGAAGTTTTAAACGGATAAAGTACGTACGGGTACATATACGTGTATTAAACGGAGTATTTACTAACTATGGATAAATTAATACGAAAATAGACAATGAACTTACAACAAGAACATGTCGTAGTCCAAGACTTGGATTCCAGTCCCTTTTCAGTGTATTGACACAAATTTTCCCATCAGATGAAATATTTGGGTGGAATATCTTGGTCAGGAAGAAACCTGTAGATCAAGAGATTTTGCATAGTACTTAAATAGTTGCAAGAAGATTATTACTATGGCTCTCTATCAGATGGGCTGTGCCTTCAGCAAATCCCACCTTGAACAGCTCTATCATAGAAAATGGCGAAGGCAACTGAAGAGAAGAATGCAAAAAGTCCTATTCAAAATACCTTGTGGAGGTAACTGAGGGAAGTCATGTGGCAATAACAGCTTCATTCGGAAAATGCCATTTTCATATGGAGTACCATCTGCATGACCAAAATTTTTACTTTTAGTATAAGTAAAGAAATTTGTTAGCACATATATTTGAGAAGATCATAGTTGCTTGCCTGGTCCTTCAATATCAGCATATATGATGGAAAAATCATCATCATTAACTCCTACTTTGATGCCTTCAGGTGGAGATTCATCAAGACTCTTCAATTCCTTAGCAAGTTGCTTAATCACATTGGGTGGAAGATTTTCATTTGTTGCCTAAGTAGGAAAACAGAAAACCCATATCATAACAGAGGATAGCAGAGCATTTTGGGCTGCTACTAATACCATGATTCACAACTACATTATTGATGGGACCAAGACGAATGAACCAAGCAAATGCGTATCCCATATTCCCATCTATAGCATAATCCAACTGAATTCCTACCAAGCATAATGATCCAAGATGTAATTGCCAGACTTACCCACTGTACAATTGCTTGAAAGTACAGCTAGCGCTCAAATTTGATGTTCAAATCGACATCTTTGTAAACTTTTCTAGCATAATCTTATTCTCCTATCCATAAAGATACCCCTCTCCAGGAACCTTACAGCAGTAAGAACCAACCCAGCTGATCTTTCACCAACTATATCAAACAAATTCTATGCCTTTCAGGCACTAGCGAAGAGGATTAGAGAGGAGTGGTGAAGTATGACTTGTGAAATTTACCATAGTCAAATATTGGGAAGAACTTCCCCTTTATTTAGTAAGATGTAGAACTTCAGGAACGACTGCAATCTAACACCTTGCACCCAACACAGTAATGATCAACCAAGCAAGCAATGGCCTGCAACAACAAAATGAAACCATGAGTTTGAAGAAAGTTGTTTAATAAAGAGGTTCAGCAGCAGAGTTCCAGTCAGAAAATTATAGCGGCAGGACCAATAAATGAATGAAAGCTTGTAGCTTTAGCTGAATCAGAATCAGAATCCGCAGTTCTCGAAAAAAATGTGATTGCAGTATCCAATTGAAACTGCAATATATGAGATACAAAAAAAGAAAAGAAAGCGTTGGTCAAGGCATCCGTGCAATTCCAGATCTTTCAAACTGACTAAATCACATTCACAACTTAATCACATTGTACTGCAGAATTTTCTCAGTAGCTAGCTTTCACATATAAGATTGACAGAGGAGATATGCTCTAATACAGACTGTGATACATATCTACAACTAACCAACCCCAGTTTGACAGAACCAAACAGTCTCCACGTTTGAAGAACTGTACATAAGAGTGACCAACAAATGAAATCATCACATCAATGGCTGGTGCCTCGCTCCGGTTACTAAATTGTGATAGCCGGATGTTGTTAGCCACTTCAATACTACTGTGGAGTAGGAGCGCAGAAGAAAACAAGAAAAAGGCTCAAACTTTCAGACTAAATCCCTCGAATTCCACACCTAACCGTTGAATTCTTAACAGGGTTGAACTAAATTTACATTCAGACGTAGAAGCAATACCACAATAAATCAAGGGAAGCAGACAAAACGAAATTGCTAAGTCCCTGAAATCACAGGAAATCCCCAGATCACCGACAGCCAAATCTACCGCAGAAGAAAAGGGAAACTAACCCACTGGTCGAATCAGAAGAAGACCACCCTTTCGGAGACTGAAAACCCTCAACCACCTAAAATTCGTAAGGAAAGCCAAAGACTTGATACGAAGAACCCTAAGAACTCAAAGCAAAGAGCTGATAGAAAGAGAGATTAGTTCTGACATTCCCCAATCAAACCCTACAGATTTATCGGGAAAACATTTTGACCGACGAAAGAAGCCGCCCACTCCAACCAGCGAAAACGAAGATCAACTAATGAAACGGGACTCATCTCAAATTGCTTCCAGCAACCCAATCAAATTCAAATGCGCGAAGACAAAGAACGGCAAGAAAGCGGAAGGGAAGAAGAGATTACCAGGCAAAACTGGCAATGTCCAACGGAAAACAGAGTATAGTGATGGGGAGGAACGAAGAGAGAGAGGAGAGGCGATGGCTCCTTGGAATGATTGAATGAATGACTGAACAGAACCCCACTTTGATTATTGGTTTTGACTTTTGATCGAATGAAAGAAGCTCTCTTCTACTTTTTTTTTTTCCAGTAAGAAAAGACGAAATCCAAGATATATATTTTTTTATTCAGAGAATATTTTTCCTTTTTGTCGCACAATTATTTAGACGGCCTTCTTGATTTGTTTATTTGACTAAATCTTTTTTCTTAAATCTTTTTCCCCCTTTTTACAATTTTCCTTTCTAATTTAGAAGCAAAATTCATGGAATTTGGATGTATTTGGAATAGGAATGGCGTTCTTAACCAGCATCTCATTAATTTAATTCTTCTTTTAAAAACTTTTTCCACACCTTTTAAGTGCCATTCAAATAAACCCGGAAGTATTCATACAAAATAAAAACCAATCCATAAATAATATTGTGATCAATGTGGTTAGAGTCGAAAAAAAAGACATACTTGTGCAGTTGTGCTAATTAATAAGGTAAAAATGACAAGATGATTTATTCAATAATCCACCCACTCACATTTATCTTATTTCTATCTAGCTGCACATATGTCATCACATATTTAGTTCTGAGCATGATATCCTTTTCAGCCATCTTTTATCGCACCGAGTAACGATGTAACACACCGCTTATCTATAACATTATCATCTCTCATTGATGAATCAACGTTGATTAGTAATACATGTTATGACATCACATAAGGGTTCAAATAGAAAGAAAGAAGTTAGTTTTTTCAAATATAATATTGAATAGAACAAAACCAATGGAAAAAATTGCATTAGCTCGATTAGGAAGATCCGAGGGATTTCAAATTTGGTAGGGGTAATTAGCATAAATGGTCACAAACCTTTGCACTTAGTACAAAACAGTCACAAACCTTTAATTTGTAACCATTTGATAACAAAACTTTTTTACTTAGAACAAAACGGTCACAAATTAAACAGTGTGACCATTTCATACCAGTTCAAACTTTTGTTACCGTGTCGTTGCAAATTAGACTTTTGGTGACCGTTTTGTAAAAATTAAGTTCAAAATTTTGAACGCTCAATCACCGTTACAATTCACTCTAGTTGTATGGTGGTTTTGTTAATGTATGTGAATGATATTATGTTGTTTAGGATGACAATGAGAGAATTCAATGGCTCACAAACGGGTTCCAGACTGCTTTTTAGTTGAAAAACTATGTCTACTTTCTTACTTTCTTGGTATCGAAATTGAAAGGTCAACTGAGGGCATTCTTATTCGGCAAAGCAAATATGTCGATGAACACATGACCTGACGTCTTATATGTCGTTCAAGTGGTTAGTGTCATATACTTAACGAACAAACTACCCGACCTCAAAACATGACCAACATTTAATCTGTAACGATTCGGTAACAAACCTTTGCACTTAAAACAAAACGGTCATAAATTAAATAGCGGTGACCATTTTATACAATTTCAAAGTTTTGTTACCGTATTGTTACAAATTAAAGGTTTGTGACCGTTTTGTACTAATTGCAAAGGTTTGTTACCATTTATGCTAATTACCCAATTTGGTAGCTGTTGGCCGTTACCCGTTAGGATGGCGACTCTTCCTTCCTCCGTCTTCCCCACAACAGCCAGAGATGCGCGTTTGCTTTTCTGGCACCTCTTACTGCGTCGTCTAACGTTCTATTATATTCCACCCTTCACCTACTCTTTAAATTTCAATAAAAACAAATCCATGAATTCAAAATCCCTGAGACTTCCCTCCGAGTACGGTAAGTAGAATAATCAATACATTTCCATATGCACATCCATTCATGACCAATTCACACACCCTAATACATTTGAATGTAACGCTAAAACATTCGATCTACAGTCGATACTCGATCGTATGCAAGAACCTATTACGTCATAAGCACGATGATATCCTCGGAGAAAATGTGTATCGCTACCAGAGTCATAAAATGGAGGATGGCAGAATGGAGGGTCTGTAAAGCTCAGACAAGTCATCAAATAAAGGAACAGTAAGGTTACACATCTCGATAGATTCGCTACACCTCTCGATGTTTTTCCTAGTTCTGAGGCATGGGTAGAGGGAGAAACTGCACAGTGCCAACATACCAAGAAGAAGAGCTTCTGCACGAGTGCGAGGTAACGCGACAGGGCGGCTCATCAGAGTCCCAATCCAACCGTGCGTCCATCTCGTCGACGAAGTCCAGCTGTGTACTGCCTCTCCAACTCCATCTGGAGCTGCTCCTGTTTTTCGACTTGGAGACCCTCTTGGTTGTTGTTCTTGTTGGTCTGGGATTCCGCCTTCCCGTCCCCCTTCACACCCTACAATTGGCCATAGGTACCATTGCTGACTCAGACTCTAAAACGTGTTAGTATTGTGAAGCTTACTTTATTATAGAAAAAAAAACAGAGTTTTCTGAGCAGGGATGTATTCAATAATGCTTTCTGGTTAACTGTTTGCAAGCACACTTTGACACAATTCTTATAAAGCAAAAGAGAGAATTTTTTACCATGAGCTTGTTGAACTTTTCTTGTCTCTCACGATCGCCAAACATTGAAGTGTCCCACCGGTGACCAGATGGCTGATGAGAGTAGCAAGGGTTGGAAGAAAAGACGAGAAAATAAGCAAATGGAGGGAAGCTCTTGCAGAAGGCTGAGTATACAATTAGAGCATATGATTGATAGGCCTTTACCTCTACTGAAGTGGTGGTGCTCTTCTTGTTCCCCCATAGTAATTTCTTCTTCTGTTCAGTGGACATTAAGCTCCCGCCAACCAGGTTCTTGTTAACTGAAGCATGTGCCCGGTAAATAGGTGCCAAAACAATGAAATTAAATGAGAACAAGTTGGTGCAGTGGTGCACGTAAGGAAATAATATACGTTCACTTTTGAAGCTGGATTAGGAAAATAGATAAATAGGGGTGTTGGACAATTATCTTGACCATAATCACCATATTCCCGTTTCTTTATACAAAAGAGAACGAGTGATCAGGGCTTGCTATATTCTCAATTCTATTTGTCACGACAAGTCATCCTCGCATTGCCAAAGCTGGGAACTGGCAAAATGCATTCATAAATAATGCTTTGCACATCTTATCAAGATCATACCAGACTTGAAAGTAACACCAACATGATAAGATCAGATGCATTGGCAATCCTAAACTCTTATCATTGCAACCAATAATAATATCCCATATAGTTTAACGCGTCACTGAATGCTAAGAGAGGAAAACAAAGACTCGAAGCTAGATGTAGCAAACTCACAACTATTACTACAGCATGCACTTTATACCTAAATAAAGCCTTGAGAAAAACTAGACATGTCCCATTTAGCGGAAAACCGATTATATCCAATAAAGCAATTATTCCTCATCCTCGGTTTGGATGAGTCTAACTCAGCAGTCATAAGATACTGAAGAACATACATGACTGTCAGCAGCTAAATATCGTGCAACACAAAAATCTCCCGACACTTGATCAAGTTTGGACTAGATTCTATGCAAGCAATGAATGCAAGAGCAACTGTGTTATAATGTACAAATTTGATACAGATCAAGCAAGGATATGATCTACCTAGTTCAGCAGCTTTCATGGCAGCAACCTTGGCCGCATTTAGGTCATTAGTAGCTTCAGAAATAGTTCCCATAGCAACATTCCCAGCAGCTGGAACCTGCTTAGGGCTTGAGGACTGATTTTCACCTGCTATGCAGAGATCTCCAATCCATTAATAGTGATGCAACATTATCAGAACACAACGAAAAGAGAGGCAGGCATGAGTAACAAACATCCAATTACCATCTCCATTGGGATGAACGGCCTTTTCTGAACTGAAGAGCTTTGTCCTTTTGGCCTTGGATTGCTGAGATTCAGCCTTGCAAACAGATTTTTCTTCATTTTGTTCACCTGATGCTCTGGAGTAAGCATCCTTGTCTCTATTAGTGTCAATATCAGAATGTTTCTTCTTTTCTCTTCGATCATCATATTCCTCGGGATCACCTCTCTCAATATCTCTAGTGTGATACTTATCATCATCCCTTCTAGAAAAGAGTGATTCTTTCACATGTACTCTGGACCTGTCACGATAATCTGTGCGCTCACTTCTATATTCAGAGCTTCTTCCATAACCCCTTTCACCATCTCGATTATCTCTGACCCTCCTGTGGTGATCCCCATCTTTGTCCCAAGAAGTCGAGATAGTTTGTTTCCTATCGGAAACAGGGTATGACTCTTTATCCTTACTTCTCTGACCATCTCTATCACGGGAGTATTTGTCAGAATGCCTCCTAGAATCACGTGACCGACCATTATCATTTTCTTGTTTTGTACGATCTGAGCGAGAAGTACCCCTAGAATCCCTTTGCAAATAAGAAGCCTTATTATGTCTGTCTTCATCTAAATACTTCTCACGCCTGCTATAGTCATCAGGCCTTGAGTAAGAATTTGGATTCTTAGAAGAGTGAGGATCAGAATCTCCAGATTGTACACGCTGATCCCTGTCATATCTTCTCCCTTCATCCTTTCTACTTTCTCGATGTTCAGAATCTTTACCAGGCTCTCCCCTAATGTAGATTGGACTGGAGCTGCGATCATTTCTGAGACTCTCTGTCAGCAAAATTAAAAAGATGGTTAGACGACAAGAAGAAATAAAAAGCCTGGTTAAAGCACTAAGGAAAGGATGGTAAGAGTCTCTATGTTGAGACCCAACCAAATTATCATATATTCATATGATTGACCATGGAGATCAACAACAGAATTCTGCAGACTAACCATGATCTCCCGATGCCTTAACATCAGGCGAACGCCTACGATACTTCCTGCTAGCCACATCATTCGAAGGCTTGCGAAAAGTCACTTTTGCATCTTCGGTATCAGGTGGTGAAGACTGCAACTTGGGATCCATAAGATCCTGCACAGGAGAGCTGAGAGACAAGATATCCCATTTCAATCAATCAAATTCCGCAATACTGAACTATATAAAACAAGAGGAGAAGGAAGACTACAATCTATCAGATTTTCTACTTCTATGATTCTGTTTTCGCATATGACTACTAATTCAAGAACTGAGTAACTATCAAGTCTATAACAGTTGAGACACTCTCCTGCCACACTGTTATTCCATAGACTAAGTCGGTGAGACGTAATTATCCTCCTCAAGCTCACGACGAACTACTCAGTGACCAAACCTTCAATCGGTAGCAAGAGCGATCAACTTGTGCGAACAAACAAGCAAAAACGCAACGAAAAATCCTGGAACCAAGCTAACAAAAGCACTGATGCTCGGTCTCACTTTCGCTAAGTACTGCACAGTGGAAAATGGCAATTTTCCCGGCAACCAAGCAAGAAGATGAATCCAACCAACGGGAAACTATGCAATTCTGGATTACAAGAGGAAACAATAAAAGCTAGAACACAGAAATGGCGGGAGAATGGCGACAGAAATAGAACCTGCAACAGCGTGAAAGGTAATCAAAGTTCGCCCAATCGAAGATCGGAAATTTGAATTTCAGGCTCTATTGTGCTATGTGCAGTTGTTTTTTTTTTTAGGGTTTGATTTTGGTGGAAAATCTTCCGATTGTCTCTCTCTCGCGCTATTTCTCTTCCCATTTGCATTCTGCTCGTATTTCAGTCCCTATACTTTTGCTCGTATTTCAGTTGCACCCTTAAAATTAATTCATTACCACCAAAATACTTAAATTTCTCCTTCCATTCTCGCTCTCCATTTGGCAAGAGCATTTAAGATATCCTCATATTCCCGTATCTGGTTCTCATATGAAATTACTGTTGTGATCAACTTTCCTTCGATGCATCCGTCGGAATTTGGTGGCTGCTTTCGTCTTCACCCACCATTAAAATTTCTCCCTTTGCGCTTTATGCGTCGACTCACTCTGTCGCATTGTGCAACTCGCACCGTCATGAATGAGAAATTGAAGGCGTAACACCATCGGGGAAAGAAAAGGCTTGGCGGGAGCAAGTAGAAATGTTGTTCGAGAATATCAGAGTCGACAATCCTCGTCGAGATGGACTGTCAACTCCTTTCTACTCTATAATCCTTAATTTTCTTGTTTGCCATCCAAATTTGCTTTGATTGATTGCGTCTATTTGGTCTAAAGCTGGTTGTTTAATATTTACATTGACAATTGTGGTTAGTGCAATGAATTTTTTTTTATCACTTTTGTTAAGTATTGGTCAATGAATTAGGTGATCTTTGGTCACTGAACTCTTATAAAGCTCATATGAGTTTGTTTTTATTACTAGGTGTTACTTTTGTGTACTTAAAAGGTATTATTTAAGATATTCAAATACACAATCTCCATATTAAATACGAGTGGTATTTATGATCATTAAACATAAAATGATAGCCTATTATTATTAAAAATATAATATTCTATTATTATCTTTTGAATACAAAGAAAATTATATGTAGATTTTAATTGAACTCAATTTCCTCCTTCCAAATTATACACTTTGGTAGAGTATCGTTCTGAAATGATTGTTGAAATACCACATACAAGCAGCTAATAAAAAAAGGGTCTAGTTTTATGAACCTTCCACCTGTTAAAAGGTTGTCGCGGTTGATAGCAACCTCTGATTATCATAATAACTGGCTTACTTTCGACAATATTGATTTATAAACACTATCGTGTCATCAGTCGTAGGTAAGTATACTCTAAAACTCTTTCTCCGGTACAAACTTATGTGCATTGCAAAGGAATATTGGTCATAGACAATTAAATTCACGGGTAAAGTTATTTAAGTAAGTTCAACACTTCGACCACCTCAATTACTACGAATCTAAATTATAATTTGCTAAAAACCCACATTTTGGTTTTTCCTTTGCCATCAATTATGATTCAATCATATCACTTCATGAAATAATTGTTAGCATTCAAAAGTATGATATTGCTTGCTTGGCCAAGAAAAAGTGCCACAATCAACATAAAATAACCAGAATATATTTATAAAAGAAAACCAGAATATTAGTAAAGGACTATTGGACTAATTAAAGAACAAGTAAATATCTTGGGGCATAGAAGTAATTCCTGTAAATTTAGGTATGCGAAAGGAAAAAGGTAAAAAGCGGTGAGCCTCTTCAAACCCTAGGTCAAATCGAGTTGCTACGGTATAAATACTAAAATCAGTCTTTCAAGAGTTTCCCATCCGCTGCTATTTCCCTCCTTCCGAACTGCTGCTCGTCGGAATCGTTCGCCGCCATGGGGAGAAGTAAGTACCGTCCTCTCCCATATCTCTAGTCCCGCCGTTGATTTACCTGTTGTTCCGATGCCCGAACTGAACCCAATTGTTAGAATTCGCCTTTGCCCTACTGCTCGATTCATCTGCTCATATTCGTTTGCGTTTCAGTTTCTGTTGAGAATCTAGATTTGCCTTCATCTTCTGGTTTTGACTAGCTTAGGTCTCGATATAATGGTGTCGATAACAGTTTTAGTAGTTCGGTGGGTTGATTCTTCGTTCTGGTTTTTCCCAGGGCCAGCAAGGTGTTACCGCCAGATCAAGAACAAGCCGTACCCGAAATCCCGCTTCTGCCGTGGTGTCCCTGACCCCAAGATCAGGATCTACGATGTGGGGATGAAAAAGAAGGGAGTCGATGAATTCCCCTTCTGCGTCCACTTGGTTTCGTGGGAGAAGGAGAATGTCTCCAGCGAGGCTCTCGAGGCTGCCCGTATCGCATGTAACAAATACATGACGAAGACGGCTGGGAAGGACGCTTTCCATTTGAGGGTTCGAGTCCACCCGTTCCATGTCCTGCGTATCAATAAGATGCTTTCGTGTGCTGGAGCTGATAGGCTCCAGACTGGTATGAGGGGTGCCTTCGGTAAGCCGCAAGGTGTCTGTGCTAGGGTGGCCATTGGGCAGGTTCTCCTGTCGGTTCGTTGCAAGGACAACAACAGCAACCATGCTCAGGAGGCTCTTCGACGTGCCAAGTTCAAGTTCCCTGGTCGTCAGAAGATCATTGTCAGCAGGAAATGGTATGTCCAAAGTTATGATGTTGTGGCATTATAGTTTATTTTGAGTACGCATCTCTTTGCTTGCTGCTGGATTTTTTAGTTAGAGAATACATGCGTTGTGGTGCCAGTAATTTCACTTAATGGTAATGTGTGTGCTTGATATATTTCTCAAGATTCTTTGTTTCCTTACAAAGTTAGCATTATTAGCTAGGAGGAATTGTTGTTAAAATAGAGGCATTGATTTGAAAGGATGGATCTGAAATTGGATGGGTTTTGTTTAAATAGATAGTTTATGGATTCGTTTCACTCTGGATGAGTGATTTGTAGTATTCGATTGTCGAAGTCTTGAGATATTTCATCTCACACATTTATCCTTCGTCAGAGAAGATTAGAAGTCACCAGAATGTTTAAATTCATCCATTTTTGCAACTTTTTGTCTTTCCATGTGGATTCTTTTGTACAATCTCTCTCAACCCTCTATGCAGATGACCTGTAGGATCTAGATTTATGTATGGATGGCTGATTAACTGTTGCCTAGTTGCATAATTCTCTTTTGTGCTTCAATTTTTTGTGTTGAGCAGGGGGTTCACTAAGTTCAACCGTGCTGACTATGTGAGGCTGAAGCAAGAGCAGAGGATTTTGCCTGATGGTGTCAATGCCAAGGTTAGTATTGTTTATGCTTTCCAAGTAAACACTGAAGTCGATTTTAGTACTGTTGTATTACTTCAATGTAAGTTGTTTTTAACCATACGAAACTCTTGTTTCTGCAGCTTCTTGGATGTCATGGACCATTGGCGAAGCGGGCTCCTGGACAAGCGTTCTTGACGTCTGCTGTCAATGCTTAGAAACTGTGTTTTACCCCTTTCTATAACAGTAGTTAATCTTCCGAGGAACATCAAACTCTTTTCTGCATTTTTTGTTGGGGTGATATTCGCTTTGCCCTCTGTTATATGATGATCTCCCAGAACGTTGGTTTATTGTTTTTCTTGTCGCTAGTCTGAACGGTTGTAGTGAATGTGCAATTTTGTACTTGATTCAGATCTGCTCGTGGTATTGATCATGTACAATTTCCTTTTGCTTTTAAGTTATCGCCATTATCAGTCTTAAAACCAGGTGGTGTTTGCCTGAGGTTTTCTGGCTTGGAAGATGAATGTTTGAGATCCTGAATCTGAACTAAGGGCTTACTGCAAGTGGTAAGCTTGAACAAGGAGCGGTCGGTTTGAGTGTTCTCTTCGGGCAAGTACCTCAGTATTCATGTTCGTCTAGCTACGGAATGTATGCAGAATAATGTTAATGTGATCTCATAGTAGAATGTAACATCTAAATCAAATGTTTTAAATTGGTCAAAGATGGTTGTAATTGTCGTTTGGACTTTTTTTTGGTTAAAGATGAACATTGTTGAGTTTGTTCATTTATCGAATTACTTGAGAAGAGGCTAATTTTGGCAAATTATGATGTTATATCCAAATTAGTTGTTTTTAAACTGGACAAAAAGACATGTAAATGTCGTTCCTATAAATGAAAATGCGAAAATGGACTTCCTGAAGTTTTTTGTGTTATCGAATTTCTTGTTGAAAAGAAAGATAAATTAGTGCTAATCATATGGAATTTATATCGAAGCTTAGTACGTTAATAAAGTATTGATATTTCTCTACTCGCAAATCGCGGTAATGAATTATCCAGGATTGACCTAATCAAGTCCTATTTGGGAATTAGGAGGCTTGTTGAGGGCGAAGGAGGTAATTTCCACCTGAATTCTCGAGGGCATTTCAGGAATAAAAGACTTAAAAACCCTTTCAATCACCGACGTGTAGCCCAAGCGCCGGAGCGAAAGAGGGGTTTCTCTAGGGTTTAAGCCAACAGTGAAGTAATACGCTTTTTCGTCCATTTTCCCCTTCCCTTCCATTTCGAACCCTTTCCTTTTCCCCTTCCTCACTCCGCTGAAATTATCACTGTCTCGCCTGAGAGCTTCCGTCCACCGGCCACCCAGCCACCGTCGCCATGTGGGCACTTCGCCGAGCTTCGAATTCTCTCAAGTAAGACCCTCTCCCCAACCCCTCCTCGCTCTCGTCATTTCGCGTCACATTGTGCCTCGTTCTTTTGTATTTCTGGTGTCGTATTTGGTTTCGTATGATTGATTCTTCTCTTGGGTTGATGCTAATGGTGATCAACTCTTTCTGGTGATATCGGTTTATTTATTGACGTTGTTGCTTTAATGAATCAAAGCTTTTTTTCGGTATCTTCGCCATGGGGAACCCAGAGAAGTTCAACTAGGTTTATACTTTATAGAAATGAATACATAATCAGATAGAACTTAACAGGCGAAGTTGTGATGCTGTTCATAGGGTTTGTTTCCTGGATGGGGGAAGCTTCCACTTCGTATGGTTTTGAGCTATCTGATGATTTGTGCTTTGTGAACTCTGCCATGCTAAGAGTGATGCATGGGTTATTTGGATAATTTGGTGTTTCAGTGAGTTTGATTAGTTTACTGGCAAATGCTGTTCCGCTTCAGTTGTTTGTATTCTGAGGACGTAATTTACTACTGGTTCCTGTTTGCAGGTTGCAAGGGGTGAGGTTAGCAACAGGTCGAGCCGGATGTGTCAAACTGGAAACCATCTGTGGTCAATTGGAAGTGAACACTAATATTTACAAAACTACTCCTTCAGCAGCATACTCTACTTCTCTGTTTCCTCGCACTGTTACCGTGTCTTCAAAGCTCTGTACTGGGATGCACGGCTTGTCTTCCCAGGCTGGCACTGACACTAGTAGTTCATCTGAAGATGATAGTGACGATGCGTTCTCTGAGCTGGAAGGTCCAGTGGTCAGCTCTGATGCAGTTCAAGGCAAGAGGAATGCATTTGAAGGAAATGAAGATGAATTAGTTTCTGACCCTGACCTTTCTGATGATGATTTCATGGAAGAGGATTCTCGGGATGCATTGGAAATGTTGGATACCGAAGCAGATCCTGCTGATAAGCTTTTGACGAGGAAGAAAGTCCCTTCAGAACTGTTCAATGCCATTGTTAAGGATCCGAATTCGTCCATCGAATCTGTTTTCAGTAAGTGGGTGGAAGAAGGGAAGGAGCTTGGGAAGCAAGAGGTCACTGCAGCCATCCTTAGTTGTCGCAGACGTCGGATGTTTGGGAGAGCATTGCAGGTATTGCTTGACTTTTTGCATGATCAAATGTGTTCGACCATGCTTTCTAGATTCAAAGTGTAAGGCATAGATAATGCATGTCCTAGTTTAGTTTGTGCTAAACTTATTGATGGGTTAGTTGAGCAGTTGACCTATGGTTTCTGTATAAAAAAAACCCCCTTGGAGGCATGTGACCGTCTCCCATATCCGTGTTGATGTCGGAATCTCACTTAATTATCTACCCATCCAGACTTATCATAATCCATCATTTACCTAGTTTCTTTAGCTTTGATTCATTTTTCTGAGTAAGTGGAACAATCAGAACTTTCAAAGGAGTCATTTTCGAATAAATAGTAGAAACTTACATGTTTTAAGGTCTTAGGCTTTGAGTTTATATGAATAGATGTTTTGAAGATATCCAAACAACTCCCATGGTGTTATTGCTCCATCCAAATGATTTTGTATATATGCTTATGATCATAACAAAGGGAAATAAATGTGATGCGACAAATACTCCTTGAACATTGTTCTTGGCGTCGGGCTTTTGATTGATGAATAAAGTAATTTCCATAACCATCGGCTGTTTGGAAGATCAAAGCTAAGGAAGCTGTTAGTAAAAGGTTGATGTGAGGGTGTCCATATGGTCAATCTGTAGCCAGTTCTGTGTTAGCACTATTTGATATAATTCCATGACAACAGTGTCAAGTATGGTGTTCGTATGCATGTACTTGAGTCGCATATTTACCCTCATCATCTTCCTTTTGCAGCTATCTGAGTGGCTAGAGAAAAAAGATGAATTTGATTTCGTTGAAAGGGACTATGCTTCTCGCGTTGACTTGATTGCCAAGGTACGTGGCCTGCAGAGTGCAGAGAACTACATTGACAAGATCCCAAAATCATTCAGAGGAGAAGTAATCTACCGAACTTTTCTAGCAAACTGTGTCATAGCAAGCAACATCAAAAAAGCTGAGGAAGTGTTCAACAAAATGAGGGACTTGGACTTCGAAGTCACAGCATTTGCCTGCAACCAGCTCCTCCTCCTTTACAAGAGACTTGATAAGAAGAAGATAGCCGACGTCTTGCTCTTAATGGAGAAGCAAAACGTCAAGCCCACACTTTTCACCTACATGCTCCTGATCGACACCAAGGGCCTGTCAAACGACATGACAGGTATGGAGGAGATTGTCGAAACCATGAAGGCCGAGGGACTCGTACCAGACCTCACGACTCAAGCCATCATGGTTCGACACTATGTATCTGGTGGGCTCCATGAAAAGGCTGAGTCAATTCTGAAAGAGATGGAAGGTGGCAACTTGAAGGAACATCGATGGCTTTGCCGTGTGTTGCTCCCTCTCTACGCTTCCCTAGGGAAGGCTGACGAGGTGGCTAGGATTTGGGAAATCTGCAAGTCGAGCCCGAGATTATACGAGTGTGTCTCAGCAATCGAGGCATATGGGAAACTGAAGCAAATCGAGCAGGCTGAGGCTGTTTTCAACAAGATGCAACAGAAATATAAGAAGCTGTCTTCCAGACAGTACTCCCCTCTCCTGAGGGTCTACGCCAACCATAAAATGCTCTCCAAGGGGAAGGATCTGGTGAGGAAAATGGGGGAGAATGGCTGCAGAGTCGGACCACACATCTGGGATGCGATGGTCAAGCTATACGTGGAGGCAGGCGAAGTCGAGAAGGCCGACTCCATGCTGCAGAAGGCGGTGCTGCAGAACAAGATGAAGCCGTTGTTTAACTCTTACATGATGATAATGGAACACTACTCGAAAAGAGGCGACGTGCATAACACCGAGAAGATGTTCGTCAGGATGAGGCAGTCCGGTTACATGGCTCGTACGAGGCAGTTCCAGGCTCTGGTGCAGGCTTATGTGGCTGCTAAAGCGCCGGCTTATGGGATCAGGGAAAGGATGAAGGCCGATAACATCATCCCGAACAAGGCGCTGGCTGCTCAGCTGGCTCGGGTTGATGCGTTTAGGAGGACTGCAGTGTCCGATTTGCTCGACTAGTGAAGTGATTGAATGGTGTTCTGGATTCGTATATTATTGTTGAGTCGAAACTTTCGAATGTTAGGGGGGAAGGAAGGAACCTCTCTTGTTTCCTTTCCATGTAGTTTACGTTTATGATATGACTGCTTGTTTGGTGCTAGTTTAGATACAGAGGCATTTGTGTTATGCTGGCAGAATTATTGAGTTTCTCGTCTTTGGTTGTGGACCAAGCTGTTTTTACAGTTTATTGACAGTAAAAAAATAGGCCAAGATGGTGAAACTGGAGTTTGTATTTTGATTTTTCCATAGTGAGTCACTCTCAATTCAGACGGTTTACCATCATTCAAATCGAAACTGATTGATCGGGTTAAAATTGATACAACCAACCCACATGCAAACGAATTCCATTTTATTTAGATCCTTGAGAATACAGAGGCAGTTTGAATCCACGTTGGTGGATGATTCTAATTTCTAATCAAATGAGTACACTCCCAATCCAAAATGGTTTGAGGATTTATCCAAAGAAGCAGAAGAAAAAAAAAACATGAACCAATGAGCTGACTATGTGATGAGAGATGATTTAGGCTTTGCTTGTACACACGAAGGGAGGTCCAGTGCCATAGTCGCAATAACACATAGTATCAATGCATAACGATCGAGCACATCTCTCTTGACAGTGACAATCGCTGTTTGACCAACACTTGATTGCATTAGTCTCGACACCCTTCGCCGCTTCTGCTACTGCCAAGCGATTTGCGTCGACATCGCTCACTAGACCTGTCATCGATTAAGAATTAAGCTCACGATGAATACTATATTATAAACTGTACAATAATATTCTGTTACATGAACCGAATGAACATTAGTATAAAAAAACAGAATGAACCAAAAAGAACTAAAGAAGAGTCTCACATGAAGCGATGAAGATGGACAAAATGAAGAGAATGGGTAGCTTCATGGATGCAGATGTATTATGCATTTTACTATAATATATTTTTGTACGCTAATTTTTGTTTTTTTTTTAATTCGTCTTTTCCTTTTGGAATTGGATGTGCAAAACCAACTGCTAAATCTGAAGGTTTATATAGTAGTGGGAATGGTAAATACCAGATTTTTCTTTCCTAAATAAACAAGGCAAGATATCCAATTCATATACACTTAAGGTAAAAATGTGAATAAAGATGAGACTAAACATTTTGATTATTTATTCTAGAAACTAATTTCTAACTTCTTATGTTAAGAGGACTAGCAGATTCTCGTTTCACTATTTTAATTATTTATTCTAGATGGTGTGTGATTAGAGAATATGATGATTATTCGATAGTATAAATAAAAAAATAATATTTTAGTCTTTGTGAACTATGTTGCGTGTCATTCGGGTGATCTGCAATTCACCCACCACCCATCCGAATAAGTGGGTAGGAGATTTCTCAATCCGCAATCCGTTCACATACATCACCCACCCACTACGATTCAGGTTAATTGCGAGTGAATCGATACCAAACGACGGATTAACCACTCACTCGCACACTTAGTTACTCATTAACACGATATACGAGTTGACACAAGTATCCAATCCAAAAGAAATGTCAAAGTGAATCTGGATCTAATAATGTGCAGCCACGTGAGGGTGAGTGAGGAGTGCAAGCTTCTGCAAGAGAGTGAAAGCAAAGAATGAACCTTACCCAACAATTGGGAGTAGTTCAAAGTGATAACGAATCCAGCCACTTTCATGGCCTCCAATCCAATGGGGATTATGTCGCCACAAAACCAAATTAACGTATACTTCCATTTTGGGGGCGTGAAAACGAAAGGCCAAAGAAAATCAATGATAGAAGTGGTCATATATAATAATAATAATAATGAATAGAAATAATTATATGAGTTGATTGCGAAACTAAAATTTCGCATTTTTGTATGATGAAGTTGGACGCTCTAAAAAAAATATGGAAATCGCTATTTTTTTGGGAGGAAAACAATAGGAAACCAGACTGAACTCGATCTCAATTTGTCACGTTCGATCATTTTTCGCCATTTGTTCATCTGAGATTACAATTTACACGGCCGAGGAAAGGATGTAACTTTTGATGAATTATATCGAAACTCACTGGTGTATTCGGAGTTGGAAGTGTGATCAGCCAGTCACCTTAGCCGGAGTTTTGATACTTGGCATTGAAAATGCGCTAATCAACCATACCACGTGCATGAGAAATCTTGCTTGAACTCAAATTTTCATCATCGAAAACTTCATTCACACCTCAATCCCAGTTAAATAACTCAACAAGAAAACGAGGGAACACATATCTTTATAGCATTGTGAATTTGCGATATTAAGAAATGACTTGCCGTTTCACGTCTATAGTTTTAAAATTTGTCATTCATGGTCTTAAGAATAAGACATTTGATTCTCTTTTCTAACTCTCTTACCAAACGTTCAAACCGAAGGCCCTCCACCAGACAGAAACTACTAATAAGAGACAATCTGCTTAATCAAAATAACGTGAAGTGGGGATCTGACTTAACAGCCTTCAATATTATTGTATTGGTCTTCACAGCTTTCACATTTTGTGCTGCCACTTCTCCACATAGTCCCTAAACTTATGGAATGTGTCATTTAAGTCTCTCATCCTTCTATTGTCCAATTGAAATTGGAAGTCCCTTGGAAATTTTTCAAAGCTAGCTAGCTGCCCACAAATCTATCATTTTTCTACTCTTTCTGCTACCCTAATCCGATTGTGATAAATCAAGAATACAAAACGATAAAGAAACGTGAGATTTACGTGGGTTTTTTTCTTCTTCATGTTTAGTTTATGGGAGAATTTGAACTTTCATATGTACTCTTTTTATTGAGTGATTATGATTTTGTGTTGTGTATTTATTAGTTCTGTCCAAGGCTTTTTAGAAAGACATATGTATATAACTTTCAACAAGTAATCTACCAAGGGTAATTATGATAAAATAACATACCGAGTGACAAATAACAATCATGTCCGTGAACACACACCATTACATAAGATATACCAACGCTGCAGTATAGGGGGTCATTTGAAGGCGCTTATTGAATCTCAATGAACTCATCCATTGATGGGCCATTTGGAGGACAATAACGTTTCTGCTTCTATCACATTGCACATCGGATAACAATTCATAATTTCATGGAAACTCCACTATTCATAGTCTATTACGATTGAACAACACATCAAAAAGCTCAGCCAATTCAAATTAGAGAGGTGAATATATGGAGACTGGTTTTTAGAGAAATATTATTCAAACTAACACTAATTATTGAACTTTCTATGATTAACATCCACTAACCTCTTTGTCACATAAGGAAAAAGGTCTATCCAAAAGTAATATCGATTTGACCATTGGTGCCTTACTTTCCCCATTTTCTTAGACCAATATTGGGACAATGATAGGGACTCGAAAACCAAAATAGGAAAGTTAGGGTACCTAAAAGTTAAATTACAAAATAAAATAAAATAAACAATACATTTTAGATTCAGGGTCAAGAAGATTCAGATGAATGTTCCATTTTTCAACATTCTTCCGCGGATGCAGACGCAAAACTGGGACAGATACACGCGGCGGTAGATCAACTTTCTCTTCTTCTTCCAAACACATTCCCATTTCCCAGTAACCTTCCACCCCCTGCCAAAATCCACAATCTATAATAAATACACATACGGGAGAATAATTCAACACGCCGGAGAGTAATTCTAACTTGCCACCGCCCCCACAGAAATGGAACCGCCGGCAGCGGCGACCACCGCCACCAAAATCACAAAGAAGCACCACAGGCACGTAAACAACCCGTTCCCATCGCCACCCAAATCCCTCCCGTTCCTCACCGGCGGTCTGACTTTCAACCCTGTGACGATCCCTCCTTCGCCGGCCGACTTCCCGATCGGACGGGATTTCCGGCTTCACTGGAGCCCCAAACATGGTGGGTTGGTGTCCGTGACGCACAAATCACGGCCGGAGAGGTCAATCTGGAGCACGGTTCCTGGGCAGGCATTCGTCTCTGCCGCGGCGGTGGAAACAGAGGTGGAGGAAAGCAGGGGATCGTTCGCCGTGAAAGACGGGGATGTACACTTGGCCTTCGACCACCAATCGGTCGACGAGATCCGGGTTGTTGGGTCGGAGACTGAGTCGCCGGCCGCGATGCTGACCGGTCGGGTCTTCGGAGCGAACCGGAAGAGGCAGAGTAAAAACAGAGATGCTCTGTTTTTTCCCCACCGGGAAGCGAGGTACACGATTCTGTTCAGCCAGACGAGCGGGAACGAGGTCGGGTTCGAGATTCGGATCGGTGACCCGAACGTAATTGGGATTCAGAATCCTGAAAGCGGAAGGAGGCTGATGAGGACGACGAGCATCAAGAAGAGCTGGAAGAAGGCGAAGAAGGGTAAGAAGAAGAAGAGGAAATTGGGGTTTTGGCGGTCTTGCTCGTGGAATCCGAGAGGGTTCGCGGCGGTTACATCGTCGGAAGATCAGGAAACTGCAGCGGCGGCGGCGACGGCGACGACGACGCCGGCGGTCAGGGAATTGAACAGGGTGGTTGTGACGTATTCGAGCGACCGAGACGAGATGTTTTATGGGTTCGGAGAGCAATTCTCTCACATGGAATTCAAAGGAAAAAGGGTTCCGATCTTCGTTCAGGAACAGGGGATCGGCAGAGGCGATCAGCCCATTACTTTCGCCGCTAATTTGGTCAGCTACAGGTACTAATGTTTCTCCATTTCATAGTTCATCCTTTAGTTTCATCCATAAATCCGTCACTAAAACTGAAACCAAATGATGAATTGCCTCTTGTCTACACTAGAGCTGGGGGAGATTGGAGCACAACTTATGCACCATCGCCATTCTACATTACCTCCACAATGAAATCCCTCTATCTCCAAGGCTACAATTACTCTGTTTTCGATCTCACAAGGCACGACCGAGTTCAAATACAGGCAAACTCAAAAAAAACCTTCCAGTCCCATTTCCCAAACTCCTGATTTCATCCTTTCAAGTCCATTGACTTCTTATACTTTGCATTTCGGTACCAATTTTTTCCACCATTTCAGAGCCACGGTAATCGGATGGAAGGCAGGATCCTCCACGGCGACACGCCGACGGAGCTCATCGAGCGGTTCACTGCCTCTATCGGCCGGCCACCGATGCTCCCCAAGTGGATACTTTCCGGCGCGGTGGTGGGAATGCAAGGCGGGACAGAAGCCGTGAGGGAAATCTGGGGAAAGTTGGAAGGCTACGAAGTGCCCATATCGGCGTTCTGGTTGCAGGATTGGGTTGGACAGAGGGAGACCGTGATCGGATCTCAGCTATGGTGGAATTGGGAAGTTGATAATGACAGGTATGGAGGGTGGAAAGAGTTGGTGCGAGATCTCGGCGATCGGAATGTCAGAGTCATGACTTACTGCAACCCCTGTTTGGCCCCTGTACGTACTCTGCCTCTGACTCTTTTCGTCTTCAATTCTCTTCATCTTGTCACATTCGATTCATTAATTGGTGAGGATGGACAATCAATATGGTAGTAGAGATAACGTGATAAGGATTGTAGATCTCAGCCTTTTTTTGATAGAGTGAACAAGTGTTGATAAGTGGTATCCTAATCGAATCCCTCTCAACATTTCGAGTTATTGAAACCAATTGGTTTTTGATATGGTGGAGATTTGGTAACGAATCTTATGTCACATACTAACACAACCCGTTCGAACGAAAACTCCTCATATAGACTTGAAGTCTATTCATGTTTTGATATTATGTGCTTAACAGAATAGATGAGGATTATTGAGATTCGAACAGAAGACCTCTCGATAACAGGAGACCCGGATACTCTATAAAGAACCAATTGGTTCCAATAATTGAGAACAATCTATTCTTGACACGGTACAAAACTCTCTGTGACCGAGATGTCTTATCTTCAAAACTCATTGACCCTATTTATTACGTCTTTGTAAACTGCAAATCTTTTTTTAGTTGACTTTCGTTTGAGTGGTGTGTTAAGAAGCCGTAATCCGTAATTGAACTTCATCTAACCCAACAATTCTAATTATTATGGTAACCAACTACTTTTTCATAATATAATTCGGACACTTATACTGATTTCGGTGTTGACAGACGGATGGGAAGATGAACAGAAAGAGGAGCCATTTCGAGGAAGCCAAGAAACTGGACATACTGGTGAAGGACAGAGATGGGCAGCCATACATGGTCCCCAACACGGCCTTCAGCGTCGGGATGCTGGATTTCACCCACCCAAAAGCTGCAAGTTGGTTCAAGCAAGTACTGAAAGAGATGGTCGACGACGGAGTCAGAGGCTGGATGGCCGATTTCGGCGAGGGACTCCCCGTCGACGCCACTCTGTTTTCGGAGGAATGTCCGATCGAGGCTCACAACAGGTACCCTGAGCTCTGGGCACAGGTGAACAGAGAGTTCGTCGAAGAATGGAAATCAAATCGGGGAGAAGAAGATGAAGAAGAAGATTCGTTGGTGTTCTTCATGAGGGCAGGGTTCAGAGACAGCCCCAAATACGGGATGTTGTTTTGGGAAGGGGATCAGATGGTGAGCTGGCAGAGGAACGACGGCATCAAAAGCGCCGTCGTCGGGCTTCTCAGCGGCGGCGTCTCCGGCTATGCGCTCAACCATAGTGACATCGGAGGGTATTGCGCCGTCGACGTGCCTTTCCTCTTTGGCAAGTACCGCCGGAGCGAGGAGCTTCTCATGCGGTGGATGGAGCTCAGCGCCTTCACCGCCGTCTTCCGCACCCACGAGGTAATAAGCATTTTCATCATGTCGGAGATTGTGTCAGAGAGCGGTATAAGATCCAACATAATGGTATCAGAGTCCGGTTTGACCAAATAGTCGTGTATTTAAATATCAAATAATGATCGAACCTTAGTTTTTTTGCTCTAAATTTGTGCAGGGGAACAAGCCGACTAGCAACGCTCAGTTCTACTCCAACCACAATACGTTGTCGCAGTTTGCGCGTTGCGCCAAGTTGTACAAGGCGTGGTATTTTTATCGAGTTCAGCTTGCTAAGGTGAGTCATAGCTTAAATCGATCGGTAATATAACAATCACACACAAATTTGCTATGCAGTTCAAATTTTGAAGCTTACATTTGAATCGTAATCTTCGTACCGGCCAAAAAAATGTTACAGGAAGCGTCGGAGAAAGGGCTGCCGATCTGCCGGCACGTGTTCCTCCACTACCCTAACGACAGGATCGCCGGGAAGCTGACGTACCAGCAGTTCCTGGTCGGAACGGAGATTCTGGTCGTGCCGGTGTTGGATAAGGGGCAGAAGAAGGTGAAGGCCTATTTCCCAAAGGCTGGAAATTCATCTTCTTGTTGTAGTTGGCAGCATATTTGGTCTGGGGAAAGGTACAGAGAGGAGGGTTACGAAGCTTGGGTCGATGCTCCGATGGGGTTTCCGGCCGTGTTTGTTAGAGCTGGATCTTCTGTTGGAGATGAACTTCTGAGCAATCTCAGGAGTTTTGGGATCTTATAACAAACACCCTTCGACGTTTTGTAATTGTGTATACTTCGATTCGTACAAATCAATCATTTATTCAATGGGTTTTTGGTGTTGGGTATATGAATGATTCTGTTTGACGATAGTATCGTGAATCGAATCGGGAAAGAATTGTTTCGTCGACTCTAATTTCTTATGCCAGGTCACGTCAACTACAGTCAAATTCGAAACGATTGAAGAAAAATCGGGAAGTGAACTATACAGATTCTTATCGATTACTAAAAGCTATGCATTATGGCATGTAGCGAGACCAAAGGATTGAGAAATCGTACCGTACCGGTGGTTCGACAAAGAAAACTCTTATTGGAAGTGAAACTGGTAGACTATAGTTAGCGGTATGGAACATTTGAACCACAATTAAGCCACGATTTCAGTATAAAGTATCTTATTATCGCTGAGTTTTCCGATACAACCTCCGGAACCATTTTTCAATATTTCATAGCACTTTCTTGCACACCAAGTGATGATCATGCTCATCATGCCTCGATAAGTGGGCAAGCAGTTCACCCAAATAATAAACAAATGAAGCCAGCAGCCTAGCAGGCCGAGCTGGCCCGGCCCGGCCCATTAAACAATTTTAGAGCCCTAATTTTGGATGGGTTTGTTTGGAGGGAAAGAAACGAAGAGAAATACAAAATCAATTTTTTTTTCGTAATCGTCTGGGTCTGCAAAAGATTTTGTGCGGCTAATCCAAGCGCAGAAACCGCCCCTCTAGTTTAGGAGTTGAAAGAGGGCACAAAAAGAAGAGATGGCGCCTCGTTATCGTTCTCTTCTCCTTCTCCCCAAAGTAGTCATGCCCTCCTCTGCTGCAGCAGCAGCTACGGCTGCTTCTGCTTCGGCTTACTCTTCCTCTCTCAACCTCCGTTCATTCTCTTCACTTCCTCCACTTCACCACCCAGGCCTTCTATTAAAAACCAGGTTTGTCTTATCCCGTGAAACCCCCATCACTTTTATCACTCTGCGCCGGCTTCCCCTTTGATTATGATTGGTGGAAAAGCAAGTGTTGTGTTGGGTTTTGGAAGAAATGAATCAGGAGCTTTTGATTAGTTGGGGGGTTCTGGGGGGATTCCGTTTCTGTTTTGGGCGTGCTTTCAGTGTATTATTCACACTCTCTGCTGGGTTTGTGAATGGTGGTGGTTCAAGTAGGTTTTGACCATTTTTGTGCTTGCTATTCGTTTCAGGGTGAATTTTCCTCCGAGGAGGTCTGCCGGTCGTTTGCTTGTTCAAAATACTGTTTCGCCTAGAGCGTTCATGTCTTCCACCGTCGCAACTGAGGCCTCTAAAGAACAAACGACCTCGAGCTCTTATGGTTCGGACCAAATTCAGGTAACTTGGAAGGGTCTTTGTTGCCTTTCTATTAACTGCATGCTATGCTTTGTGTCAGAAATTGCAAGAATGGCCCTCTGTGTTTAGAAGGTAGAATGTATTGTGTTTTTTTGGAGCTTCTTTGTGGCCTCATGCTGACATTTCTTCGTTCCTGGTTTTGATTTGATGTTGCATTAAGGTTCTGAAAGGCCTGGATCCTGTCCGGAAAAGGCCAGGGATGTACATTGGGAGCACCGGTCCTCGTGGATTGCATCATTTGGTAGCTCCTAATGTCATTTAGGTTCTATGCCGAGTTTATTGTAGCGTTACTATTTACGAGGATAATGTTATTAATTGCTTGCACTCCTTGCTTTCAGGTTTATGAAATCTTGGATAATGCTATCGATGAGGCCCAGGCAGGATATGCTTCGAGGGTAGAAGTTGTCTTGCATTCGGATAATTCTGTCAGTATTTCAGACAACGGGCGAGGAGTATGTACTGTTCCCTTCACTCCTGACCACTGAATATTGATTTCCTTATGGCCTTGTGGGAAGATGGATATATTCTAAAACATAGGAGTTGTATGCCCTTCAGTTAGTGTAGTAGTCCATGCCATGCTCTTTTCAGATCTATGCGATTGTGAATTGCTGATTCCCTTGTTACAAGGCCAATATATGGTGGTGTTTGTGTGGGGTCATTTGATGGATTTTTGCGAGGATTATGGGTTTCATATTCTTTGGAGACTATCATTACTATGGGTTTTCCAATGATAACAAGGAAGTTGTATTGTTGTTTGGTCTTAGTGTAAAGCTAGAAAAATCAGCATGATTGTCTTTTCCACACAGTAGTCCGATTCAGCTAATTACGACGTGCAAGCATTCAGCATAGTATTTCCTATGTTTTGGCCATCTGTTCATCAATATGTGCTGTTGGTTTGCATTATATTGTTTTCCTTAATATAGCTCTTCCTTTACGTTTGTGCCAGGTTTTGGCTAATCTCCCGTAATGTATTCACATGCTTACTGTTTTGCTTTGCTTGTAGATTCCTACTGACCTTCATCCAGCGACCAAGAAGTCTGCCTTAGAGACTGTGTTGACAGTAAGACTACTGATTTTCCTTGGATTGTGCTGATTGTATATTGTTCACATGCTTGTCTCTTCTCTGCATTTGCTTGTTAAATTTGAGTTTAAAATGCCTTCTGCTATTATATGACAGGTTTTGCATGCTGGAGGGAAGTTTGGTGGTTCAAATAGTGGTTATAGTGTTTCTGGTGGATTGCACGGTGTTGGTTTATCTGTCGTCAATGCCTTGTCTGAGGTAAGTATTCCATCTATGTTTTCATGTTTCTTGGCCATTCTGCATGTGCCTGCAATTGCGGCTATGTGTTTCTGTTCTTTTCTTTTCCGCTGCCTTTATCGGTCTAAATAAATTGTTATTGGTTTGGAATTCTATTGCATTGCTGAGGTAGATCATATAGTCGCATATTTGTGCCTTTTCTCTGTTTGCTTCCTCTTGCTTGGATATTCTACCTTGTCCGGCCTCATGATTCAGAGAGGGAGCTAAGCACTTGTGGTGATATAGTCTTACAAATCTGTAAGGAGTTGCCGGTATCTTTTTACAAAATGTATGCGTCTGGTAGTTTCATATGGACTCAAAGTAGAATTTTAGTATTTATTGAGGGACAGAAGTATATTGCACTTTTGTTGGATGTGTTATTCTATTTTAGGCAATCCTCTATACTGTATTTTTCCTTGATTTTTCTGTTTTATGGAACAAATGTCTACTAATAATAATTTTTCACGTCTTCTTTGTAGCACTTGGAAGTTACAGTTTGGCGAAATGGGATGGAGTACCAACAGAAATATTCCCGTGGAAACCCTGTGACTAGTCTTATTGGTTGTTCACTTCCGGTTGAATCAGATGCTCTCCAAGGGACTAAGATCCGATTTTGGCCTGACAAGCAAGGTTCTCTTTTATTGTTGTGTTTGTTTCTCCGGTATATCATTGTGCCATAATATCTCCAGAGTTTTCTCACAAGTTCATCTTCAAGATTGTCTCTCTAATGTCAGATCCTCTTTTCCCTTTTTGTTTGCAGTATTTACTACTGAAATACAGTTTGATTACAGCACTATAAGTGGAAGAGTCAGGGAGCTTGCTTTTCTTAACCCAAAAGTAATGCAACTAACTAAGTCTTCTACTTTTCATGCATGTTTTATGATAACCTGTCTTTTGTTTTTGTATATGATGTGAAACATTGTAGACTGTGTTTGTTACTATGAACAACTAGTTTGGTTGCTCGAATTTACTTGTCTTGTGATATTTATTGCCGTGTAATTTTTTTATATCTCATTTGCAGCTTCGTATCACTCTTAAAAGAGAAGATACTGATCCAGCAAAAAGCCAGGGTGATGAATATTACTATGCAGGCGGGCTGGTTGAATATGTGAAATGGCTAAACACTGATAAGGTAATGATTTTTCTAATGTTCCTGTTCTGAAATCAGATGACTTTGTGTTTAGGATTTTCAGAGTGCTTCGACTTAGCAAAATGTATAATCAATATCCAATAAATTTGCCATACTTGATGTTTGTTTATACAGACACCACTCCATGATGTTGTGGGAGTCAGCAAAGAAACGGATGGAATCACGGTTGACATGGCTTTTCAATGGTATCCTCTGATTTCCTCCTTTTTTGGTCTTGTCAGATCTTGTTTTCGCTTCAGCATAGTGCATGCTTGTTCAACACAACATGCTTCCGTTGCATCATGGGCACTCCTTCCTTCAATGGTTTCCTTTTATATTTGTGCTTGTTCTCGTCTAGGTGTTCAGATGCATACTCAGATACGATACTAGGATACGCTAATAGCATACGTACTGTTGATGGTGGAACGCATATAGATGGTTTCAAGGCTGCACTAACAAGAACTGTTAACAACCTTGGGAAGAAGTCAAAGATAATCAAGGTATGCTTATAGCCTATTGTTGAGTTGTCTCTTCAACCTTAACCATGTCTTAAGTATAGCTGGTGAAATTTGTTGGGAATTCATTTTTCTTTCCTGGATTGGCTCTCATTTTTCTCATCATAGATGTGAGTTGTTTATATATTTTGTGTTGAGCGTAAAAGATGTGACTATAGTCAAACTGGAGCGTTTATATTATGGTTAGATGATTGTGAAAAATATAGTTATTTTTTATGCCATGAGAATTAAATCATTGGTTAGATGCTATTGGGAATTTTTGCTCTGTTTTGAAGTTTCAAAAAAAGTGCACCATATTGTTTTCTTTGCCAATTGTCAATTGAATAGTTCAGCCTGCAAAAGCCATTGCTTCAACTTAGCTACCTTGTTGTGTTGAGATTGTAGTCTTATAGTACATCATCTTCTGAGATCGCAGCGTTTCCTGTTTTACGGAATCTTGCTCTTTCCTGGCAGGAAAAGGATATTAATTTAAGTGGCGAACATGTGAGAGAGGGATTGACATGCATAATCTCAGTCAAGGTTCCAAGCCCTGAGTTTGAAGGACAGACAAAGGTATACTGCCTCCTTTGATGCCAATCGCCCAGAACCATACATTTCTCTATAGGATCAAAAGCTAACAGACTGGCTATGTTTATGTCTGTCAACTGTAGACAAGATTGGGTAATCCCGAGGTTCGGAAAGTTGTGGATCAATCTGTTCAAGAGTATGTGACTGAGTATTTTGAGCTGCATCCGGATGTCCTTGATTCAATCCTTTCTAAATCTCTTAATGCTCTTAAGGTATTCTTCTTATCGCTATAATACATTCCTTTTGTGTTTTTTCCCTCATCTTATTTTGCACTGGACTAACTCAAGAATTCTATGTTTGTTTATCTTTCTGTTTAGGCAGCCCTAGCAGCAAAGAGAGCTAGAGAATTGGTCAGGCAAAAGAGTGTCTTGAGATCATCTTCTCTTCCAGGGAAGCTTGCTGATTGCTCATCTACCAATCCTGAAGAATCTGGTGACTATTCAATTTCAAGTTATTTATTTTGGAAAAGTTGCTGAATTTCAGTTTTGTCAAATGAAATAGACTTGCTTGATTCACCCCAAGGTTCAGAGTGACATTTTGAGGACTATATCCTTGTATGCCTACAGAAATATTTATAGTTGAAGGCGATTCAGCTGGTGGAAGTGCTAAGCAGGGTCGGGATAGGCGTTTTCAGGTAATTGGATGAAGCCATTCTTAGTTTACTCTGTGAACATGTGAATGTTGGTGAAACAATGTGGCGGTTTGCTTTGTTTTTCTTGGAAATTGGAAATTTACGCAATTCTTATTCATTTCCGTTCATTTTATGAAATGAGTGATGTTTGAATTACTCCTTAGGGTCATAAAATCTCCCTTTCTAAGTTAGTGTTAAGTGTTTACTTTAAATCATGTTTTGCAGGCTATTCTACCTCTTCGAGGGAAGATTTTAAACATAGAAAGAAGAGACGAGGCAGCAGTATACAAGAATGAGGAGATTCAAAATCTTATACGTGCTCTTGGACTTGGAGTTAAGGTGAGGTTTTATTATGTTATTTGTATGCTAACTATTTTTATTAGTTCTCTGGCCTTCTGTTCATTTTGAAGTTCTGGCAAAAACATGGACACAGGGAGAGGAGTTCAAAAAGGATGCTCTTCGTTATCACAAGATCATCATTTTAACCGATGCTGATGTGGATGGGGCTCACATTAGAACACTTCTGTTGACTTTCTTCTTCAGATATCAGGTATATTATATTTATATATAATAAAGAGAAAAGAAGACTGGATAATTACTTAGGGTTCAAAGTAGAAAGATGTGAAATCAAATGTCAATTGCTTACAATTAAGTACTGCGAGCTCAATGGGATTTTTTTACTGTATACAGAAGGCATTATTTGATGAAGGTTGCATTTATGTTGGCGTGCCACCGCTTTACAAGGTATGCTCTCTTTGATATTCGAAAAGTGTATTGACTTCTCTCGTAGTTTGTATAATCTTGTGGCCTTCGATGATGGTTTCCTTCCAAAATGATCAGGTCGAAAGAGGAAAGCAAGCTCACTATTGCTATGGTGAAGCAGATCTGAAAAGGGTCCAGAACTCATTTCCCCAAAATGCTTCTTACAACATCCAGAGGTTCAAAGGTGAGAATTTGAAAAGGGCAGTCATGATTTACTTCAATAACAATACAAACCATCATAACACACCAGATTTCTTTGCGACTCTTTGGATTGTGTTATTCCTTGTATAATTCAGAGTGTCAACAGTTCTGTACTGGCCATTTATGTGTCTTAAACATGGTTTGTGTGAATGTGGCATGAGGAAAGCTCTACTGCTATAGGATTGTTGCTTAGTGAATTGACAATAAACTGGATTTTGATTCACAGGGTTGGGAGAAATGATGCCTGCGCAGCTCTGGGAAACAACAATGGATCCAGAGCAAAGGATGCTCAAACAATTAGTGATCGAAGATGCCGCTGAGGCCAATGTCGTGTTTTCTTCTCTCATGGGAGCTCGGGTAAGTTTCAATAACACAGGCACAAAGCTTCAGCAGGCCACATTGATGTTTTCTCATTGTTCGTTTTTTTCAGGTCGATACTCGAAAGGAGATGATCAGGAGCTCTGCAGCTATGTTCAACATCGATCAGCTTGACATTTGATCTTGTGTGCAGCTATAATTAGCCTAGCAAGTGGCGATGTCGGTTTCAAACCTTGATCAATTCTTCGATCAATTTTCGATGAGCGGAGTGAAATATTGGTTGTGTTTTCCTGGGTTGTAGGACTAGGTAGGTGATGAATGATGGACGGTTTTGCTTGCTCTGATACTGAACCCACCACACCTTCGATCTTAAATGCGTTTATTTAGTTGAGCAGTGTAGGAACTGTTTGTATATAACAATTGTAAGTTTGTAACAAAAATATGACATGAACTAATGAGATCATGAACTGAAATCTAACTAATTTAACGTCCCGTGACGTAATATATACAAAAGAAAAAAGAAAAAAAATACTAGAGCAGGAGTAGTAAGCTGCTGCGTGTGAGCAATACGATGTCGTTTCAAACATGGCGGGAATGTACCTTAGCTTCGCAGCGTTTCTTCCCGGAAAAGCGCGCGAACAGCTAGTTCCGGCAGTCCTTGTACGAATTGAACTAGATTTCCGTTCACCAATTGGATCTCTGTCCTAACTCTTCTATATAATATCGAAGCACCCTAATCCTTTTCGGACTCTCACAGTTCTGCCGAAGTTTTCGCGAAATTCCTCACTTTCCTCTGTTCTCTGGTTCCCCGGGGGAAAATGAGAGTGCTGAAGAAGTGCGACGGCGGCCCCGCCTCTGGCCGGCGACCAGGAAGTATCATAGCCGGAGGAAGTCCGGCAGGTTTGGAATTTCTGGCGGATATCGCCGCTGCGGTCAGTGATTGCGAGGAGTTGTGCGGGTGCGGACACTCCGACCCGCGCATTTGTTTCTTGACGGTCAAGAAACGTAAGTCTCTGTTTCTCCAAACCCACCATTCCCTTCTCCAACGAAGCCCTAGCAACCCTCCGATCAATCACCGGCCAAACGCCGACCGTTCTCTTCTCCTCCGAAACCATAGAAACCCTCCGATCAAGCTCGTGATCAAGCACAAACCACTTCCTGAACAACAACATTCCGCCGTCAAAGTCTCCGTCTTTCCTCCTTCCCCTGCCGTCGTTGCCCCTGTTTCACTTCCACGGAAGCCACTGCCCGCCGCAATTCCTCCATCCACCGTCTCCCCAGCTGCGGCAAATCGTCAAATTCCGGTGGGTTTCACTGCTCCGCTTCCGAATCCACGGCAGGAAGAAGAATTTCCCCTGAGCCTAAAAGCTAGGGTTTCTGCAACCGTCGGCGGAGAAGGAGTCTGTTCCTTGGCGAGCAAGTTTTGTCTGGTGATTCGGAAGAAACTAAGGGACACTGATCTCAGGCTCAACCACAACCGTCTTTCGATTCCCGGGAGGCAGATATCAACCGGGTTTCTCGAATTTCTAACGGACGAAGAAAGACGGGAGCTGAAGATTGGCGGGAAGATCAAGCTGGCGTTTTTCTTGGACCCAGATTTCCAAATCGCTGCATCATCGTCATCATCATCATCATCTCCCTCCGCCGAAGGATGCAAACTGGGGAGATGGAAAATGAACTCGAGCGAAGTCTACATTGTGAACGGCGGCGGGTGGAAATGGCTGCTTAGGAAGAATCAGCGGAAACTGTTGAATTTGAGTCCGGGAGATGAGATGGAGTTGTGGGGATTCAGAACTGTAAACTCAGGGGAGCTCTGTTTCGCATTCATCGCCGCCGACACGAGAAGAAGAGCTGCCGAGAAGGAAATTAGGGAAAGTGGAAATTCTGATTGTGATGAGAAGCCGGTAGAGCAAGAATCTGCCGTGGCAGCCATGGGAAGGACTGAGTATGGAAGCAGTCAAATGGACAGCAGCAGCAATAGCAGCACTCTCACTCATCAAGAGCAAGAAGAACAAGGACGACACCTTGTTCTTGATCTGTCACTTAGAATGTAGTTCTCTGATTAACAAGAAAACTTTGGGGAATTGCTTCTGTATATATTTATATATTCTCAATCATTTGACAGGATGACGAAGAAATGGAAGACTTTTGTTTATCTAAGAGATCAGTCTCTGTTTGGATTACTTTGTCATTATTTTCCAGTAGTTGCATCTTTAACCACTGTTGTTAGATTATATAACGCAGAATATCTGTTAGTGAATCTCTTTCAACCATTCGAGTTGTCAAAACCATTTGATTCACAAGGTAATATAGAATATTTACCATTTGGTTCTTCTTCTCTTCCATTATGCTTTTTTCCAAGTTGGTCTCTGTTTTTCCTTCTCCCCTAACCCCTTTCTTTTGGCGTCTAGCTGGATTTTCCTTAAACAAGTCTTCATATTCTATTAGTAGTTTCAAAAGCCAGCTATAGAAATGACAGGAGGCCAAAGGTCACAGTTCATATAGCCTGGTAGTAAGAGAGGCGGACTTGCGATCGATAGGTTCCATGTTCGATCTTCATCGCCTTCATTGTGTTTCCGGAGGCACCCCACACATAAACTATTTGCTCTATTGTAGAGCAAGCTAGTCGCTAGCCAGAGAGATTCTCGAAAGTGAGGAGAAATGGAGAAAAGAGAGATCTCTATAACGGTGTTTGCAAAAGTACTATTATCCTACCAGCCACCCGACCCAAAAATAGCCTATCGGAATACCTTATCACCGACTCTTCCGATACAATAATTCGACTTTTGTATAACTTCTAAGTTATGGAATCATCAGTACTATGCTGTTCGTGGCTGGCTAGCTCCTCCATTATTGACTCTTGTAGTGCTTCAATTATATGCCACCCTCCAACTTGCCACCATCATCCATTGATTAATTAAACAAATATCATAGTACTTGGTACTTAATAATGAACTAATTATGTTATATATTAATATTACTCACATTGATGCCTATAGTTCACATTACAAGCCTTTGAAATATATATCATAGTGATTTGCACTCACGAAAAACTAACCGGAACCCAATATATTCACCGATGAACTACTCAGTGGCGGAGCCTGAAATCGGAACAAGAGGAGGGAGATTTGAATCGTGGTAATCTGGAGGGAGCTAAGGCATTACTGACTATTCCATTTCCTAAATTTCTGACGAATTTTACATGTACGTTTACCAATATTTCAATATCGAGAAGGACTACCGTCCTTACTAACTTCAACTTAGCTCCGCCAAGGAAACTAACCGTATTTGAAGTGAACAATAAAAGAATACACGTAGGAAAGAAACCCAGTTTGATCAATTCCACTCGGCAAAATCAAAATCCAGATGCCAGGAATGAAACGCGGCCGAGTTCTCCAGCATCTCCGGCACAAACTCCCCGCCGACGTCGAATTGTTGTTCATCCACTAGCAGCATCCCCTGCTCCTCCTCTGCCTTTTCAAACCCAGCCAGCGGCGTGTCCTGATCTTCTTGTTCTTCTTCTTCAGGGGATGGAGCCGCATGACCACCTGCACCAACTGTTCGACGAAATTCCCCACCGACACAAGAATCAACAGTAGCAGCAGTTAAAGTAGAGCTGCTAGCGGTGGTGGTGGTGGGGCTGCTGCAATTACTACTGCTGTTGTCCAACGACGAATTGGAAGCTGCTGCGGCCGGTGGATTGTTGCTGTGGTGACGGCGGCGAAGGGAAGGTGGGAATTCGGCGTCCTGGCCGGTGAGCTCCTGGACGAGGCTGCGGAACTCGGAGGCACCGATCTCGAACTTCATTGGGTTGGAGATGTACACCACTTTCATGGGCTCGTTAAGTACCTTATGATTTCCTCCCCTGTTGCTTCCTCTGTTTCTCTTGTTCTTCTTCGTCGCTGCAGCCTTCATATCCATCACCAGACTCTCCATATGAATCATCTGACTACAGGCTTTGTTGTTTTCTGTATGTGCAAGATCGAGCAGGGAAAAGGGAAGGAGCTGGAAAGAGGGTGATGGAAGGAGAATTTAATAAGGGGATATGAGATGGGGGAGAAAGTGGAAACCTTTGATGGCGGAATCGCAAAGAGACAAAATTGGAAGAAAAAAAAAAAAACTGTTTTAGGGTGTAAAGGTAGGGGGTGGTGCATGAACCTCTCCCACGCCCTAGTGGGTGTGTGTCCACTCCAATCGTCTTTGCAACTTGAGGATGAAAGATACTTCTTCGGTGGTTTAATTCGAAATGGAGTTGCGGTCGTGTTAATAACTTGTTTTATGTTGATTTGAGGTGTAAGTTTACTTTCTCGACTGACTTAATCAGAGGTGGTTCTTCTTCTCCTCTCCTATTCTCTCCCCCTCGACTCGAGTCTGATTAAGTGAGGTCAAATCATATTTTAATTCTATCATGTTTATCTTCTATGTCGTACAATCATAAATTTCTCTTCTCTAGTTCATCTATCATATCTTCTACCCACTATTATTGAATTCAATATTGTCTTCGAAATTTCAAATTCCATTTAGGCAACCAGGATCCGCTTTTAGGTTATGTTATGCGAATCTTTGTTTTGGAGTCTGCGCACTATTATTGAATTCAATATTGTCTTCGAAATTTCAAATTCCATTTAGGCAACCAGGATCCGCTTTTAGGTTATGTTATGCGAATCTTAATAATAATATAAATTATTAATAATAATGTGTTTCTTCCTCTCATCTTTGATTGTTGTAATGTGACTTTCGATCCTTATTGTTACAAGTTATCGACGTCATCCTCCAATGCCTCGTTCATTTTTTCTTTCCAACGACCCAATTGATCCTCTCTCGTTTTATGATCACAATCGACACATTGCTTGTCCAGTGTTATGTAAAGTACTTGATCTTGAATCTCGAACTGTCGTGAAAACAAAAAAAAGGTCTAAGGGTGATATATTTTTGTTTGATTTGCATCATTTATTATTATAATAATAATTTTGATTTATCAAATAATGATATAATCGGAATAATCATAATCTTCACAAAACCCTCATCAAATATACAATATTAAGAGAGAAATAAATTAGCCTAATGCTAATGAAAGGAGCAAAGAGTTACACGCACGCTCCTGGTTCGCGAGTGGGAGTGGATAAATGTGGTAATGACAGAGCTTTCACTACAATCAATAATTTGCATACGTGGCTCTTTGTGACAGGCCGGCATGGATATTGTGACGCCATCTCTACCTCTGGCCCTGATGTCACTTTTAAAGGCGGCTTTTCTGTTTATTATATTGGAGTATATGAACACCGTTACTACTAAAATAAAATATCTCGCGCACGTGTTTGACTTTTTAACTTATAATAACTGGGCCTCTATGGGCTTTTTTAAGTACTCATCTGCATGGGCCCGTACTAGACTTTGCCAAAGCCCATACATATTGATCCGACTGCACTCCACTGGATCGAAGTCCATTAGACTATATAGGCTTGGGAGGGGTGGATGGAGTGGATGACAGTCTCGTTACTCAATTACGAGTTCAACTTGATAATCGTTATCTTGATATGTTCGAATCTAATTAAATTTAAATTTGATAATAAAAACAAATAATTATAACCTAGTGACTTGTTTTTGTTCGATTAATTAGTTTGATGATTGATGACAATTAGTTCGATGATATAACTAAGGGTAATAATATTTTTATTCTAACAAGAATTAGAGCATTTTTTTATTTCTACCATCTATTGAGATTTGAGAGTGAATACCTTGATAATATAGCGAAAAATATAGTTAAACACTTGTTTGTCAAAAAACTAGACAATTTTAAATTTTTATTAAAAATTTAGACAATTAGTGACGCACGTGACACGTAGTCAGTAAAATCATGGAACCGGGCATGGACCATAATGTTTGACGGCCCACATTGAGCAAAACCCGTTGTGTGGCTGGAACGTGGCAATGCCGGTCCACCATCCACCATTCCATCCTTCCGCCTGGCAGATCATTGAATGGATAAGCCTTTTCCCCCATTTCTCATCTCCACAAGAACAACAAAAGATTTGAAAAGAGGAAGAAAAAAGCAACATCTTCGTAGTTCGTACAGTACTGTTCCTCAGCTGTTTCTTTCCCTCCTCTTTTCAACCCCCAGCTGAATCACCAACTAAGCTCCAAAAAGTGGCGCGGCCGCTCTCGTTGCCGGTAAGTCACCTAATTCCAAGTGTTTCCATCTTCTTGTAGATTGAAATTCTGAAAGAGGAGGTGAATTTGAGATATGGGTATGTGTTAATTCGTGGTGGGTATCTGGAATTTCCGATGATTGGAACATCAATTGGTGTCAATTTCGTGTTTCTTCCGGCAAAGTCTGTTCCTTTGCTCTGTTGTTAGCGAACCCAGTTGAGGATCTCCTGAAGGGGGAGAGTGGGTATCTGTCGTTTGTGGTAATTCAATGGATACCATGCTCAAGGCACATAACAAGCTCGAATGGCTGCCTCAAGTTCACGGCTTTTCCGAGAAATGGAGCAATTCGATTTCAAGCTACTCTAGGGTTCAGAGCCAAGAGCTTGTTGTGAAGTCCTATTCCAAAAGAGGCAGAATTGTGGGGGTTGGAGCTAGCAGTAGTGCCCTTCTGGAGCTCGTGCCGGAATTCAAGAAGGAAAACCTTGAATTCGACCTTCCGATGTACGACCCGTCGAAGGCTCGTCTTGTTGACCTAGCGGTCGTGGGTGGTGGTCCGGCAGGGTTAGCTGTGGCACAGCAGGTCTCCGAGGCAGGGCTTTCGGTTTGCTCCATCGATCCCTCGCCTAAACTGGTCTGGCCGAACAACTATGGCGTCTGGGTTGATGAATTCGAGGCCATGGACTTGCTCGATTGCCTCGACACAACGTGGTCTGGTGCAGTCGTCCACATTGACGAGAATTCGAAGAAGGATCTCGATAGACCCTATGGACGGGTCAATCGAAAGCAATTGAAGTCCAAGATGCTGCAGAAATGCATCACCAATGGGGTCAAGTTTCATCAAGCCAAAGTTGTTAAAGTCATCCATGAAGAGTCCAAATCGCTTTTGATATGCAATGATGGCGTTACGATCGAGGCAACCGTGGTTCTCGATGCTACCGGGTTCTCGAGGTGCTTGGTTCAGTATGATAAGCCTTATAACCCGGGTTACCAGGTGGCATATGGGATTTTGGCTGAAGTTGAGGAACACCCGTTCGATGTGGATAAAATGTTGTTCATGGACTGGAGAGATTCGCACCTCAAAGGTGAGCTGAAAGAGAGAAATGAGAAGATCCCGACTTTTCTTTATGCGATGCCATTTTCCAAGGATAGGATCTTCTTGGAGGAGACCTCATTAGTTGCTCGACCTGGACTTGGTGTTAAGGATATCCAGGAGAGAATGGCGGCTAGATTGATGCATTTAGGGATCAAGGTCAAGAGCATTGAAGAGGATGAAGTTTGTGTTATCCCGATGGGAGGGCCACTCCCCGTGCTGCCTCAACGAGTAGTGGGGATCGGTGGCACAGCTGGTATGGTTCACCCTTCGACGGGGTACATGGTGGCAAGGACCCTTGCTGCTGCCCCAATTGTCGCGAATGCAATCGTCAGGTTCCTCGGCTCCAGTAATCGTGATGAAAGCGGGTTTGTTGCTAACGGAGATGAGCTTTCCGCGGAAGTATGGAGAGACCTATGGCCTATACAGAGGAGGAGACAGAGGGAGTTCTTCTGCTTCGGTATGGACATCTTGTTGAAGCTCGATTTGCCTGCCACGAGGAGGTTCTTCGACGCCTTCTTCGACCTGGAACCACGGTACTGGCATGGTTTTCTGTCGTCGAGGTTGTTTCTCCCCGAGCTCTTGACCTTCGGGCTCTCGCTGTTTGCTCATGCTTCAAATACTTCTAGGATAGAGATCATGTCCAAGGGCACTGTTCCTTTGGCCCGGATGATCAGCAACCTGGTTAAGGATACAGAATAAGGTGTTTGACATATATATCATGTTTCTCTTCTTGTATTTCCACAATTGAAATTAGACCTGATGATGGTAAAGTATGGCTATATGCTGCAATTCCACAGTAATGGTTTCTATGCTATATCCACTGTTTCTTGTGTTTGTCAGATTTATGGTGCTTTCAACTTTTCCTGACTATTCCTTGCAATGCCTATTGATTGTTCTGTAACTCGAAATGATCCAACTTGTAATGACTCGTAGCCATTGGTGAATCAGTGAGCTGCAGTTTTGAGGATGAACGAACTTCATCGAAATGTAACTCGAAACGATTCGACTTGTAATGACTCGTAGCCCTTAATGAATCACTAAAGAGCTCCCACTAAAAGGGTAAAACAAGTTTGTTCTTGGGGCTGACTATTTTCTTAATTATTAGTTATTAATGATAGGCACCTTTTGTTAATAATAAACCACAATCGAATTATGAACTAATTATTCTCAAGCGACTATAATGTTAGGGAATCAAATCATTCTCATATCTTCGTGTACTCATTCGAAAGAGATGATAAAAAATAAGAGAGAATGTGTGTATAGAATTTGTTCATAGGCATAATGCGCTTTTCATCTGGATTACTATATTGTTTGACTATGCTAATTTGATCATTTTTACGTCATAGATCTACACATGATTCCATGGATGAGATACTGAAGTGGTGATTTGTGACTGGCTGCCACGTTTCCTCAGCCTGCATATGAAAGGTGGACTTGTTTGGAGGTGGAGAGGTTCGCGGCTGCGCACGTGTTTAGTGTGCGCAAGACATGTCGTACTGTATAGTACTTTATTGTCGTCGTGCAAGATTTAGTATTTATACAACAAGTGTGATGATCGGTGTGAAGGTGTAATAGTTAGGTGGGAGGATTCGTGGTTGGGCGCGTTTAATGTACGCCAGATGTGACGTACCGTGTACTTGAGAGTTATCGTGTAAAATTCAGCTTTTTTAGAAACATATTGCGTCGTGTTTATCATTAATAGATTAATTACTATGTATGCCTACCAACATTGGCTAAAAAGGTACTGTTGTGTGGTGTAATTATCCTATTTGAGTTTCCATGGACTTTCAAAAGCTCCAATAAGCATCAATGGAGAAAGAAAAGAAGGCATCCGGGGAAAAGCAACGCTTCTTTACGAAATGCAAAGCACATAGAGTGCTTTTGTCAATGTACTCTAATATGGTTGAACTAACACCATATAGTGCGCAAATGACTTTTGAACCTTTTTCCAAACGAGAAATCTTATTCTTTTCAGCCACCATTAACGTGTCCTTTCTGGGTTTGCCTTAGCTTGGAGGATGATGAAGTTATAGTTATTCCTACATTTGCCTCAGTTGGTGATGATGGTAATACAAAGTATATTCTTGTCCGACTTCTCATTTCTACTATTTCGAGGTTTGATATGAATAATGATCGAATATCGAAATAGTAATACTGGATGTCAGGAACCAATAGATCTCAATAAGATGAGTTGCTATAGAGAGACGTTCCATAATGAATCGGACAGATAGAATAGTCGTCGTTATCTTAAAAATGAGTGGTTAGCATTTTTTTCGAGGTGGACCATGATGGTTAGTATACATATGTAATAGTAAACAAGAAGATTATGGATGATGATAGCTTGACAATTATAGAGAAAAATGTTGCACATTAAGGAAAAAATACAAGAGAAAAAAAACATTATTATTATATATATCTATGCACCTTTGATTGATTGTCTGCTACTGCTTAACTTCTTCTTAAAAGCCAGTGGGTGCGGGCGTGGCAAAGCTTGAACTGGCATCGCATGCTGCTCGTGCAAGTTCCTAGCTAAGACCAAGCAATTAATTAATTAGTGTTTTTAATCACGATGTGGAAGTAAAACGAAAGTGATTAATTAGTAATTAAGGACCAATCACGTATTACCCAAAGTTGATCCATTCAAGGTTTCGCCCTCTCTCTCTCTATCAGAGAAACTAATTAACAAAAAGGGCATTAACGATCTTAGGCCAGTTAGCTACCTACCTAATAGTCACGCCCATAGCCACTAAAACAGCAATTAAAAAGATTAAACCCGGTCGCTTTACGAGGCAAGAGGTGTTAATTATAAACCCTACTAATTAACTTCCATTTGTGGAGAAATGAAATGATGGTGTGCTAATCAAGTGGAAAAGTTATTCTTTCTACCAATACATGGAAAATGTGGATATGGAAGAGGAGACAGCTATATTAACAAATGAAGAGGCGTATTAGTTAATGTGTGCGTTCTCTGATCGAAAGAATATAAAGTTTGCACGACAGAAACGGTGCTGTTGGAAATGTTATCTGAAAATGGTAAGATACAACTCAACCTAAACAACACGCGTTGCAGAAAACTCATCGCATGATGAGGTAAGGCCTACAGAAAATGCGCCTACTGATCGGGTCTACAGAAAAATCCAAACCCTACCTCTCAACACTTGCGAGTTGAAACTGGAGTACGAAAAAAGATGGATGATTGACGACTCTTCCTCAACCCACCATAAAGAACATCTATTCGACATCTAGAGACTAGAAGCCACGCCGATTTAATGTCCAGTGGTAGATGCGTTTCCGTCACTGCATACGCAAGTAAAATAAAAAGGCACAAATCTTGACGTGGGGCAGCATGGTTTTCCAAATGTCCGTGTGAGGGAAGTCCTCCGCGCTTCGCTGGAATGATCTCTTGTTGACGTGTTGAAGCATGATCTCACTGAATGCGTATTGTCGTTATCGTGTACTACGACATCCTACGTGTGTGTTCAAGCATTAACTATGTCAAATCATACAATCTGGCCCAAGCTAAATACTGTCCTCTCCCCACTCACAACAAAAACAAAGACTATTGAAGAAAACATAAACAAGACACATAAAAGAGAGGATTGGAAGTGATGGCACGAAGAGCCAAAGCTACATTTTGTTTCTTGGGGAAAGCTAGCTAAAAGCTTGAAAAAGCATACCCAACTTTATTTTCCATGGCTGGCTTTTCATAAAGGAAAAAAGAAAATTCCCTCTGCATTTCCAATTCGATATTGTTGTTTCTGTTCCGTGGGGGAGAAAAAAAAAAAAAAAAAGAGAGGACAGAGACATAGAACAGAGGAAGGAAAAGGGTCGTTTGCTTTCCATTGATTATTGACCTGCAGCCACGACCTAGCTCTAGCAAGCTCAACCCCTCTTTTTTCCCTTTTGTCTGCATGTATCGTCTAGGGCACATCTTTGTAGGGTAAAACAACAGATAACGCAATAATTGTGTTCATCATCTAAAATCCCCAATACAAAGATATGGGTGAAAAGGAGTGGAAGGAATTTGGATCCGGTTCTGAGAGTTTGATGTAACAAATGTACTTATTTAGGTGAAAAGAATACTTGGATTCCATTCTAAGCAGAATGTATTACTATCATTGCCGCCATGAAAAAGGATGCATATTTATCCAACGATAAAAGACAAGCTCGAAACTCTCAAACAAATATTGATGAAGACTCAAATACTGTCTTAGTTTCCGGAATTAGATCTTGCGTAAGAGAAGATGAATAATACGATCTAGATTGAAGAGAGTAAAGTGAATTGTCTTGTTATGTACATCCAACATTTATACCTAACACCAAAATTACTACATGTTACCTACAATCTGTATAATTACATATATAAAACTACCCAGAAACAACAAAATTACATATTTGTATCCTGTACTACCTAACATATTTCGACATACAACCGTACAGTTTGAGTTGAAAGTTCGTAGTAACTTTTTTCGCGCTCATCTTGTCAACCCATCGAACCGAAAGATTTCCAATCATTCATTTTGTCACCTGACCCACTTGATTAATCACACATAACCATCCCATCTATTTGAACTCATAAGTACAATCATAACCCTAATCCAAACTCAACTCAATTCAAATCAAATTCATCTCATCTTTATTTCTTGCCAACCCATATATAACCAAAGAACTCCCTTTTGACCCTAACCCTACTCAATTATAACCCAAACCAACCACCCATTGTCACTACCCAATCAACTTGCCACCTCTACACAAAAAACCCCAATCAAACCCAAAGTCGGTTCCTTTTCATTTCCCTCATTTCACCATACGCCAATTATAACATAACACCATTACTCAACTATATATAAATACACATTACAAACCCACAAAACCCAAACTCTTGGGTTACCCTTTTTACACTCTTACACCTACCTCTCCTCTCCTCTCCTCCTTTCTTACAACCCTCGAAAAACCATAATAACTCCACCAAAAAATGGCCGACGATGAAGAAAGCTCCCCGCCGGCGGATTTCCACTCCCACCCCCGTCCTCCTCCATCTCTCCCTCAGGTAACAACTTAATCTCATATTAATTCACCGTTTTACCCAATATGGATTGGTACAAAACTCAAAGGTGGGATTTTTTCCTTTTTTAACAGATTTTGGAGGAGCTGAAAGAGCTATGGAGCATGGCGTTTCCCGTAACGGCGTCCCACCTAACTGCGTTCTTCCGCTCCGCCGTCTCCGTCATCTTCCTGGGCCGGCTCGGGAGCCTCGAGCTAGCCGGCGGCGCGCTGTCAATCGGCTTCACGAACATAACGGGGTATTCCGTCATGGTCGGCTTGGCTTCCGGCTTGGAGCCGGTGTGCAGCCAGGCGTACGGGAGCAAGAACTGGGACCTCCTCCACGTGTCCCTCCAGCGGATGGTTCTGATCCTCTGCGCCGCGGCCGCACCAATCACTTTCCTGTGGCTCAACCTCAGGCCCATCATGGTGTTCCTGGGCCAGGACCCGGACATCGCCTCCACCGCCGCCACGTACTGCCTATACGCGCTCCCGGACCTCTGGACCAACGCGCTCCTCCAGCCCCTGCGCGTGTACCTACGCTCCCAGAACGTGACCAAGCCCGTCATGTACTGCTCGATCGCGGCCGTGGCGCTGCACGCGCCGCTGAATTACCTGGCCGTCGCGGTGTTGGGGCTCGGGGTGCGCGGTGTGGCGATGGCGGCGGTGGTGACGAATGTTAACACCGTGGGGTTGATGATTGGGTACATGTGGTGGGCCCGCCGCCGCGGCGGCGGCGGAAGGGGGGAGTGGAAGGTGGTGGGGTGGAGCGGCGGCGGCGGCGGAGACGGCGGCGGGGGGATGGGGGCGTTGTTGAGGCTGGCGGTGCCGAGCTGCGTGGGGATATGTTTGGAGTGGTGGTGGTATGAGGTGGTGACGGTGATGGCCGGATACTTGCCGGATCCGACGCTGGCGGTGGCGGCCACCGGGATTCTCATTCAGACAACTAGCATGATGTATACTCTTCCCATGGCCCTTGCCGGCTGTGTCTCTGCCCGGGTAAGTAAGCCTGTTCTTGTTATTTGGCGAAATCCGGATTTAGAATTAGTTGAGTGTTTTTATTCGAATTATCGAACGATGTGGAGTTACACTAGAGTTATGTGATCGTATGTAGTTAATAATTTTGTTTAGAGCATCTCCATTGGAATTGCAATTAGAATTGCATTATGACATGACATTTATTTGCAGTAAATGACAGTTGCATCTTTGCAAGCTTGCATATAATACAATTATGGAATGCAAGCCACATCATCTTTTTTATTATTAAATTATTCATTAATTTTATTATTTCAGTGTTTATGTTTTAATAACTTAAATAAAAAAATTAGTTGCAATTGCAAGTTAATTGCATTGATGTGGTGCAATGCAAGTAAGATGAGTTTGATTGCAAAAAAATGAAGTAACAATAAAAAAAACAAATACAATTGCAAATGTCATTGCACCAATGGAGATGCTCTTAACGCTATTAAAAACAAGATATAATGAAAGGGTTTTTCTAACTACCAGATGAGCTACTATACTCTCTCTACGCCGAATAAAACGTAAACAACAATAGTGAACACACTAACCAGGAGCATAGCTAGAGTGTAGTAAGTTGGTGCCATTGAACCCCTTAATTTTGGAGAAAAAACAAAATATTAGTAATATTAGTTAGTTAATGATTATATTTAAATCCTAGATTTCAATGTCGATAGTCAAATCTTCTATCGTTATATTCACAACAAACTAATAAATTAACTTCATCTACTAATTTCTACATCAAAATTAGTTTCTAGCAATGTATTTGCTTGTGAAAACAAATTTGATTTGCTACTATCATCTCTCAATATAATGCACAAGTTGATAACATTTTATGCTATGAAACGATGAAACAGATTTGATTTGCTATGCCATTGAATGCAACAGCTGGATTTCCTCCAGGGCTAGAAGTAAATTCGAGTCTTGCCAATGACAAAAAAGGCGTTTGATATAGTCGACAACCCACTATTTGATAATGTTTGGTTATCATATGTGTATACATATTGTAACCTAATACCACGGGATCACGGGAGGTGATCATAACATATCCTACATGCTACACTACACATAGTTCTATTTAATCAAGCGATTTTCCTATTGGACCAACAAACGAAATATAATTTCGTGATAGAGTGCCATCGTGACAAAAGTCTTAAGAGTTTTGAGTTTGATTATCCTTGGAACTCAATATGATGACATCAACGCGTTCTAGTGCCTGCATAACAGTGAAATTGCTCAAAATGACAACACCGGCAATGTGACTTGACCGATGTTTTTCTATCCAATTACCAAATCTAGGGTTGGTTCTAGTTTTGGAATGTTGATAAATGGAGGATTGGGGGAGTGGTGCGGCTGTTGTCTTTTATTTGTCGTTATAACTGCCATATTGTGGGTAAGAGGGGAAAAGCATTTTGGTAGAGTTTAGACATATCTGGGGACTGGGACAGTGGTCCAAAAGGGAAGTAAAAGCAATTTCCCCTGCCTCCCAGAGTGCTGGATGGGTCATTTCGTACTCTGTTTTCTAGGCTCTAGATCTTTGCCCGGCTATATGTTTTTTTTTTGCGTGATGTGATTGTGCCTCAATAATGACTTGCTTTCATTTCCTGCTCCAAGTTCCCAACTTTTTCATGCTGTCGACAGCTCATAGTTATCGTTTGCCAGATTGGGGAAATTTGCTTTGGGAAACGACTGGTTTCTCTTTCCTGTTGGGAGGTTTGGAGGTTGTAGTAGGTCTAGAATTGGCTGTCATTGGTTGGATTTAGGGAAATAACTCGTTCAATGCTTTTCTTGTTATTTGCTAGGTAGATTTGTGAGGTGGTTTGTTGGTAACTAAAGGAGTTGATTTTGTATTATATTTTGTTTAATTGGTTAGACTTGCGATTTGGTTTGTTGAGTTTAGCTCGTGAGCTAATTCTTTTAGAGTTTGCATATTAGTTTTGATAGTGTAATTAAGATCGTTAAAGTTTTTCCTTTGTGTTTTTGGTTTTGCTCGTGTTTAGTTATTTTTTGGTGTTCGTGTTTGGACTTACGATTATGATAATACCTTCATTTTAGAACCAAGTCTGAACCAACTTTTTTTTTTCATTCGAGTTCGCTCTTTTGTAATTTGATTCTAGCTTGACGAATAACTAAATGTGCTAAGCTTCAGTTTGGTAAAGACTCGACCCAGTAGCAAATTGAAACCATAAGGGTTATACGCAAAATTACAAGTAAAATCGTTACAAATTTTGAAAATATTCTAGTCCATAAGGTCTGAACCCCCTTATAAATTACAACGATTCAATCAATCTTCTCATTCAGATATACAGATTTGTGGCTCCGGACACCAATCAACTAGATTCTTGCTCTAGTTGGCTCATTTCGTTACTAGCAATATCATATCACCATCCACATGTCCCACTTGGCCATTTCATATCTAGCATTTCTCTCGTTGACTCATCATGATCCTAACCTTTTTATGATTTGCATGGATAATGCAGGTGGGGAACGAGCTCGGAGCTGGCAATCCGGACAAGGCCAAGCTGGCAGCAACGGTGGCGCTAGGCTGCGCCTTCGTCATCGGAGTCATCAACGTGTTGTGGACGGTGATCCTGCGAGAGAGATGGGCCGGCCTGTTCACCAAAGACGACCTCGTCAAAGGCTTCGTCTCCTCCGTGCTGCCGATCATCGGACTCTGCGAGCTCGGCAACTGCCCTCAGACGACCGGCTGCGGCGTCTTACGTGGCACGGCGAGGCCCGCCATCGCGGCCCGCATCAATTTGGGCTCGTTCTACTTTATCGGCACCCCGGTGGCCGTTGGGCTCGCGTTCGGGCTGAAGGTCGGGTTCCCCGGGCTGTGGTTTGGGCTCTTGTCGGCCCAAGTCGCGTGCGTCGTGTCGATCTTGTACGTGATTTGGGCTTGTACCGATTGGGAGCACGAGGCCTTGAAGGCCCGGAACATGACCCAGATCGAGATGGTTGGGGGTTGTAATCATGATGATCATGATGGTGGAGGGAATGAAGAGAACGAAGAAGGTCGTGGGCTGTTGATGGGCAATGGCCCGTGATCGATTTGGGCTTGGGTCTTGTATGGGCTCTTCAGTTTTGGGTTTTGTTGGGCCCCGAAAAGGAATGAGATGTGGACAGTAGGGAATTAGGAAGAAAAGGAAATGAGAAATTGAAAGATGCTTTGGCGATTATTAATTCCGACTTCTCACTCACTCAAAATTTTCTTTTGCTTTATGAGCCAATGCCTATCCATAACCTTTCAACAAGACGATCTATTTCCCGACATAAGTAGCTAAAGTAAAAAAGGCATTGCCGGTCTAGTTATGGGTTTTGGTAACTGTTGGTTTGCCATGTTAGTGAACATGGAGGGTGAAAGTTACAATTCTTAATAGGGAATGGTGCTTTGTCGAGCTGTGATTTCGTGATATTTTAATGGTTTCGAGATTTAGTGGAGGTTTCGATGATGGAACATCTTTAAATTCTTATGATATGGTAGTTTTGCCATCGTCTAATTTAAAAAGATTAAAGTCAAGAGCAACCTTGTTTACGATGGGCTAGAGTCCATTGTCAAATTGATAATCCTTGTTTATGATGGAGTTTGATTAAAAACTTCAATTTTCCAATCGCTTCTGAGATATACATATATCGTCGAGCGGTCGAGAGGCGGGGAGGACCCCGACGACGACGAGTGATGCTTAAGTTAGTGCAAGTACATGATAGGTTAGTGTTATAAGATGCAAATAGTAGAGTTGGAGCGTTAGTGATTAAAAGTTTAAATGATGTGAAAGAAGAAAATGATTCTTTATTTGGATGGAGGGTAAAAACATTTTTATATATAAGAGTTTGACTTATCTTAGACTTTCGTATTCAAAATCAGAAACAATTATGAACCATCGTCGTGAATTATATCATACATTAGTATTAATATATACTCGTTTAGTTACGTGTGATAAATAAAATAAAAAAGTTCGTGATGAATACTTTCCGATCATCGATGAATGATGAAAAGTTAGTCATTGCCATCGATTGTCGATTTGTCGTGGTTCGACCTAAGTGTATATGTGTGTAACAAATCAAACAAAAACTCCAACCCTACGTTTCAAGTAAAGTGGGTCATCCACTACAAAAATTCTGAGCCATCAGCTCCACCGCTGCCACCTGATCTCTCCACTGTGGGCCCCAACCGTCTTCGCGCAAAGGGTGCAAAAAAAACCCAGCCGTGATCAACTGGAAATTGGATTCGAAAGAGCGCAAAACGGAAGGAAGGCGAAAACCCAATCTCCGGCTAAACACACATATAACGAAGCGGAATCCGCTCCCTACTCTTCTCCTCCAGTTCTCACTCCGATCTCATACAGGATCGCCGCGTTCGTTTCTCCCTGGAGCTCAGGTGAGCCAACGATCAGCAACCGCCGGGAAGTTTGTTCAAGTATCCTGTTCCGTTTTTTTTTCCCAGTTCGTTTCGTCTTCCGTGGTCCCGTTTGATTGAATTAGTTTCGCTGTTTTTTTTATGGTCGTGATTTGTTTGCTTTCTGGAGCCTTAAGCTCGCCGGGAAAAAGAAAGTATTTGATTCGTGTTCGTTTTTGTCCGTCCAGATTCCGGGAAGCTGTTCTTTCTGGCGTTTGCTAAGGTAAATCGAATACTTACATTACTCTTGATCGTATCATCGTAGGATTTTTCCGGCGTGTTTGCTGCAAGTTTTGGATAGGGAGATTGGGACGCGATTTAGGGAATTCTGTACGATATAGGTGGATTTGGCTTGGCCTGGTTATTGACGGGGAAAAAATTGTGCGGAGGGGAATTAATTTGGTCATAGATTTCTGTTGCTAGGATTGAGCTTGATTGTGATGGCTGATTTTGGTCGTGTTCGGAGCTGAAATGTAAAGAGGATGAGTTGACTATTGACGTTTCTGAGTTTGTTCACTTCCTTTGCTGATTTGGGTTGGAAGTTAGTCAACAAGGTGTGGTTGTGAGTAGACTGTGATGCAAGAATACATGGTACCTGTGAGCGAAAGCAGAAGTTGCTTTTGGTGGAATTGGTTTATTTTGTGGGCAGAGAGGGGATTCATCTGATGACGGTGTTCCTTCGAATGATTCTGGAATCTCCTTTTGGTTTCTTGTATATTTCTATTGAATCACTATAGTTCAACCAAGTACTCAATACTTCTGGTCTTTTTTTCTTATCTGATGCCTTTTAGGTTGAAGGGCATTGGGTTGTCTGGTAGCATTCTGAACTTCGTGGAGCATCAGAGTGCTAGAGATCGATTGCTGTTGTTTACTTCAACTTACCTCTATGCAAGATATGTCGAATGAAAATGTGAAAAGGGTCTCACCCAGAGACATACAAGTGGTAAGCAAGTTGCTATGTGTTGTTTGACAGAATCAGCTGAGTTAACTTAAACTAGACCATGGGTCTTCTCTTAAATTTCCTTGCTCTTGATGCTTCCTATTTATTTGGTTTGTGGCATCGTATTTTTATCATTAGAGTTTGATAGAAAGGTTTGTGAATGTGACATAGGGTGTCATTATTTGATACTGAAGCCAGGAACTTGAGTTTCTAGAAGGCATTTGCAAAAGCAAGGCAATTGAATTTACTTGTTATTGGTTATGAAGGCGTTGCAGTGATTTCTATGTCGATCTTGTGAGAAGGCTTGAAGCTATGGTTGGTTGCTAACCCCGATTTTGCTGATGGGTTCTGATTTCAGGTCCAAAATCTCATAGAACGATGCCTTCAGTTGTACATGAATCAACAGGAAGTTGTCCAAACCTTATTGGATCAGGCGAAGATAGAGCCTGGTTTCACAGAACTTGGTAATTGGTTGAGTTTTTCTTGTTTCATCAAGTTTGACTAGATTGATCTGGAAGTGTCGATTGAACTTATTTTGTTCGCCTACTCATTGTAGCAGTTGATGGCTTATGAGTAAAATTTGTAATTTTTGGCTTGCCATTGGCTATATGATGGTTCTTAAGTATCTCATCTTATCTTGGAACTGCCCATTGTGAGATAATACATAATAGCTGATGCATACGAGCATTACATGATGTTTTTTACCAGCTTTCCTGTCACATGCCTACGGTTAACGGTTTTTCTGAGTCAATCCGTTGTTGTGATATGTTTTATGTAGGAGCAGTTACTTACTGACTAGTACTTACGTCTATCTAGGGAGTATTTGATTTTGTGACAATCATAGACTTGAGCAGCTTCTGCTTAATTAGTTTGTTCATCTCCCCCTTAATCAGTGGAGAGTGAGAGAGAGGAGGCCTTGAAGAAGGCTTAGAGCTAGTTGGGCTCTCTCTTACCCCAAGCAAGCTTATCCTTGGCTCTTGAAAAATTGACATACCAGTTAGAATTACCGATATGAACTAAAACCTAAGAAGCTGGTCCCGAGATTCCTATTCCTGGGACTTGATCTTTGACTTGAGATTGCTGCATTTGTCGACCTGGTGATGAGGTGAACTGGTGAGGAAAGTGAAGAAAGCAATGTAATTTGCTGGTGTGTATAGCTTGAAATTTTGTAGGTGAATTACTTAATTAGTAAAAGTAGGTAGCAACGTCATTTCTTTTTAGTTTTGCAGAGTAAACATTTTTAATTTCCTTGTCATTAAAATATTCTTATGATAAATTGTTGATTGTACAGTTTTGAGATGTAAAAGGGATTAAGGGAACAATATTACATTGTTGCTAATTGTTGCTTTGTTTCTAGTTTGGCAAAAGCTTGAAGAAGAAAATCGGGACTTCTTTGATGCATATCGTCTGAGATTAATGGTGAAGACCCAGATAATGGAATTTAATAAGTTACTTGAGCAACAAGCTCAGTTGATGCATCAGATAAGTCCAACTGGAGTTGCTTCAATGCCTAATTCTAATGGGTCTCAGCTTCCACCATGTAAGACTTGGTTCTCAGCTAATTTGGATCGATTTTTATGGTTCTGCTTTGAGCTCAATATTGACTTCATCATGTTCCACTGAATCATAGAGAATTTGATCTGTGCCTTCGAAACCTGTAGTTTTGTCAAGCCAAATTCATTGCTTGTTATTGTATAGCATAATCTTGTAACTGATTGTTCTTTCTCTGTAGTGCATCAGAACTCCTCGTGCTATGTCTCTGACCAGGCACGTGGTGCCTTGAGATCAGATAACATACTTACACCCATTGGTTCAAGCATTCCCAATTCATTTACCAATGGTGGATCCTCACTCCATTCGAGTATGCGAACTGCTGTTGACATTTCAGCTCATAGAATTGATGCTTCGACAAACTTGCTTGCTACTCAAGGTACAAACTTGGGCATGATGCAAGGAATGAATGGAGCCATAAAATCTGAAGCTGGTTACACAGGCACTTCTTACGGGTTGGGCACTGGTGTAAATGTCATAGAAGCACGTCCATCCATTGCAGATGCATCGTTTAGCAGCGTAGATTCCAGCTCACAAGCCATTAATGAGCCAATTATTGATCCAGATGCATCTTCTTTTGGATTTTTGGGTCAGATTCCTCGGAATTTCAGTCTTTCAGATCTGACTGCCGACTTTAATCAGAGCTCAGGTTTACCTTCCCTATCATCAATATGTATATGTTTTCATGGATTAGTAGGAGATACTGCTGAAGTTCTGTTTTTTGATGTTCTTATATGGAAATTATATCCCTGTTGTACTAGTAAACTTATGAGCCTGTCAAAAAATCTTAAAACTGACGTAAAAAAGTTATTGGGCCAATATTTTTCTCACTTCTAGTTTGCAATTTTGAATTTTCAGATATACTAGAGAACTATGTTAGATCACCCTTCCTGGCTGCAGAAAATGATAACTTTTTGGATTCCCGTGACAGAGAGCTTCAAGGTTGGTGTTTATCCATGAAGAAAATTAGCTTCCTCCCCAAAGTTTTGTATGCCTTTTTACCATGACGAAACATAATTTGGTGGATTTGCTTACAGGGGACAGCCGATTGGATACCATTTCAGAAGGAGTGAGTTATGACAATTTTGGAGGTATCTAGGTGTATAGTTCTAGGGTAAGTATCTATGGCCTGATTTCTTTTGGCTTGTTTACTTCTTTTTTTTTTTTTTAATCTAGGTAACTAAGTTGGTAGAGTAGTGCTAATGCTTATTGACTTTTCACTGCATTGCCTCTGCTTTAGCTACTGCAAAACTGATGAGTAGAACAAGAAAATGCTAGAAACTGGAGGAAGGGTAGACTTTAGGGATATCATTTAATACATCAATACTGTTGGTACACTGGGCTTGCTAGAACCCTAATGAAGCCTTCAGTACTGACGTGACTAACCTCCAACTTTTAACTTGGAGAACATTTCTTCAGTCTGTTCTCCCCCAGAAAAAAGGACCTTGCCTCTTTAAACCACGATTAGATTTTAAACCGTTTAACAGCAGATCAATTAAATGCACAAGCACTAGAGGGCATTCTGGTGCATAGTAGGTGTACAGGACTCCTTTTTAAACTATGGTGCAAGTTAAAGTTATGAATTTGAATTTGTTGGTTGTTTATCTTTTCGGTTTTAAAGAACCTTAGGGTTGATGGATTAAAAGAATGGATTTAGGCTTCTTACTATCTGTTAGACTATGATGCTTTTGATCAAACTATGACTCGAGCCTTCAGGTAAAAAAATCCACCCCCCTTCATGTGTCTCGTGGTTGGTCCTACGTTGCAGAATATAGAGTTAAAAGTAGGTGTAGGGTTGAGACTGTATCGATGTGTGTGTTATTACCATCCCTAAACTTTATGTACTCTCCGAACGATTTACCCTGTGCTGTGCTGTTCTTCAATGCAGGTCCAGATCATAAGGGGATGGGAAAATTTCGAACTGTATATATAGCATTGTGTAGGATGGGGATTCAGCTTCAGGTCTAGAGGAGTTTCTTCAAGGGTACATTTTCGAGGGTGTGGAGCACAACTAGTAATAACAAGAGTAATGCGTGGAGAGTGGCATTCTTGACGATAATGTTGGATAATAATGTAGCTAGCTAGACTGGTTTGTGTGTCTTTCCCTAAGGAAGAATCACCATGGCACTGGTTTTTAAGTATATTAGGATTTCCGTTTGAGCTTGTATAAATGTTTGAGCACCAGATATTTGCAGAGTTTGAATGAGCATGCAGTGTGTTTTAACAAAGTGGATATTTATGTCACAAAGCTCTCTCATGTCTCAGCATGGACAAAGCACAGACTCACAGACCTGAATACCGAAAAAATGGAGAGCAAAGGCGCAACTAATCAACAATCCTATCAAATCAGTAAACAAGGCGTGGCTCGAATTCAGCCAAGTCCACAGATCCGGACTCAATGGGAGGCATCAGGTATGCAGATATGATCTCCGAAACCAGTGCTGCTATAATAGGTACTCTCTTTAAGTTCTTCACCAGCGGAATGTCGTCGGTCTCTCCAACAGCCAGCAGCTTCTGGTTTATCTCCACCATCCTGTCTAGCTTCCTCTTGAACTCAGGGTTCTCCACATCCAGCACTGCCGGGAATATCCTGGCAGTCGTCCTGTTCGTCTGCAAAGATGAACAAGCACATCATGTCAGCTTCCAGGCACCGATAGCAGCCTCCATGCGGCAAGAAAGAAGCTAATCATTGTTTGTTTGCTATATTGTTACCTCAATGATGACATGCATGTCGAATTCTTTCGTGTTGAGTCCAATCCCTTCATAGAAATCTGATCTCTGACAGTCATTGAGGTACATCGTGACATACACCTGAGAGGCAGACACACAACGATTTCTAATCAAAATCCTCTTGCCAGAAAGATACCACAAGACGAAACACAGATTCGTATTAGTGCTTACAGAGAGGCAGAAGAAGCGAGCCCAGAGCTTGGCCTTCCAGTCGTTCAGGAACTGTGGCTGAGCCTTCATCAGCGCCGAGAAGAAGTCACCGTGGCGATTCTCGTCCTGGCACCAGTTCTCGAAGTACTTGAAGATCGGGTAGCACTGGAACTCCGGGTTGGCCTTGAGATGCCGGTAGATCGTAATGTACCTCCAGTAACCTATCTTCTCCGACAGGTATGTCGCGTAGAAGATGAACTTCGGCTTGAAGAATGTGTACTTCCTCGCCTTCGTCAGGAACCCCAAGTCCAGCGCCAGGTTGAAATCTGACAACCCCTTGTTCAGAAACCTACCGGGAAGAAACAAACTAGTCAGAAAGTTTGCCACTATAACTCTATACTGTCACCATTCTTGACACAAAGGAAAACAGAGTCGACCCTGTTCTGTTCTTACCCTGCATGCCTGGCTTCATCCCTTGACATGAGCGAGAAGATCTCCGCCACAACTGGATTGGTTTTCTGCATCATCACATCGAAACCAAACCGCGTCATAAAACGTGTTTGTGATACCGTATCGTACTGGTCAGTCTCGATTCTTACACGACGCCCGATTAAAAGAGGCATTGGATTAATCAGATTTCTGATTTTACCTTGAGCCTCCTGCCCAGCTCTTTGTAGAGGAGGAAACCCGAGAACTCGGCGGTACACGAGCGCTCGAGGAACTCGACGAAGATCCCACGGAGAGGGCCTTGCATCTTGTCTGCAGCTTCCTTGAACTCCTTGTTCCTGACGAAATGGGTCTGGTTGTAATCGGTCTTGAACTCCTGCAGCAGGGCCTCGAACTCTGCCTGGTTCAGCTGCTTGTTGATCTCCGAGTTGAACAGCGTCTCCATCTCGTCGAAGTCCGTCGTGTAGAACCGCGGGGTCAGCAGCGTCTCCTTTATCGCCGTCTTCTGCAGCTTCTTCTTGGTCCCGCCGGCGGCGGCTTCGGTGGAGGCGGCGGACATTCTGATTGAGCAGAACGAGATGCTCCTGCTGCTGCTTCTTCTGGAAGAGGTGGTGAATTTGGAGATGGTGGGTTTTGCAAGAGCCATCTCTGCCGCCATTCTCGTGACTGGTTCTTCAGCTTTGGGGGAAGATTTCTGGAGCTGGAGTAGGGACTGGTGAAATGGTAATGGCGATGGGAAGTTTATAATTGGTGGAGAAGATGATTAAATCTCATCCACTGGAAATCTATGGTAGTTAATGGGAGCGCGACACGTGGCGAGTTATTATTGGCGGGACTCGATTGCCAGTTTGCCACAAGTGGCTGTGGCGATAGACTGTTGTCGTCGCCGATTTGTGCAAAATCTCAATTTTCGTGGTTGCCATCAGATTTCCAACCATTGCTTATTTTTCCCAACAGTTTTTTTTTCTTAAGAAAAATGTTTGCATTATAAAAATTAGTGAGTCGGCCCGTTGTATAGGTTGAAAACTACGTACTAGCGATCAACGTGTCATCTCAATCTTGTAGTCGTACTTGTATGGTGTCTTGAATCGTTAATTTCACGAGTTTATGGTATATTGGTATGAATTCGCAATTTATGATTTTCAATTTGATACGAAAGTCGTGATGTGTAAATATAGCTTCTATTAAGAGCTACATGTAGTTTTGATAATCTTGTGTCGAGTTGAGTTGCTTTCTGCCTAAGTTTTGGAAGAATTACTAATGAACGAGGAGATTAAATCAAAGCGATATGTTATGTAGTTCATGGCCACACAGAGCTGTTATTAATCAATTTTCTCTTTTCGAATTTGAGGGTATCAAATAGGACAAGTTAAAGTTAGATGGACTGCAACAGGAGAAGTAATATAGTTTAGGTGCCAAACTAAGATTTATCAGAAAATAAATGACTGAATTGTGTTTTTTTCCAGAATCAACTTGGATGACGTGGAAGCAGGAGAAGAAGCGCGCCAATTTCTGAAACGAGGTTCAATCTGAGCTGCAAAATTCCCTAAACTCGCTCCTCTATCTCTCCCTCGTCTCCGCCATTTCTCCTCTCTCTCAATCTTCGTCCACGGCGATGAATTGATCTTCCTCCTCCAGAAACAACCGAGAAAGGAAAAGAGAAGAGAAGAAGAACCAATTGTTCAGATAATAGATAGAGAAGCTAGCGACAGTCCGTCGAGGTGACAGAGAAAAGAGAGGGATTGAAAAAGGGAGCCGGTTGTTCGATTGATGAGTGGCGAAACACATAATAGATGCATCTATGAAGACTGGGGGACGGAAGTCGCCACCACCGCGCCATCTGATGCACTTTTCCTTGTCGTCGCTGCCGCCGGTTGAGGCCTTTCAGATGGAATGGCAGATTTTCCTACTTATCTTTCCAATTCCGACCGTGATATCGACCAGGTTTCTCCCCTTTTCCCCCGTCCTGATCCAAAAATTCAAATTAGGGTTTCGTTTCATCAAGTTTCGTTTCTGTCTGTACAGGCGCTCATTGCTTTGAAGAAAGGCACCCAGTTGATCAAATACAGCCGCAAAGGCAAACCTAAGTTCCGCGCCTTCAGACTCTCTCCGGTAATCTGATTCGATTTGGATTCGATTTCTCTATTGTGCGTGAATGGTGTTGATCTGAGATGATTGATCCGGAATTTCGATTCGATTTCGGCAGGACGAGACTGCATTGATTTGGTTATCGCACGGGCAGGAAAAGAATTTGAAATTGGCATCAGTATCTCGGATCCTTCCCGGTCAGAGAACTGTTAGTTTCCCCCCCAATTTTTGTTCTGTATTTCTCTGGTATACTACTAGATTCATTGCAGCAGTTACCCCATTGTTGTAATTGTTTTTATTATCATTCCCTCTGCTTCTCACAGGCTGTGTTTAGGAGGTACTTGCGCCCTGAGAAGGATTGTCTCTCGTTTTCACTCATTTACAACAATGGCGACAGGTCCCTTGATCTGGTTAGTCTAAATGAACCATCCATCATTGTGTTTCGGTTTTCTTGTAGTTGTTAAGGGTGAACTTCAATTAGCCTATTGTTAACTTTTTCGCTTCAGATCTGCAAAGACAAAGTTGAAGCAGAAGTTTGGCTTGCAGGCCTCAAGGCCATCGTTGGAAGAAACCGGGGCAGACGCACCAGAAGTGATATCTCGGATGTCAGTTCTCAATCCACCTTCACTGGTTTCTCTGAGGTGAACAAGCCATATGTATGATAATGATTTTGATATTTTTTTCAGTTTACTGAAGGTGGAGGAGATTACTTCTTTGGTAATCGTCATGGTCCAACACTAGAGCTCACGCCAAGCCTTGCTCGTGGTAGAGTCTCTATCGATTTAGCTTCAGATGGTGGTGGCTCGGAGTATGCAAATATGCAACTAAGACCGAGCTCTGTTGATGGTGGTTTCCGGATTAGTGTCTCCAGCACTCCTAGTACCTCTAGTACTGGCTCTGGCCCAGATGATATCGAATCATTAGGTGATGTTTACCTTTGGGGGGAAGTGTGGAGCGATGGCTTTGCACCCGAAGGACCCATGCCCTCTTCCTCTTCTTCTTCTTCGCGCATCGATGTCTTGGCTCCTAAACCCTTGGAATCCAATGTCGTTCTCGACGTTCATCAGATTGCTTGTGGGGAACGACATGTTGCTCTTGTCACAAGGCAAGGGGAGGTCTTCACATGGGGAGAGGAATGTGGTGGGAGGCTTGGCCATGGACTCGAGAAGGATTTTAGCCGTCCTCGACTTGTTGAAGTTCTTGCAGTTACTAATGTCGAATTCGTGGCTTGTGGAGAGCATCACACATGTGCTGTAGCCGCATCAGGTGACTTGTTTACATGGGGAGATGGCAGCCACAACGCTGGACTTCTTGGCCATGGCAGCGATGTTAGCCACTGGATACCAAAAAGGGTATCTGGCGGTTTGGAAGGGCTCCAGGTTTTGTCCATTGCTTGTGGCACGTGGCATTCTGCTCTTGCAACTTCGAGTGGCAAGTTGTTCACTTTTGGAGATGGAGCTTTTGGTGTTCTTGGCCACGGAGATCAAGAAAGTGTTGCATATCCTAAAGAAGTACAGTTACTAAGTGGGTTAAGGACGATGAAAGTTGCTTGTGGTGTATGGCACACGGCAGCTATAGTTGAAGTTATGGGCCAAGCTGGTGCAACCATGTCGTCGAGAAAGTTGTTCACTTGGGGAGATGGCGATAAGTATCGATTAGGTCATGGAAACAAGGAAACATATCTTCTTCCCACCTGTGTTTCTTCCCTTATTGACTACAACTTCCACCAGTTAGCTTGTGGGCATACCATGACAGTGGCTCTCACTACCTCAGGCCATGTGTTCACCATGGGCAGCACCGCATATGGCCAGCTAGGCAACCCAAGCTCCGATGGGAAATCGCCATGTCTAGTTCAAGACAAACTGGTAGGCGAGTTCGTGGAAGAAATTTCATGTGGCGAATATCATGTTGCGGTGCTTACATCGAGAAGCGAAGTGTTCACTTGGGGCAAAGGTGCTAATGGAAGATTAGGCCATGGAGATATAGAAGATAGAAAATCTCCAACGTTGGTTGAAGCACTAAAAGACAAGCATGTGAAGAGTATATCATGTGGATCGAATTTCACTTCCAGCATATGTATTCATAAATGGGTTTCAGGGGCCGACCAGTCGATTTGTTCCGGTTGCAGGCAAGCATTTGGGTTCACTCGAAAGAGACATAACTGCTACAACTGTGGATTAGTGCACTGTCATTCTTGCAGCTCCAAAAAGGCAATGAGAGCTGCATTGGCACCAACGCCTGGGAAGCCACATCGAGTCTGCGATGCTTGCTACACAAAGCTTAAAGCTGCTGAAGCTGGTAACTCTTCTAACATGAACAGGAAATACACGAACCCTCGTCGATCAGTTGACATGAGTGTGAAAATGGATTTTGGTTTTCGCCCCTCAAAAGTTTTGCTATCTCCCACCACCGAGCCTGTGAAGTACTTGGAGGTCAAGCACGGAAAGCCTGGGATGAAATGTGATGATTCGTCTATAGTACGGGCATCCCAAGTTCCTGCACTTACACAGCTAAAAGATGTAGCCTTTCCGAGTTCGCTTAGTGCTATACAAACTGCATTGAAGCCTACTCCGGTTTCGGTAGCGTACCAGCCTCCCCCTGTGAGCATGCCTCAGCCTACAGCGACTAGCTCGAGACCTTCTTCGCCATACTCTAGGAGACCAAGCCCTCCTCGGTCTTCAGTTGGTGGAGTTTCTAGGAGTGTTATTGATAGTCTGAGGAAGACGAATGATATAATGAAACAAGACATGGCAAAGCTGCAAATTCAAGTATGTATTGAATTCATATATGTCTGGAAGCCTGGAACTTCTTTTTTTCTTATTGTAAGCAATGTTTTACTTATTTACAATGCCTTAATTTGGTTTCAGATAAAGAATTTGAAGCAGAAATGTGATGATCAAGACAAGGAGATACACCAGCTACAACAACAAGCTAAAGAAGCTACTTCATTTGCTTCGGTAGAATCTTCGAAGCTTAATGTTGCTAGGGAAGTCGTAACATCAATCACAAACCAGGTTAGATACAGCTCTAGTATAGTGCAAAATGTACTTTCAATTCGATCGAGTTTTGTGCTTTACTGTTTGTTGCCATTTTTGCTCAGTTGAAAGAAGTCAAAAACCAGTTGCCTCCTGATGTACAAGATACAGACACGTTGAAAGCCATTGATGCTCAAATAGAAGCTTTTCTAAGTGCAAACAAACCGTCTGCATTGCCATCAAGCTTGGAGTCTGGCGTGCAGAACAAATCAGTTGATGCATCTGAACCCAAGAAAGAAGGTGGATCCTCGCGTGATGGACACAATGCTGAAAGTGACACCAAGATAAAGTTGGAGACATCAAATTCTAGAAAGGATTGCCAGAGAGAGAGCATCGAGCAGTTTGAGCCAGGAGTTTATGTGACTTTTGTTCAGCGTCCAAATGGCATAAAGATCTTCAAACGAGTCCGATTCAGGTACAACTATACTACGAACTAATTTGTTTCATAAACTATTGATCAAAGTACTATGGTCTATTGGCTTAACATCACAGTTTCATTCATAGACTCCTCAACAGTATTCTGGTTCAGTTAATCGAACCAGGTTGATTTTGCCTCGTTTTTTCTAACAGTACTTTGAAATGGTGGCAATGTGTTGCAGTAAGAGAAAGTTTCAGGAGCAGCAGGCAGAAGTGTGGTGGCAGGAAAACAAAGAGCGGCTTCTCAAGAGGTATGTTCCTGCGAAATCAGGGTCTTCTTCCCATGCACCAGCAGCTACTACTTCATCACCAGCTCCAACTGAGGTACAACCACCAGGTAATCCACCACCTGCTGTGGAAACAAGCCAGGCAGAGACATCAGAGAATTAGGTAATCAAAACCATAGTTTTTTTTTATCGGACGCAAAAGCGCTCCCTAACCTGAAATCTTCTAATTTTCAACATATGGGAATATAGTATACTACATATACACCCACATAGTGTTGATGAACAATGAACACCTAGAACCCTGTTACTGCTGATCTCAAAATTTTGTTTCCTTTTGTTGAATTGTTTTCTTTTACCCCTGGAGATTAGTTCTAGGGTTAATTAGGATGTACTGGTACACCAACATGCTCCTGTGATGTGAAGGGAGAAAGTGCATTTGTGTACCAATGAATGAGAAATGCAAGGGAAAGAAGGAAGCATTCTGTTGATCCTACTGGATTTCATTTCAGTAATTTTGCAGCCATTTTTCTTTTCTTTTTAGTAAAAGCATTCAGTTTCAATGTAGTGGATATTAATTTCATGTTTTCCCACTAGATCAAAATAAGGAGTTGTTTGGAAGTGGATTCTGAAGTTAGGTTGTGCACAAGCATCCCTGTAATGGTGGATTCTCATAGAATTGGGGAGGGAAATTGAGGGTGTAATGAGGTGACTATTATTCATAGTATGTTACCATTAGTTTCAAACGTGATAATTTGGTGTTCGTCTCAAGTCATCGTAGTCATACCCTCGCTTTTAATTATAAGCTTATGGTGAGAGATTAACAAACTTTTCAAGTGAACTTACATTTGTTAGGATGTTCATTGAATAAATATGACACCTGCAGGCTGCAACCATGAATCCAATGACATGTTTCAATTTTATGGACGGTAACATTTTGGGATGTGAAACATAATTCTTATGGTGGATAGTAACACCTTCAAAGTGTGTTTGAAACCAAAATAATTGAGTGGTGATCATATCTACGGTTACTACATGAGTGTAGCATGAGTCAAATTCACTTCAAAGAAATGTACATCGAATGAAACGGAACTATAAATAGTCAATTCTTGTTTAAAAATGTTAACGGCAAGATGATAGTAAGATTTAGACAAAACAACGCATCTATTTTATGAGATGTTGGAGGAAACCAATATATTATCTAAACAAAAAATATATAAGGAAGATTTTACCATTAATCATTCCCCTCTTCAAGACAGAGATAGTCGCGAGTCGCGACTATCGTTTAATTTATGGATATGGAACAAATTAAAAGCAAAGCTTATTTGCACAACTGCATATAGGATGTGATCAATTAAGACCGTATGCAACATTAGTTAGAAGATAAAGGTACAGATTTACTGCTAACCCCGTGCTAACCCCGTCTTTCGCATTTCCTTTTTTCTTCTTCAATGCACTTGCCAGTTTAACGCTCTCTTCCATAACATTAGCATTGCTTCTGTCTCGATCCCATTGATCAGATTTGAAATCGTGCAATAAAGCTCAAAGAAGTATGGTGAAGTTTTAGATCCAAGATTGAGAGTGAGATGAGAAGAAGAGGTCGAGAGGGATGATGTTGGATTAGGAATGATGATTTGGAGTATGAGTAATAGGACAAGGGCGGGTTGGCTTGGATCTTGGTGGGTAATTAGGTTATGTGAGGTGGACTGACCTTGAGTTTGATAATATTGGAATATATAGCACCCTTGAAAAATAGTTTGCCCCCTCCTCCCACCTCCTCCCTGACCAAGAATCTTGGCTCCACCGACAATTCAGTTAACATAATGGATGATATAGCTAGACAGATATATAATTGGCAATGAGGCACACGATTTTTGAAGCATATGTCTGATGTGACAATTTCATCATCATGAGTCTCGCCCGATAAATTTTTATTGGCCAGTAAAACACTACATAAAAACAATATGGTAGAGTTCCTGTATTGGTGATAGTATACATATACAAAGAATGTAACAAAATTTTCAAATAATGTAAAAGAGAATAAACACGAGGGGTCATATGCCACTCAAACTAATCATGAATCATTGTAGGATGTCTATTTGTATCAACACTAGGGGACCTTTTATGGGTGATTATTTTATGAGGTGCCCGTATTTCCCCTATTCCGTACAAAATTACCAAAAAAAATTAGTCTATCATTATAAAGTGAGAATAAGCACATTATGAAAATAAACTAAAAATTACACCTTTTGATCTTAACAATGTTGTAATCTAACGAAGCTATGTGATGATACCATGATTCAAGTTATAATTGCATTATTTTTCTTCTTCTAGTCCTTGTGTTTCCTCTTTGTACTTTTTACTTCGGTTTTGACACAAATTTCAACTCCAAAAGATAAGGAGTTGGTGTGGAAGCAAGGATGGGACAAAAGAAAGGAATTCAAATATATGCTAATTTTAACTCTTTCAAAATGTTTTATACATCGCATCCACACATTTCCATTCTGAATCTTTTACCACCTCTCAATTTGACATCTCAAAGCCTCATTTGATCTGCTCCACCTCATTTCTCTCATCTGTGGACCAAAAAAAGAAAATGTTAATCCAACAATCAATGCATATAACTAGTTTTATTTGCTTTTACATTAGATAAGATATAATGGCTAATATCAATGTTGAAACTAGTCCATCTTACTTCGAATTACACAATCTTCAACTAGATTTGGATGGTGGAGTCTTGAGGGTATTGCTTCAATGCCATGTTGCATATGGATCCTAGAGAAATAGAGATGCATTATTGAAAAAAAATCTAATACTCAAAGAGCATTTAAAAGGCTGTAGATGCTTTTTACATAATTAGAACTGAAATCTAAATCTATTACCTGATTAATAGATTATAGCTCTTATTAAAAACTTTCATCTAGCGTGTAGGTTGTTCGTGAAGAGTTGATCCCGCATTCATGATCTTATGTTGCAAGTCATGGTGATTTGACAAACCATTATAAGGATCGAAAGTAGCAACTCCACCATCAGTGTTCCCTTTCCTCTTCAAATCATCATCATGATCATCATCATTGAAATTCAAATTCTGCAAAATGGCTGGGAGCTTAGTCCCTTCCTTTCCAAGCTTATCTCCTCCCATTTCCAAATCAAATTTCTCCTTGGATCCCCTTAACGTATTATGCTCATTCATGCTCACACTCCTCACTGAATCACTGGAGATCTCCTCAGGAGCCACCCACTCCCTGAAGTTCACCGCAGATGGTGGAATGTCCGACACAAACACTTCTTTGAAATTTTGTAGGCACCCTCTTCTGAACGGGTTCTCCTTCTTGTCATATCGATATCGAAAATTCTCATAAGTCGTCTGCATTATAGTTCCAGAGGTAACAACAACAAAAAAGAGAAACTATTTCACAATCTCTCAAATCAATTATAAAATCAGGACCCATAATCTTATCGTAAGGGTATGCAAAACGATATCCTACTTAAAGATTCATTTTTTTTAAATTACGATTGTATCATTTTGCATGCACCCGAAACATGAGGCTTACACTAAACTCACTTGGTTAGTGGAGATCAAGTAGAAGTGGAAAACAGTGAGTCCCCCAACAAACCAAACGGCAATGAAGCAATAGATTATCAAACTTAGGGAGATGATGTCGTTGGAAAGAACACTCCACAAGGGTCCTTGTTGGCGGATGATGTTGATCCATGAGAACACAAACACGTATAGACACAACATGGTCGATGATGATATGAAGCATATGAAAAATGGGTAGTTCCTCTGCAAAACAAAGACCAAAATTTAAGGATCAGAAGCCATATATTTTACCCGCGATCACGCGGTCCTGGTGAACATTCTCCCTGAAAACATCCTCGGGAAAATGTCCATCAGGACCGTACGAACATTTTCTCGAACCCCGCAAGGAGGGTATACTTACTTACCAATCCAATGCACTGGCCCACCCATGGGCAGTGATGGTCGAACTTTTGGACACAATTGTTGCATATGGAGCAATGGGAAGCCCTAGGGGGACGGTACAACAAGCAAGTGTCACAGAACTTCACTTTCACACTGTAACCATTCACAAACACATCTTTTGTCCTGGGGAGCTTGAAGTTTGATAGCCTGTTGTTCACCCATTCCATCGACGTCGAGGTCATGTCCATCGACTCGTCCATCTCCGGCGGGTGCGAGTTCCTTGGGATGATCCCTGGATCCCTGCTTGATGTCAGGAACAAGAATGCAAAGTCCTGTATTTATGGCCTAGCAAACCATCAGAAAAATTTTCCTTCCATTTTTCTACCTCAAGATGAAAGTGGTGGTGGATTTTTGGTTCAGCTACTGACCATAACTAGGAGGACCCATCCACCAACAAGTATAGGGTAGCTGAAAGCAGGGTCTGTGGCCATCATTAGCAACATCTTTATGCAGAATGTGATTGCTGGGCCTCCAATTAGGAATGATGTCAAGAACAGTGATGCAGCATCTGGGCCAAACACTAACCTCCCACCACATAAGAATTTCTGCAAGTTTGCATGAATGCATGGCAACAAACAAATAACATTCAAAAGTTTCAGAAATTGGCATTGCTTTTAGCTAGGGTTTATGTTTGTTTCTTCCTAGCAAGAAATTGTAGTGTTTTGATTAAGAAAAGTTCTTGCTAACCAATCCCATTCGATATTAGCATTCTCTTGCGTTCCTGATAATTTCTGATTTCTCATATGATATTCATTTTGTGGACGGCGCGTGAATATATATATTCAAACAAGAAAGGAGAAGATAATTCATATACTTACGTTGTTACCCTTCCATAGTTGATAAAGCCTGAACGTGTTAAGATTAGGAGGGGCCATTTAAGAAATACGGTGGTGGTGGTGGTGGTGCCCGGCTCAGAGGAAAGAGTTTCGGAAAAATTATGAATTTTCCGAAAGAAATTCTTGTAAAGAACTCCTTTTAAATTTGGAAAAGAACATTAATGAACAAAATTTTGCGCGCGCCAAAACAAGCTTCTTCTTCCATGTAGCACATTGACACCCACATGAAAGAAATCAAATCAAATCAAAACAAATTGTTTTGAAATGAGATCAACGATGGTGGGTGTTTTCCTCGCCATCACACCAATTGATTAACCTCTCTTCCTCTCTTTCCCCTCCCACTCCTCGTTTTATCTTTGGAGTTGAAGAAGAAGAAAAAAAAAAGAAGAAAAAAAAGAAGTAAAAAGCAAAACTTGATGAATAAAAGGAGAAAAGGTGGAAAAAATATTAGGAATAATAGTGGTAGTAATAATAATAACACAAATCCCAGTTTACAATCCAATGGGATTCCCAACCCATCCCAGAGTTTTCATATTACAAACAAATTTGTTTCTGCCTAACAACTTTTCTGGTTTCAGCCTAAGAATAGCTTATGTTTCCTCTTCTTTCATTTTTTGTGTGCTTTCATGAGCTAATAAATCAACCAAAATGTGAACATGAGAGAAACCCAAGCAATTTATTGGTAGAAGTGAGTTGATCTCCGTTTTCCCCTTAAAAACTTTTGAGAAGAAAGGAGGGAAAATGATTGTCATATTGTAATTTAATTGATCAATTGAATTTTCTAATCTAGCTAGTCCCTTGATTTATTTGAATACGATATTGGTTTTGTCCACAAAACAAAAAATGGTGGGGTTGGCCTCATTTGGACAAAAAATGTGTTCTATGTGATTGTATGTTGGATTGGGAGTTTAATATTAATCAAATTTTGGATAGTTTGGAGTTCATATTTGGTGTGATCATTAATAACAATTGTTTTTCTCTAATATTTCTTATGTATAGGCAATGCGAGCATAATCTCGCGCACAAAGCTAATTACGTGCATGAGTAATTACCTTGCTCATATCGATCAACCCAAAATATCAATCTAAACAACATTACATAAGACGATTTTTCCCATAACTGCGACTTGCGAGGGCCCAACTTATCATTCATCCTCATCTAGTCAATGTGAGTAATTCTTGCCTTGGCAATATCATTTAGGTTTTAACAATTACCATTGAATTCATATCCTTCCAACTCTACGGTTCTCTCTTTATGAGTTCACTCAATGATTCATTCTTCAGACTTCACCTTCTTCTGCAAGCCAGATGCCCTACTCATACTACACTTTTTGGTTCATTTCTTGTTTGCAATTAGTATTTGTCAACTTCCTTAGATGTCGCCCATGATTGACCTATCATTCAACATATCATGTCCATTGATTTCAAGTATTAATTTCAGGACTTGGATTCTAGTAGACAAGAAATGATTTGGATTTCAAGTATCCATGGAAGTAGCCGAAATGGCAACCAGAAACTGGCTAGTGTTGAACAAGTTGCAAAAAAAACTAATAAGTGAACATATGTACTGAACATAGCTACAGAGGACCATGACCAGCAGTGGCAGCAGCAGCAACAACAACAATGTACAGATTTGCAGCCAAGATCCCCCTAAATCAACACTCCTATTAGTCTTTACTGCTTCCCTCGATGTTTTCACTTCTAAAAGAGGAAGCCTTGAATCAGACCATCCAAGAGAGGAAACTGAACCAGGAAGTTAAGATCACTGGAACACAATGCCCTTTCATTCTTACTTGTTCAACTTCTCTTTCTCTGCAGTAGTAGTTCCCTTCGAAGGCGCAGTGGTCACCATTTTGAATATCCACCCAGCTAGCAGAGTTGCCTTGACTGGGGCGAGCCAGTAGACATACAAATGCTCCTTCGAGAGGTGAATCCCCCTGGCATAAGCCCATCCCATCACCTGCAGACAGTACGCAGACAAGCATTGTTCAGAACTCAAAACCAGCATTGTGTTATTTTGATTCGTAGCTTTCGTGAAGATGTTAAGCAGCAGTAAAAAAGCTTTACTTACCGAGGCAGGGTTCATACAGCCGCCAGTGAGGTCAGAGCCGAGTATATGAAGGGTGACTTTCATGACACTTGAGATCCAAGTCTTCATGAAGAAACTACCCGAAATCTTTCTCGATAGCACGAGAGAGATGGTTACTATGGAAAATGTCAATAGTCCTTCCGTGAGAGCACCATGGTGGATGTCCACTTGCAAGCGCGGGCCAAGTCCTATCTCAGGAAAGGTCTTGATCATGAACCTAACCCCAGAGATGGATCCAAACACCTAGCAAATAATAGAAGAGAAGCACACTATTGCAAAGTTAGAGTAATAGTTTGCATTTCTATGTTGAAAGATCAGAACTTTTGACATTATAGAAAACAAAAAGGAATCATAAAAATCAAACGTTCTACATGCAAACACACACGAAGAAGCTCTGTGTGGGGTGAGCATTCCATTCAAGTCTCCTTTCTTCCTATAAGCATTCCCCTATCTCTATATCCATTTATGTGTGTGTGTGTGTGGGGGGGAATAGCATTATGGAAACCAACATTAAATCAGCCAGCTCCATGAACCTTATTACGTGTAAAACCTATCTTTGATCAATATTGAACTCAGATCGATTCCCTAAGAGCAGCTCCATCTCCTACTATGTATACCTAAGTCATGCTGTAAGTTCAAGAACTTCATTGAAGAAAATTTCACAAGATTCACATCCTCAAGATGAAACGAGCAGTAACAAGACTGAAACTGCACCTATCGTGCTATCCTATGGCACTCCAGGCCTTCATTTTTCACCCAAGCAGTAAATTGGCACCTCAGCAACCGGTTGATCTTAGATTTCAGTTCATCAGCAATTCAGCATACACAGTGAATTCCTTTCCGTTAAGGCCCTTCGTTGGGGGACCAGTTACTATAACAACACTCCTTGTGTTGTTATAGTAACAACACTAGTCTCCAACCAATAGGAAGCTAGGGTTGTGATGACTTTTTATTAGATGAGTTGACCTAGTGTAAAATCAAAGCAGGGGTATAATTGTCATTATGAAAAATATGTTTAAATAATAAAAAATAAAAAAAATAAAAAAAAATATTTTTTTTATTTTTTCGGCCCAAAAATTTGGTCGCCGGAATTCTGTCACCGGTCGCCGGAAAATGGTCGCCGGTCACCGGAATATGCTTTTCGTCGCCGGAATATGCTATTTTGTCATCGGAATATGCTCACCGTCGCCGGAATATGCTTACCGGCGTCGGAATATGCTTACCGGCGTCGGAATCTAGTCATCGGAGCCGGAATATGCCTATCGGCGCCGGAATCTGGTAACTGACGGTCATCGGAGTTTGGTCAACGAACTTCGTTGACCGGTCAACGGTCTTCGTTGACCGGTCAACGGTCAATGACCACCGGATGTTATGGTATGCATTGTGAGATTTATGGTTTGGTTTCTCATATTTTTGTATGCCTTTTGTGGTTTGTTTTATCGTGTTTGTGGTTTGCATTAAGAAGTTTCTGGTTTGCTTTATCGTGTTTGTGGTTTGCATTGAGAAGTTTCTGGTTTGCTTTCAAAAACTTTGTGGTTTGCATTGAGGGGTTTGTGGTTTGTTTTAGGAGATTTGTGGTATGCATTAGGAGGTTTCTGGTTTGTTTTTGTGGTTTGCTTTAACGTGTTTGTGGTTTGCATTATGAGGTTTCTGATGTGTTTTTGAAAATTCTGTGGTTTGCTTTGTGAGATTTTTGGTTTGTTTTAATATATTTTTGGTCTGCATTAGGACGTTTTTGGTTTGTTTTTGTGGTTTGCTTTACGGTGTTTATGGTTTGCGTTATGAGTTTTCTGGTGTGTTTTTGAAAATTTTGTGGTTTGCTTTGTGAGGTTTCTGGTTTGTTTTAAGGGATTTGTGGCATGCATTGAGAGATTTCTGGTTTGTATTAGGAGGTTTCCGGTATGCTTTTTGGGGTTTGTATTAGGAGGTTTCTGATGTGCTTATAAAATATTTGTGGTTTGCTTTCTAACTTTTCTGGTTTGTTTTAGGTGATTTGTGGTCTGTATTGAGAAGTTTCTAACGTGCTTATGAAATGATAACTAACAAAAGAATGCAAAACTGTTACGAAGCTACAACCCCATTTAGAATCACAAACCACTAATTGTAACAAAGCTCTTCCACATTGAAGGACTCATAATTGAATAACTTACATCACAATCCAATCACAAGACTCCACCCAGCCATCTCACGAGCTTTACAACTTGGGATTATCTTTTTTGCAACATAAACAGACATCTCAAGTTCTCAACTTTGTTCTTGGAGATGACCACACAACCAAACTCATAACCAACTAAAGATCACCCAAAAAATATCACATGCAAGTCGACTACAAAATCAAACCATGCTCATGTCATATCTGATTCAGTTGACACGCCTGTACAAAGGGGCAATCCAACCTCTGTGGTCGAGTACACCAATTGAGGGGAGACTGGAAAGAATGACGTCGGGCTCGAGAATGCCGACGTGGAAGGAGAGGGAGAACAACAAGAGGAGAGAGCGGCGGAGGAGAGCGATCGCCGCCAAGATCTACTCCGGGCTCAGGATGTACGGGAACTACAAGCTCCCGAAGCACTGCGACAACAACGAAATCCTCAAAGCTCTCTGCAACGAAGCTGGATGGACCGTTGAAGAAGACGGAACCACTTACAGAAAGGTACGCTTAGTCGCTTACTAACTCTTCCGTATCTTCCTTCCTATCTCCCTCCTCCTAGCGCCAGCTCCTTCAATCATTAGCTTAATAATTCGGCTCCTCTAGTCAATTAATTTACTCCATTACTCATCCATCGATCCGCCGGCGACGGGAAAGGAAAGCTTTCGCCAGGAGATCGCCGGCCGGCTGTACGAATTGATGAGAAGACCGACGACGGAGGGGGTAGATCTGCGAATTATTTTATTTGTTAGACCGACGAGGAAGGAGATCGAGAGACGGTTGCAGGCTAAATATGGATTATTTTATTTGTTAGATATTGTGTTAATGGACCCTTTTACCCTTGTTGTTACTATAACAACAAATGAGGTGTTGTTATAGTATCCGCTCCCCTTCGTTGGCATGTACCTTTCGAGACAAAGTTCATCACCACCCAAACTACAATGCTACTGCAAACCCAAGGAGAGACCAGAGAGAAGCTGGCAATGGCCTATAGGGCAGCATTGTTAAGCAATACTCCACAAGGTTGGGTGAAAATGAAGTTATATTACGTAAAGGAATGTACTCTTTCAAGGAATGTCAAGCAAAATTCTACTTTCTTTAACCAGCCTAAAGATCTCATTGACATTGCAGCATATCTATAACCCTACAATCAAATTCCACAACCCAAATTTAACACACCCACTAAAGACACATTCCCGTTTAAAGAGAAAACCCCAATTCGCTATCCAATTCAACGGAATTGCAGCTAAATTCATCGACGAAATCGAAAAACAACAAAAAGACAGACCATAAACACTAAATTTCGAAACCACCCAACAAAAAAGACACAAGCTTTTTGTCACTTAACAAACCTGGGCAGGGATTCGAGCGCCAAAAACGAAGAGAAACCGGAGGAAATCCCCAGAAACAGCGTCGGACAAGACGTTGAGAGGATTGTAAGTCCCGCCTCTGCTGACTTGGCCCAACAAGGCGAAGAAGAACATGTTGGTAATCGAGCATGCGCACTTCACGATTTCGGACACCGGGTCGTGGGAACGCATCCCCAGAACATCGAACACGAACATCTTCAGCAACGGGCTCGAGCACACCCACATGAACGACATCGCGAAGTCCGCCACGAGCAACCGAGATTTCGACGGCCCGCCGGCGGCGACAGCGGCGGCGGGAGCCATGGTTGAATGTTTTTACAGAGGAATTGGGTGAAGACTATGAGAACCCAGGAAGTCAACAGAGATTCAAGATGAAGGAAGAAATAAAGAAAGAATCTTTTGCCTTTTTCATTCGACCATTCATCGACGGTCGAGAGGAAAATCGATTGGGCAACTTTTGTTCTTGTTTGTTTGTTACTTTGGTCTCCCGGGGATTTTTTTAAAGGTTTAATACATCTCTATAGCCATAACTTTCACGATTTTGACAATTATAGCCACTTTTCAAAAAATACACAAACATAGCCACAATTTTCAAACTACGTTGCCAACTTTAGCCATTTCCGTTACAAACTTTAACGTCGTTAAGTACATCGTCAGTTAAGTGGATGTTAAGTTGACGTGGATGCCACCGGAACGACACATCATCTCCAACTAGACACACGTGGATGCCACATCGTATTTTAAACAATAAAAATAAAATTCAAAAATTAAATAAGTATTATTTCAATAACTTTTACTTTTCTTTAATATTTCCTTCTCTCTTTTAGATCTTAGGCACTAGGCCTTCATCTTCTCAAGCAAAGGCTCCGAACGGCGGCCACAGTGCCGTCCCCACAGCACCTCCCAAGCCACAGCCTTCCTTTTGCAATTCCTCTCCCAATTCACCCTCTCCTTCCCTTCATCTCCCATTACCTAAAGAATTCTGCCGCTTCTTTACTCATTTTCACATAAAATGTAACAAAGTAGATCTGGAATTCTGGGTTTTTCGGGATGAAGCTTGAAATTAAGATCTGCGCTTTCTTTCATCAAGGCTTGAAAAGAAGAAACGATTTATAGCGGCCGGAGTTGGATGCAAACCTTCTGAGCTCTGCCAATGGAACCGGCAGGAGCAAGCTCTTGGCCCCCTCTTCTTCGCGTCGTCGGTCGAGGTCGAGCTCCGCCAACATCGAGCAGATCTTGCATTTCGTTATCATTCTAATTCCCTTTAGTCATGGTGGTCGACGGGAAGGATGTTTCCTCGTCGAACCCGTAGGTGACGCTGACTAGCTGCTCGACGGCGGTGATGCCAGAGGTCACCACATCCTGGTTACTGACAGGTGAAGGGACCGACGAAAACGCGGGCGAGGTAGTGGTAATGGTCGGCGGGCAAAGTGGGCGGCGAACCTAGGTGTAGCTCGCTTCTTCGTTCCTCCTTCTCCACTGTGTTTGTCGATTGAAAGAGACAAGGGTCTGGGTCTGAAAATCAGAATTGGAATGGAGGATAGGCGGAGGATTTGGGGAATTTTTATCCATGGTAGAGGGTTTTGCGAGAGATATGTCATTTTTAACTTTTATTTTTATTTTTATTTATTCATTAATTATAAAAAATATGGATGTTTTCCACCTGGCAAGGATGCAAAATAAAACACACCACATCAGCCGCTGCTGTTAGTCTAGTCAGCGGGTTAAGTGAACCGTTAAAGAATTGGTCGAAATTGGCTATATCTGTGTATTTTTTAAAAAGTGGCTATAATTGTCAAAATCGTGAAAGTTATGGCTATGCAGGTGAATTAAGTCTTTTTTAAACGACCACCAACGTGCTAAAGAACCATTTGGGCCGGTTGCTTTAATTAAAAAAATATATATATATATCAAATTAAAAAATGAAAATGAAAGGGGAGGCGGCTGAAAACGTAACCCTAATTGACTAATTCATTTCTTCCCCCTTCGTGCAGCAGCCATACACGAAGAAGAGCCTCGCACTCCGCAGTCGCCGTTCACCGTCGCGGGTCTACGTCGCCGTTCGCCATCGCTCGACGCCGTCACCGTTCGCCATCGCTCGACGTCGTCGCCGTTTGCCATCGCTCGACGCCATCGGCCGTCGCCATCCCTCGACGCCACTCCCCTGTTAGGGATGGCAAAAATATCCGTAACCGTGGATATCCACCCGAATCCGACCTAATCGGGTAGGGTAAAACCCGAACCCGAAGCATTTTTCGTGGGTACGGGTAAAACCCGAACCCGAATATTGCGGGTAATGGGTGGGCATGGTTATCTCACTATCCAACCCGAACCCGCCCGATTATACACATGCATATGTATTTTGTCTAGAAATAATCATTATGTTTCTCTAGAATATTTTATATTTAGCATATAAATATAATATTTTCATGAAGTTATGTTGTTTTAATTAATTTTCGTCATTCTAGTGAATTATTGTCGTACTTTTCCTCTTACGTAATGTGAGTATACGTGTGAATGTTAACATATTGGTTGGAATTATAAGGAGAAATTATTACCCATGGATAACCGTGGATACCCGAAACCCGAACGGGTATGGGCATGGTTTTGATTTTCTACCCGTTTCTCGTGTGGGTACGGGTATGGGTAAAACCCGAACTATATTGGGTAGGGTAACGGATATGCACTATCCGCGCCCAACCCGACCCATTGCCATCCCTATCCCCTGTCGCCTGTCGCCATCGTCGTCGGCGGTGGCGGCAGCTCGTTCCCCATTCCTGTCGGCGAGCGCAACGGCCAGCCGGTGAGGTCTCCGTTCTCCCTTGCAATCACCTTCTCCCACTGCTGCTGCCTCTCCCCTGCATCGACTCTCTCCCTCTCCCCTGCTGCCTCTCCCCTACATTGACTCTCTGCCTCTCCCCTGTTGCACAGATATTCTGCCTCTCCCCTGTTGCATCGAGCCATCGACTCTCCGCCTCTCCCTTGCTGCCCTCCCCTTCAATTTCTCGACGCATACACCCACCCAGGAGAACTTCTTGTGGTAAATTACTAAATTAATAAATTTACATGTGCTTTGACCTTAATTTGATAATTTCATATAAGCATAAAAGAAGTTTGTAATGGTTTGTTTGTGTTGCTGCCGTGACCCGTGAGGTTTCCTATTCCATTTAGCAATTTTTGTTTACTTGTTTACTTGATTGAGCTATTTAGAAGTTTCAGAATGGTAGTGTTAGATTTTCCATTGTAAATTTGTTGATTTGATCTTTATTTTGGAACAATGTGGTGGTTTGGAATTGAATTTTAGATCTTTCAGTACTGATGTTCTAGAATGGTTTAAGAGAGTAATTTACTTGTGGTTTACCATGATTAAGAAGTGTCTACTATTTATACATATGATTGTTTATTAGGTACCGGTTCTCAAACGGTTTTTAAACGGTCTAATGCCGGCTGGACCACTAATGACCGAGCCGTTCACGTTACCGGGTCATACTCCGGCTCGGCTTTGACAGCATTGCTATTTATCAATCAGCGACTCCGGGCTCCGATAATTGCTTCCTTTCCAACTCTTCGTCTTCTAGATTGTCTTTAGCTTCTCCCTCGTCGTTGGCGTCTTGTCCTCCGTCGCGCTGGCTGATTCTCCTTCGCCTTCCTCATTTTCAGCTGGGTTTTTCCGGGTAACCTTCGTAGCTTTGTACAGGATTTTTCTTTCTAGAATGAGTCCTACTCTGCTCGCAAAGAATGTGGCTTTGGTCATAAAGTACCAAAAGGATCCTCTGAAAGCTCTTGAAACTTTCAATTCTGTGAAGATAGAAGATGGGTTTAAGCACACATTGTCTACCTATAGGTGCATGATTGAGAAGCTAGGTATCCATGGTGAATTCCAGGCAATGGAGCAAGTGTTCATGGAGACTAGGATGAATGTCGATAATAACTTGCTGGAAGGGGTGTATGTAGGAGCCATGAGGAACTATGGGAAGAAAGGGAGAGTTCAGGAAGCAGTTGATGTGTTTGAGAGGATGGATTTCTACAACTGTGAGCCTTCGGTGTTATCGTATAACTCCATCATGAATATATTGGTTGACTATGGGCATCACGATCAAGTACATAAAGTCTACTTGAGGATGAGAGATAAAGGAATCTCTCCTGATGTTTACACTTTTACGATTAGGATAAAGTCCTTCTGCAAGACGGGAAGGCCTCATGCTGCTCTAAGGCTTCTGAACAACATGTCTTCTCAAGGGTGTGAAGTCAATGATGTTGCTTATTGTACTGTTGTTGGTGGGTTTTATGATGGGCATTATCTACTTGATGCATATGAATTGTTCAACCAGATGCTTGAATTGGGTATTTTTCCAGCCATTGCTACTTTTAATAAGCTCATGCATGTTCTTTGCAAGAAAGGGCAAGTCAAAGAAAGTGAAAAGCTGTTGAGCAAGGTGCTTAAGAAGGGTTTCTGTCCCAACTTGTATACAGTTAACATCTTCATCCAAGGGCTCTGTAGAGAAGGTGCAGTAAATAGGGCTGTCAGTATGTTGGAGAGCATGAACAAGGAAGGTCTAATTCCCGATGTTGTCACATATAACACTCTAATTTGTGGTTTGTGTAAAGGAAATAAAGTTGCACAAGCAGAGAGCTATCTGCATAAAATGGTGAATGAAGGGTTAGAGCCTGATGCCTTCACCTACAACTCAATAATTCATGGTTATTGCAAGATGGGGATGATGCCAAATGCTGACAAAATTCTTGGTGATGCAATCTTTAAAGGGTTTGTGCCTGATGAGTTTACTTATTGCGCCTTGATCACCGGTTTATGCCAGGATAATCTTGTGGATCGTGCTGTATCGGTTTTCAACGAGGCACAGGGGAAGGGCTTAAAGCCTAAGGTTATTCTGTACAATACACTAATTAAAGGGTTGTCCAAGCAAGGACTTCTTCTCCAAGCCTTGGAGTTGATGGGCGAGATGTTGGGAAAAGGTTGCATCCCAGATACATGGACTTACAATCTGCTCATAGATGGATTATGTAAGATGGGATGTGTCTCTGATGCCACTAACCTTCTGAATGATGCTATTGCAAATGGGTATATGCCAGATATTTTTATATTCAACACATTACTTGATGGATACTGCAAGCAGCTGAAAATGGAGAATGCTCTTGAGCTTCTGAATAGCATGTTGAGTCATGGTGTCTTGCCAGATGTGATCACGTACAACACTCTTTTGAATGGTCTATGCAAGGTTGCAAAGTCTGAAGATGTTATGGAAACATTCAAGATGATGTTGGAGAAAGGATGTGTTCCTAATCTGATCACTTACAGTATACTCGTAGAGAGCCTGTGCAAAGCTAGGAAAGTAAATGAGGCTCTGGACTTTCTAGAAGAAATAGGGAAGAAAGGTCTAGTTCTAGATACTGTCAGTTTCAGCACTGTCATTAATGGATTATGCAATATAAAGGATTTGGATAGAGCATACGATCTCTTCAAAAGAATGAAGCAAGAATACAACATTTTGTGGAGAACGTCGACATTCAATATCATGATAAATGGGTTTTCCGAAAAGTTGAATATCGAAATGGCAGAAAATCTTTTTCATCAGATGGGCAATGAAGAATGCTGCAGTCCAGATGATTACACATACCGTGTCTTGATTGATGGTTTCTGCAAAGTGTGGAGGATTGACTCTGCATACAAGTTTCTTATGGAAATGATTGACAAAGGTTTTGTTCCATCATTAACGACCTTTGGAAGAGTGATCAACTGTCTGTGTGTCCAAGATAAAGTCCCCGAGTCAGTTAGGATAGTCCATATGATGGTGAGAAATGGCATTGTTCCGGAGGTTGTGGATACAATTTTTGAGGCTGATAAAAGGGCAGTTGCAGCACCCAAGATTGTCGTTGAAGATTTGTTGAAGAAAGGTTGTATAACTTACTATGCCTATGAACTTCTGTATGATGGTGTCAGGGACAAACGGTTACAAAAGAAGAAACATTCCAGTCACCCTGTACATCGGCCTGGAAAGGTCTCTCATCATGTTGATAATGTATGAAGTTAGAGAGTTGCCGGAATGTAAATTACAAAGACCTAGTAAGTTGTTCATTCCTGTTCAAAGAGGCTGAATAGGAAGTACTATACTTCTGCCATGCTCATTCTTTATCCAAATTCTTACTGTTTCTTGAGGGAATTTTGGCATAATTTTGAAATATCATTCTTGCTTTGTTTGTTGTTACAGAAGAAATGGGGGACCAATGATGTCAGAAAATGTAAGTTTCTGTTATCTGATTATCCTTGTTGCCTATGTTTAATTTAGCTTGTTGCCTACTGATCCAGATCCTTACATTCTCATTATCCACATTTGCTGCATCTCTGATTAATAAGCATGCCGAATCAGATGTACAGTTATACTCTGACAGGCAGGTTGACACAAAGAGCAAACTAAGTGGCAGACAAGTTTTACGGCTAGCACCATGAAATGGAGTTTCCTCATGTTGAAGTAACAATGACGAACTCAAATCAGCAGGAACTGGCCATGCCCCCCTTCCAGAAGGAGGACACATTGGTATTTGGTACATTCCAATAATTAAAGTCTTTCAACTTATATTTTAGGCATGTCTCTGTTCAGGGCTCTTTAGTGCCTGCCTGCCTCTTTCATAGATCTTATTAATTTCTGCAACTTTTTTCTCTCATCTCAGGACCTTGGATTGTTGAGATACCAGGCCATCTTAAGCTGCCTGTTGGTGACTGTAACGAATGATGCTTGAGCACAAGTCTTTGGTAGTTAATTCTCTTCCTTCTTCAAAAGTACATTCATAACGAGTGTGACATGCTGAGGGAGATAAAAACAAAATCCGCATAATATATATATGTTTGCATATTATGTGCTGATTAAACCGTAGGTTGTTAAGTGTAAGCTGCCTGTTGGTGACTGTAATGGTGTGATGCTTGAGCACAAGTATTTGATAGTAAAATAAATTTATGTTGTCTGATCCCTGTGTTTAACTACAGCACAGGATTGATGCCATTGCCTGATCCTCTAGAGCCTGCTGGATTGCATCCAATCCTGCTACGCTGATGTAATTCTATATGAAGGTACAGATCGATTCAAATTCTTCTTTCAGCATTTCTATTTTTGAGCTATGTGCTGGTTTTTCCCTGCAGTGGTGGCTATGGCCGGTTTGGTAGTGGTGGTGGTGGTTCGAGTAGCTACGGTTCTGGAGGACGTGGTGGAGGCTATGGTGGTCGACAAGGAGGCAGCAGCGGTGGTGGACGGTTCCAATCTCAGCCAGGCGGCTATGGTGGTTCGAGTCAAGGTCGTAGCAGCGGTGGCTCGTTCAGTGACTTTGGCAAGTCGGACCGAGGTGGTGGCTCGTTCAGCGACTTCAGCTCAGGCCGTTCCAGTGGGTTCGGAGACTCTGGCTCGAAGCGTTCCAGCTCGTTTGGAGGCGGGGGTCGATTTGGGGGATTCGGAGACAGCGGGGATGACAAGGGCTTTGGAGGAGGAAGACGGTAGGCGGATTTAATCATTCATGGAAGCCGGCGGGGGGCAGCAGAGGTTTCTTTCATGTGGCTTTTTCGTTCTTCAATATCTATATTTAGCTTGACTCACTCACTCTGTGTAATGTAACCATAACTATTTTTGGGTCTCTGATGAAAGAATAGATTAAGGGAGTTTTATGAATTAATGTTGCAATTAAAGCGCTCACATTTTATTTGGCATAAGATTTGTCCTTTTCCTGGCAAGCTAATGCCGAATGCTTTGATAAGTGTCAATAAGGAATTACATAATAGAGTAGTATATACATGTGTTCCAAGCAGGGCGATTCATTGGGAGGATTCATTGTTTACAGACTATCTGAATTTGATTAAGTTGTTGGTAATTAATTGCTCATGTATTAAACATGTGTATGTGATTTATTAAAGGAAAGGGGCACGCTGGAGAATCATCAAGGCATAAGGGTTTAGCAGAGTAATCGAGTAGTGAGTAAATTCTAACCTAATGTTTATCTTAATATGATTATGGTATTTCGGGTCATGGAGCGGCCTGAGTACGTCGTGTATGATGGTTTGGTAAGCTTTAAACTAATTGTGATTGAGTATCGATATGTGGTATGGTTACATGATTGAATGATTGATTTAATTATCCTATGGTTGGATGAGGTTACCATAGCATGGTAAATTGGTAATTATATGATAATGTGATGATATGATAAAATGATTGTATGATGGTATCTCCAGAAGGTCATAATACATGTTGTTATGTGTGTGCTAAACGATATTATGTGATGAGTATATATGATATGTGAAATGTCATTTGAGGCGGTCAAGTGGAAAGAATGGCAAGAAAGGTTGCATTTTGCCAATTATACGAGATGAGATAAAATGGCCTATGAGTCATGCAAGTGAATGTGATATGAAATGGCCTTGGGTCACACAAGTATTATGTTTAGTTGTGACTAACTATAAGAATTACATGGTCACCTAAAGCAAACGTAATGGCGCCCTGTCATGCACTCATTATAAGTGAAAAGAGGCTTCAAGCCTAAGAGATAAAAGAGTTATACGATAACTCCTTTTCAGGAGTAATGTCAGGCCTGGCTAAGAGTTTATGAGATATGACACTCTGTGCCCACGAGTTTACGAGATCTGGCACTTTGTGCCTACGAGATTACGAGTTCACGAGATCCCGGGGAGTGCATGACTTGGCAAATTAAAGAATAAAAGCTACTGAATCCAGCTAACTATATGTATGCACTTGTGTGATTGGATGTTGATTCATGGGTGATTTTGGATGCAACATGAGTACTTAAATGTCAATCTTAGTATTTGTCATCTTTGTGTGATATGTGATTGAGATGGCAATCTTAGTATTTGCCATATTTGATATATAGAAGGTGAACCCCCTATACGGTATATGAAATATGTGAAGGTCGATGTGTTTTATATGTGATATCAGGTGACATGGTGAGTTATATTTTGTGATAATCTCCTATGACGAGTGGTACAACGATTAATCAGGAAACTATTTTATAAGCAGTGATGATATGTTCATTTGATTATGATACTACCATGAGATGTTGACGTGCATAATGTTATGAGTCTACAATACCTCTCATGATGCGGTGTTGGTAGGAGTATAAAGATATAATGAAATGATGAAAATTTTGTATGGTGTATGAGAATAAATATGAACTATTTAAGTCATTTTAATATAATGATATAATGTTATGAGTCCCATCCCGACGGGGTTACTGACTGGTAACTCACAAGGAGGAGGAAGGTTATTTAAGTCATTTTAATATATGTTAGGGCGACAAATAAAGAGTTTTAGGGCGACGAATAGCAATGCTCATATTAAAATGACTTAAATAACCTTCCTCCTCCTTGTGCTAAAATGGTCATCCAACTAATCGGTTTGCGACCAAAGACCATTTATTTTGTCTTGTTAGTTAAATTTAGTAAACACATCATATATATACTTCGATATTGCCGCGAAGTCGTCTATTAAGTACCTAGTGAACCTACGATTACAAGTAATCGTGTCAACCCCTTGCCAATTCAGGAAAGGATGGATCTCGCATTTGTGGGTTTGTTTATGATGGTTTGCTAACGATTCTAACATGAACGACAAACAAAAAATGTTTTTGAATATGTCTAACTAATTCCACATTATTCAATCTTTTGACTGCATATGTATATTCAATTACCAAAAAAATGGTGTTAAGCTAAAAACACAAATAAGAATTAATAAAAAAAAAAGATAATCACAACCTTTTATTTTCCAGACATCAACATCACGCATGAGTTGCAGAATTATGAAGACCATGTACGCAATTCCATTTAATTTTAACCTACGTTTGGTAGACCTTAAAATGTGACAAAGTGTCGATCAAAAAGTAGGACAATATGCATAAACTTTATCAAACATGGATCACATAATTCAACCATAATTAAATCATAACAATTACTAAATTTGGTTGATAAACCGCAACCAATTCCGATTGGCTTCAGGAAAAACCCTACACTCCCCTAATCACACACGGAGAAAGAAACAGTCAGCACCCAATACTCCGTGAAGCAAGCGGCCAAATATACACTGTAATATATATATATCGATCTCCCTCTCGCAATTTAATTTCTTCTGTTAATTTGCTCAATCATCGCCATGAGTCCAATGGGAAACACCCATCCCAGATCCGGCCACCACAGCCGCCGCGGCGGCAGCAGACGTCTGTCCGACTACGACGGCGACGGCGAAGGCCAGTGGCTACTTAAATCGCCGCTGTTGGACCAGGCGTCAGATAAAAAGCCCGGCGGGCCCCCTCCCTCACACAAGCCCGGCCCATTGACGCTGACGGCGAATGAAGGCCCAACGGGCCCGCCTGTTCGTCCGCCGTGGGCTCCCGCCGCCGGCTACGACCCCATCCCCGCGCATCAGATCGTTAGCCAGTTGAAGCTCAGAGTCTCCATCCTCGAATTCGTGAGTTTCCTTTTTTTTTTTCTCTCCATAAATCGTCAAAAAATTCCAAACAATGCATTTAGATCAAGAAATTAATATAATGTCAAAATTTTTATAAAGAAATTTATTAGGGTGAAAATTTACTTGATTAGTATGTCGATGCATTTTAGACATTTCGTGTTGTAGAATATCGTACATTCTTTGGTATTCGATGCACTCCGTGTCGTAATGATAATTTTGTAGATAATATTTTTGCGTACATTCAAATTTATAATATATATAACGAGTGATTCATCGACTTTTTAATGTGACGGTGATTGTGTTTTCTATATACGTATAGTTGTTGAAGAAGCAAACGGTGGAGATGGAAGAGATGAAGCTAAAGAACGCCGGAGTCAACAGCAAAGTCACGGAGCTCGCCGCCAAAATCGACGACGTGATTTTATTAGCTAGAAACAACGACAAGGACCTGCCTCCGCCGACATCGTCCGCCGCCGTCGACGTTCCTAATCTGATAGACATGAACGACGACGAGAATTACCTGCCGCCGCCGCAGCCATCATCGGCCACCGTCGACGTTCCAAATCTGTTAGACATGAACGACATGAAGCTGCCGCCGTCGTCCGTCACCGTCGACGTTCCTGACTGCGATTCCGTTCCTGATTGGCAACTCGTGCTGAAGAGTGTCATGCGTAATCCTACTTTGGTAAGGATTGATGGGATGTCGGATTGGAACATTTTGCTCGTGTTTTTTCTTGTGTTCATGGTCATAGGTCTTCTCCTGTAAATCCCCCAATTTTTTTCTCTCGTCAGCAATTTTGTTCGTGTTCAAACTGTAGTTAAATTGTAATTAAAGTAGTAAAACCAGGAGGAAGCTAATTAAGAGTATCATAGTTAGGAGTTAGTCTCTTTTATATGTCAACTGTCAAGTGATTTTTAATTGTGAATTCAATGTTGATAGATCTTTCATTTGTGGACATAACGAAATGAAGTGTTTGCGATATGTTTTTGTTGTTTTGCTTAATTGAAGTTAGTACAATCGATTGCCGTGTATTACTGCTAATTAAGGATGACGCGATTTCGATATGATTCGTCATATCTTATATACCTAACCTGTTATCAAAAGTACAAAACACTCCGTATAAAACAAACTCGTAAGACAAACACGAGATACTCATCTGACCGGCTCCATTGTTGTTACGTACTCCCGCCAAGTCCTTATCTATAATAGCCTAGCTAGATATGGATGGCTCGAGAAAAGTTGATAGGACAAGTTGCATGACAAAGACAAAAAAAAAAAGAGTACAAAACGTAACGGGAATCTGTTTATCCTTTGGAGTAAAGGGTTGGCATGCTGCATCACCCAAAAGCAACACATGTTGTTAATTTCACGTAAACACATCAAATAAGAATTATCCATTTCCTGTCTTTTTTCCTCACTGTTCATTATGTCCCTAGCTCCAACTTGCACATCCAAAGAAGCTTTTCCCCTAAAAACCCTACTTGTTATTGTGTCCTTTTAGGCACTGTTTGTTAAGTTCGTTCGTCGTTGGTGTGTCCGACAGCACGTTATTTGTAATCTCAGTCATATTATTAAGTTATTTCACCATCGATAACAATGAAACGGAGACATCCGATAAGATTAAATATACCTATTTTGTACGGAAATGCGAGTAAACATATTGGGCCGTAGTCTCCGGCCCATCACAATGGGCCCTCAGCGAAAGAGAATATTTGGTGCCATAGTTTTCGGCCCAATAAAAGCAAATGAAATGGATAGAGATTAACGAAGTAGATTCCAGATGGCAGAGATTAAATGGATAAGGATATACCAACTCCAAAATTAATATAAATAAATAAATAAAAATTCATATCCAGTAGGACTCGGTGGGTTAACTTGCAATCCACTGCCCGGGAGCCACGGCATCAGCGAGTCCCAATTGACGTGAAAGCCAGCCCAAAACCAACTCCCCGGGCCCATGGGCCCCACAATAAAAAGAGAAGTCTCCACCTCACGCGCCGATTTCTTGCGGTGCCGTGAAAGCCTCCACCAAAAGCCCAAAACCCGCCACTCCACGCGCCGCTTTTCTGCGCTGCACATCTCTTTCTTGATTGACACAAAATGACAAATATATATATAAGCATTGATAATTCCTCAACTTCTTCCATTTCCAACCAGCTCCACCATTCGCCACATTTCCCCCAAACACTTCCCCTCTCTCGCTCTGCGTCCTCAGCCGTCGCCGATCACTTCCTTTCCTTTCTCCGGTAACCTACCGATCTGATTCCTTGCTTCCTCCTCTCGCCAATTCCTTGCTTCCTTCTTCTCGCACCAATTTATTTACTTTGTGTTTGAATTGGTCAAACTTTGACTTATTAGCTCACTCTGGTTGGATAACGGCAGCTCGGCGGCGTCGTCGTCATCATTATCATCGATCAGCAATCGGATGAAGTGATGGGGGATTCGAAGAAGCTCTCTCCGATGGCTGCCCCTACTGCTTCTACAACTACTACTACTTCATCTTCCCGCCGTTCTTCTTGTAATTATTACTTGCTATGCTGCTTCATTGCGGCGGCCGCGGCAGTTTGCTTGATCACACCGGCTCTGACCACCGGCGTCGACGCGAATTCGCTCGACGCTAACGTCACCGCGAAGCTGTCCGTCGACGCTTCCGTCCGCCGGCCTATTCCCAGCACTCTCTTCGGGATTTTCTTTGAGGTTTGGCTGGCTATGTCCCTTGGCTTTCCCCCCTTCTTTTTCCACTCTTTCAAGCTTTCAGTAATCCAGTTTAGCGTATGGAGATCAGGGCGATGAACTTTATTAGGCGATCTTTCTTTTCATGCTTGCAGGAGATTAATCATGCTGGAGCTGGTGGGTTATGGGCAGAACTTGTGAGCAACCGAGGTAACTGCCAGATTGTTACTTTGCTGTGCCCTTTTACACTGAACTAACTGAACTTTCGGCTCTGGGTGTGGAAAACGTACATGACGATCCTTTTTTCTCTTAATCACTCAGCAATTACCGGTTAATTATATGCATTAGTCTTCTGTTTGTTTAAAGATTGTCCTTGTTGGATTTAATAAGCTTCCCTTATGTGTACATCATTGATGTCAGTTGCATGGGTTACTAATTGATGCTATATTTCTAAAGTACCATCTTTGGAACATTATTTAGAAGCTAGGCCATGGTTATGTAACCGTTTAACTTTGCAGATTAAACTGCCACATATGGTAAGCCTTGCAGATTATTTGATCAATCTTCTTTCTTTTCCCATTTGTCTTTTTTTTCTTCCAGGATTTGAGGCTGGGGGTCCTAACACTCCTTCGAATATAGATCCGTGGTTGGTGATTGGTGATGCATCGTCTGTAGTTTTATCTACAGACCGGTCATCGCCCTTCGAGCGAAATAAGGTTGCTCTTCGAATGGATGTACTCTGTGACGTGAAGAGTTGTCCATCTGGAGGAGTTGGGGTGTACAACCCTGGATTCTGGGGCATGGTGAGAATTGCATGATGCTCTTATCTTTTTGGTTGCGTTCATGCAATATACATGGTAGTGGTAGAGATCTTGCAGAAAAGAACATCTCAATATTATGTCCTTTTTTCCCCCCTAATAGCTATTAGTCACTGTACATTTTAGTTTTAATGGGAGGGTGGTAAGATTACTGTTTGCATACCTTGGTCTGCAGAGTTCTTAATTCTCCAGGTTGACCAATGGTAATTTTTTATTTGCTGCAGAATATAGAAGAGGGAAAGAAATACAAACTGGTTCTTTATGTTCGCTCATCGGATTCTATTGATGTGACTGTGTCATTGACGGGATCAAATGGGGCACGGACATTGGCTACTACCAACATCAAGTGAGAACTTGTGTTCATTTTTTTTTTTTTTTTGTCTGTGTACAATGGTAATCTGAGGGTTTTTTTTATCTGTGGATTGGTGATTATAATTTGGATACATTTCTTTCAGAGGGTCTGCTTCAGATGTTTCAGACTGGACAAAGGTGGAGGCCCTCCTGGAAGCCAAGGATTCTGATCATGGTGCAAGACTTGAATTACGAACTTCCAAAAAGGGGGTGATTTGGTTTGACCAAGTGTCATTGATGCCTGAAGATACCTACAAGGTACTCTTCTTGATCTTCTGTTTCTTAGACATCTCTGTGCAGTGTATGAACTTCCATTCTCTTAAAATGCTTTTACTGGGGGCTTTATTCATATGTCTGACTTTTGACGTGCTAAACTTGTTGCAGGGGCATGGTTTTCGGTCTGAGCTTGTTGAAATGCTTAAAGAGATAAAACCTCGATTTATCAGATTCCCAGGTTTGCAAAAAATCTGAAAACTCATAACTGAGTGTACCTCTTAATATCAAGGTCACAATCTGAGCTATCTAGCACGTGCACTTCGAGTTTAGTTTTTTTTTTCTTGGATGTGACTCCTACAGTGAAAATGAAATTTAACTTCTCTTCAAGTTTATGTCTTCTCATCGCACCTTCGTTCGCTTAACTGTCATCATAGTCTCCTAAATGCTCAGAGGCTGATTTCTGAATATTGTACCTCAACTGTATGTCTAGGCGGCTGTTTTGTGGAAGGCGAATGGTTAAGGAATGCATTTCGCTGGAAAGAATCAGTTGGTCCATGGGAGGAGAGACCTGGTCACTTTGGTGATGTTTGGATGTATTGGACTGATGATGGACTCGGTCACTATGAGTTTTTTCAAGTAGGTCTTGTGCTCGTGTTGACTTGTACAAAATTATTACATGAATCTTATGCTAAACTAGCTCATTTCAAACTTGACATAACTTGATGACTTACTTGGACAGCTAGCTGAAGATCTGGATACAGTGCCCATATGGGTGTTTAATAATGGTATGTTTGCATATCCTCAAGATTTTCATTTCTTATCCTGTTGAGTCGAGTCTTCGTGGTTGATCAAATTCTCTGTCCTGCGATGGATACTTGAAAATTTGCAGGTATTAGCCACCAAGATCAAGTTGATACTTCAAGCGTCTTACCTTTTGTGCAAGTACGTCGTCTAGTAAACAGTTCAAACATTGCAGCCATAAAATGGAAACAAACTTGCTAACTAACTTCATCTCAATTTCAGGAAGCCCTGGATGGTATCGAGTTTGCTAGAGGTGATGCCAGTTCTAAATGGGGCTCTCTGCGAGCTTCCATGGGACACCCTGAACCATTTAAATTGAAATATGTTGCCGTTGGGAATGAGGATTGTGGAAAGAAGAACTACCGAGGTTTGTGGTTCTGTAAAACTTTCTGCACCTAAAATAACATAGACTTTCCAGGACGAACCTGTATAAATTTTACAGGAGCTCAATACTAATGTATTATTTTTACCAGGAAATTACCTCAAGTTCTATGAAGCTATAAAACGAGTGTATCCTGACATCCAGATTATCTCAAACTGTGATGGCTCTTCTCGTGCGTTGGACCATCCAGCAGATTATTATGATTTTCATGTAAGCATATGCCATCTCATCTCACTTCACTTGTCCGTGGAATTGAAAGTTGTTCCTAGTTTTATGTGATATGCTTGATGTTCTCTGACACAAATTAACAATTTCGTTTCTATTTTATCAGGTGTATACATCTGCTAGCAATCTGTTTTCTATGTCCCACCAATTTGATCGTACATCACGCAGTGGTCCAAAGGTCTGTTGATATAGTTCCCCAACCTTTAAAAAATTCGATAACTTACTATTTTAGATACAAAACCGAATGACTAACTAATTTTTCAGGCTTTTGTAAGTGAATATGCTGTGACTGGAAAAGATGCCGGCACAGGAAGTCTCTTAGCTGCACTTGGTGAAGCTGCATTCCTCATTGGTGTGGAGAAAAACAGGTACGATAACTGTACACTCCCTTAGGCCCTGATGCTTATGGTTCCATAATCTTGATGGTGAATCTTTGGCTTCAGTGATATCGTTGAGATGGCTAGCTATGCACCACTATTTGTGAACACCAACGACAGACGGTATGCTAAACGTTCACGATTTGGCTCTTTTAACCACGACGTAGATACTGTTTCTTCTGTGGTTAAATTGACAGTTGCAAGTGTTATCGTTTTAATGAAGGTGGAACCCGGATGCAATCGTTTTCAATGCTTCGATGGCATACGGAACTCCTAGCTACTGGATGCAGCGGTTCTTTGCAGAGTCAAGTGGGGGATCCCTAGTCAATTCTACACTTCAAACAAGTTCCTCCAGCTCCCTTGTTGCATCTGCAATTACTTATCAAGACTCCAAGGACCAAAACACTTACCTGAGAATAAAGGTCTTAGAAGATAAAAACAAACTACTCTTGCAGTTTCTTATATTCAGCCCTCACAATATTCGACCATACAAAATTGCTAATGCTACGTTTTCTATCCAATTCACTTTTAGGTTGTCAACTTCGCTAGCAGCAAGGTGAATCTCAAGATCACGGTGAGCGGATTGGGGGCCAACACAGTGGGGTTATCAGGATCTACAAAGACCGAACTCACATCTGCGAATGTAATGGATGAGAACTCCTTCCAGCAACCAAATAAGGTTAGAATAGATCATGGAAAACCCATTCTTACTCTTCCGAATAAACTCCAAACTCGCAGTTTCTCTAGTCCAGCTGCAGAGCCTAATTCTACTTCACATATTTCTCTACATTTGCAGGTGGCACCGGCTCAAAGTATGCTGCAGAACGCTGGAAAGGACATGGATGTGCTGATCTCTCCCAATTCCATAACCTCATTTGATTTATTAATCGAATCGAATTCGATTCGGACCCGAAAATCCGGTCCATTGGTATCCGTCATGTAAATTAACACCACACACACATACACCACACCCCCAAAACCTATTACCAGTTACCAATTTTATAAACCGACCCATGAATAACACTCTTGTAGTACTTGCCATTTCATTGTACACCATGATTACGCACTGTCGAATAAAACGATTGCATATCTAGCTTCTACACTTTCGAAAGGATGAACACATTTGAGATGAGAAATCACATTGCAAAATACTGGTAAAAACAAGTAAACCGAACAGAATACTTCTTGATTAGATTAACAAAATCAGTCATTCATCATTGGTCATATATATATATATGGTCAAAATATACAGAGCAGGGTACTTCAGAGCTGGATGCTAATCAGAGAGCTTTCAATCTTAGTGTCAAATCAAGAGCAGGGTGTAGTTGTTGCTCTTCTTCATGAGTGAGAGTGCTGCCATTGCTGCTGCTGTCCATTGAACTTCCAAGCTCGACCCTTCCCATGGCTGCTGGTGGGGCTTCTTTCTCCACTACCTGCATCTTCTCATCATAATCACCATTTCTAAGCCTCCCAACTTTCTTCTCGGCAACTCTTCTTCCCGTGTTGGCGGTGATGAGTACCAAACACAGCTCCCCTGTGTCTGCAGTTCTGAAGCACCACAACTCAATCCAGTCATCATCCTTGATATTCAGCCTTCTCTGCTCTTTGAGTACCCATTTCCAGCCGCCGCCGGTTACCACGAAAACTTTGCCACTCCCATTCTTCCATATGGCCAGGCAAGACCTTTCGGCAGGGGAGGCGATCTCAAGATCTGGGTCCAAGAAAAACCCCAACTTGATCTTCCTGGTCATCCTCAGTTCCGACCATTCTTGATTTGTCAGAAGTTCGATCAGCTCGCGGTTCTTCTTCCTGGGGATGGCCAGACGGCTGTGATGTGGGTTGAGATCCGTTGTCGTCAATTTCTTCCTAATCACCAGAGTAAACGTGCTCCCCAAGGAACAGACGCCTTCCCCGCCGACTGCTTCCGAAATCCTAGTTTTCAGGTTCAAGGGAAATCCATCCTGCTGGGCAGCGAAACCGACCGGAACAGCGGCTGGCCCGCAAACAGTCGCCGAAACCCTAGCTTTCGAACTCAGGGAAAAGCCTCCCTGCTTAGCAGCGCAGCCCACCGGAACCAACGCAAGGGCCGAGGAAGTGACGGTGGCGAGAGGAATCGCGGCTTCCAATGGCTGCTCCGGAAGCGGAAGTGAAACAGGGGCGACGGCGGCCGGCGGTGGAGGAAAAACAGAGACTTCGACTTCGGCGGGTTGTTGCACGGGAAGTGGTTGGTGGTGCTTGATTACCAGCTTGATCGGAGATTTCCTTCTAGGGTTCTGGAGGAGAAGAGAGTGGTGGGTTTGAAGCAACAGGGACTTGCGTTTCTTGACGGTCAAGAAACAGGTACGCGGGTCGGAGTGTCCGCAACCGCAGAGCTCCTCGCAATCGGCGACTGCCCTTGCGATGTCCGCCAGAAACTCCAAGCCGGAAGGGTTTCCTCCGGCTCTAATGCCGCCTGATCGGCGGCCATAGGTTCGGCCGGCGACGCTCTCCGTCATCTTTTTTTTTCCTCTCTCTCTCGGGAAAACCAGAGAACAGAGGTGAAGAGAAACTGCGCAAAATGAGAAAACACTAAGAAGGGAGAAATTGCGATAACTTCGGTACGGGCTGGGAGAGTCAGGAAAGGATTAGGGTTCCCGTGAATTATTATTATAATGTTAAAAAGGAATTGGAGACCGAACCCAATTGGAAAAAGGAATAGTAATCCAATTGGAGTAAGGATTGGAGGAACTAGCCGTTGGATCGCCTCTCCCGGGTGGAAATGCCCGCGAAGCGAAGAACACTTCCCGCTACGCTATTACGATGACGTTTTGTCCCAGCTGACACTGGTTAATAACTTAAATGGTCACTGAACTATGGTATATGTACCAAAATAATCATTAAGCTTTGAAATATATCAAAGTAATCCCTTAAACTCTATCTAATTTTCGGCTAAGTGGATCTAACCAGCATGACATTGACAACAAGGTGTGCTACATCACAACATTATTGGCCTCTATCACCTCCTTATCCAATTCATACCCAGCCACTTATGATGAAGATAAGATGCTTAAGAGGTAGAAAGGAGAGCTAGATAGAAGAGTTGGTAAACACAAAATTAGGGATGAAATCAATATCCATAACTATGGATACTCGTTTGAATTCGATTTGATTGGGTTGGGAAAGAGTCGAACGACATGAAATATTTGTGGTTATGGATAAAATTCGATCTCGCCAATCACGAGGAACAAACGAGTATGGTCCTTTCACTATCCAACTCGGACTGCTTGTCAATTTTTCGCTTAACATATTTGATATTCGTACTACACATATAATTTCTCGTGAATTAGTATTGTTTTTTTTTTATTATCTCTCTTCGTATTGATGATTTGTTATTTGTAATTTTTTCTATGTATACCCTCGCAATCTCCGCCAATTCTGCGCTCCTCTCCACCCACTGCCCGTATTCATCCTGTAAACGTCTTATTTCCTTACGCCTTCGACGCCAGTTCACCATAGCATGGAAAAATATTAATATGATCGTATAGGCAATGCATTATTTCAGATGATAAAGAGAATTCTATTATTCATGATTGGATACAAACGTAGTTTTATTTACTACTCGAATCTTGTATATATGTGGGTATTGATAACATAAAACTCGAACTAGTTTTATATGGTTCGAATGTGAGAGCGGTGAGATTCGAACTAGTTGGAATAGGATCATATATCCATCATTTTTTCATGACTGGACCTATTGCTAACGCTAGACAAAAAAAAATAACACTCATACATATACTTTTTGCATCATCAGATTAGTTGTTACCTATGTTAACTATTCTGTCAACAGTTGGGGTGGTGGCGCAGTTGGTTAGCGCGTAGGTCTCATAGCAATAGAGTGATCCTGAGGTCGAGAGTTCGAGCCTCTCTCACCCCAATATTTTTTGCCACCAATAAAAACTTGTTTGTAATGTTTGAAGAAATGTCTTGTTTGTAATGTTTGAAGAATATGAAAACATAACTGTGGTTTTTTAGTGAGTCTTGTTTGTAATGGTTGAAGAATATGAAAACACAACTGTGATTTTTTACCACCAATAAAAACTTGTTTGTAATGTTTGAAGAAATGTCTTGTTTGTAATGTTTGAAGAATATGAAAACATAACTGTGGTTTTTTAGTGAGTCTTGTTTGTAATGGTTGAAGAATATGAAAACACAACTGTGATTTTTTAGTGAGTTAAGTAAACTACCTTGTATTAATAAAATGTATTCGAAATTGAAAGACATAGTTAGATATATCTTCTCTTTAATATAATTACGTGATTTTTTAGTGAGTTAAGTAAACTACCTTGTATTAATAAAATGTATTCGAAATTGAAAGACATAGTTAAAATTTTCTTCTCTTCAATGTAATTACGGATAAGTCTGCGCACTGTCCCTACGTTATTGCCGCCACCCAGCAAACGAAAGCGTATCATTTTGTGGATGATGTCATTTATTATCCCTTCCCCGGAACACAACCTGTTTAAAATGACATAAGCCCCGACACTGGAAAAACACAGAGTGATTTTGTGGATGTAATTACGGATAAGCCTGCGCACTGTCCCCACGTCACTGCCACCGCTTAACAATCCAAAAGCATATCACTTTGCGGACGTCATCTGTTATCCATCCCCGGAAATTCAACCCGTCTAAAAATGACATATAAGGCCCGACACCGAAAACACGGCCCGTGATTATGTGGTAAAATTAAGTAAACTACCTCATATTAGTAAAAATGTATCTGAAATCGAAAATCCATCCTTTGTTTTTTCTTCCTTTTTGTTCACTTCACAAACACACAAGTCAAATTCATATTAGTGGATGTAAATCTCCTCCTCCTCCCCAGCTGTGGGACAACACCAAATTACTGTTGGAAAGAAGCAGCTTCAAAATTGGAGAGAAGAAGAAAAACAGGGGACAACCCAAAAAAAACAGAGCATAGAGACAAGTCAAGTTAACTCTCTCTCTACATGAGGGTGGAATTCAATTTCAGTTTTTTTCATATGGCCTTGCTTTTGCCTAGCTGCTAGCTAGACAGAGACGGTGGGAAGTGGCGAGCAGGGGGAAAAAATGGCGCATCGAGGCTTCCAACAGCCACCCAAAGCGCCGCGGGAAACCAAAAGAGCCGCGCCCGCCAAGGGAAACATGTGGCGCTCTGAGTTTTTTCCAGTTTGTTTTGTTTTGTTTTCTAGCTAATCGACCTGTTTTTAGCCATTAAAGACGGGTAAGAGAGAAAAGGTAATAAAAAGGGCCGGGGTCGAGCTTTCACGTACGAAAGTGGCAACTGGGGAAGGTTGCATTATGGAGGACTTCAAACAACACTAATGAAGAAGAAGGCGTTTCGCTTCATAAAAAAGTGTGGCCTTTTCGTGAACCTTTGAGCCAACCTTACTACAGCCGATTATGGATTGGTGGTTTCTCTCTGCACCACATTTCTTCTACCAACCCTGTCCCTCTCTCTCTCTTTCTTTCACTTTCTTGGAGATTTCCCAAGCTCACGTTCTCTCTCGGCCATGGATATTCCAAAAACTAACCACTACATCAGAGAAAAGAAAGAATATTTTTGTGACTTGGGTTTTATTTTTATCTCTGCGGGGATTTTCTTATTATCCGCTCTTTTTTGTCACTTGTTTTGGAAAGAACAACTGTAGTGTGGAAAACAGAGGATGGACTTATTTGGCCAATGACTCCCATTCGTTGTACCTTCCTTGACATGCATGAACGATGTTTTGTTATGACGGTTCGGGAAATCGACGATGTAAAAATGTAAAGAACACACATATTTACGAAGTTCAGTAATATGAATTGAATGTAATAGAGTAAAACGAGAGTTATACGACAATGTTGATTGTTGAATAACACGCCTGTTTCACTGTTGCATAAGAAGTGATTTCCATCTTGTGATTTCCATCGATCTTCTTGCATTACTACATAAAAATTCCTTGAAGTCACCCTGCACAAGTTTAATTACGTGGTTCGGGTTTTCATGCTGATCACTCGATGATTAGTTGATGATATGGGTTCGAATTTCAACAGATTTCGGTTCGGAGTTTTATACTACGACGATATTCATTCATCCACCAGCCAAAATATCTGGGTTGATTTATGAAAATTTTATTCTTCAGGGAAAGCTAAATGTACTCTTGTAGTTCACTATGGGGGAAAAAAAGTCAATTGGTTTTTTAATTCTTGACAGCTACCAAGTCAACTA